GGTTGAAATCGAGCCATTGGTACTGCGCTTATCCCTGCGTGATATCCTCCTGGCCATGCAAATCGTGAACAAGGCTTCAGCCATGTCCGCAAACGACGATGATCAGGAACTTGCCAAAGAAGGACCCTCCAAGATTGATCAACTCAAGGCTCCCTCAAACAGGCCCAAGTCTGGTCGGGCGCCATCTTCGGCACAAAAGCCTAGAGCTAATACCATCGCCACCAAGAAATCGCATGCTACTGCCGCGCCCAAGGCACCGGCTGAACCACAAGGATCGGCAATGCTAAAGAGGGAAGAGATGAAAGTCAACCTTCAGGGCATCCGAGTGGTTCTTATTGGTGACCTCCATGAATTGCCAATGCTCGACTGGAGTGTAAAGAACTTCGCTGTTGAGATTCGTGATTGGAGTGGCGCCATGACAGCAGACACTAGCATCGAGACATTCTTCAATGTTTACAACTTCTCCAAATCTGCTTGGGAACCTCTGGTTGAGCCATGGTCACTTGGCTTCCACATGGCAAAGAGCTTGAACCCCGATAAGCTCGCGGTCGAACTCTACTCGCGCAAATCACTGGAGCTCACCATGACCTCTTCCACAATTGCATTGGCATCTAAGTCGGCTCAGTTCTTATCCAATGATGAGGACATCCTTTCCAAACCCCGGGGATCCGACGCTCCCTATCGCATTCGTAACCAAACCGGCTTTGATCTTAACGTATGGGCTCAAACAGAAAACAATCAAGAGGGCGCCGCTGAAAAGTTAAGTGATGGGGAAGAGGCTCCTTGGCGCTTCGAAGACCCGAGTACCACCAGAGAGACACTATCACCAGAAGGTGCTACTGGCGTCGTTGGCATCAAGCTCGAAGGCAGCGGCTTTGATAGTATCGAGCGTATTCCTGTCAGTCGTGAGGGTGAGACTCTTTACAACCTCAAGCCACGCAAAGACAAGGTACAACACCGCATTCTGGTCGACGTAAAGCTCGGAGCAGACAATGTCAAGTACATCACGTTCCGCTCACCTTTGCTGGTAGAGAACCACACTCAGATCCCCATTGAAGTCGGCGTTTACAGTCCAGACGAAGGTCACTTGCTCAAGATTGAAAAAGTTGCACCCGGTGATGCACGATCGGCCCCTGTAGGTGCTGCTTTCATGCATTCACTGGTTATTCGTCCAGACCAAGGATTTGGTTACACTTGGTCGAATGAGCGCTTATTCTGGAAAGACTTGCTCAAGCGCCCTACACGTACAATCACATGTCAAGGAGAACAGCAAGACTCATCCCCGCCTTTCTATTTCCAGATGCAGGCTGTATACGATAAGAACAACCCCATCTCCGCCACCTACCCTTACATGCGTATCCGCCTTTCTGCGCCCGTCGAGATTCAAAACTTGTTGCCATTCGACTTCAAGTATCGTATCTACGACAAGAACACCAANAAGGACTGGACAAACTTCTTACGCAAGGGAGGCGTCAGCCCTGTGCATGTTGTCGAGCTCTCGCATCTGCTCTTGATGAGTGTTGACATGCAAGACACACCCTTCAAGCAGAGTGAATTCGCCATCATCAATTCCACGGGACGCGATGACTTCCGTCGTGAAAAGACACTTGTTGTAAAGGACAACCAGGATTTGACCCTAAGACTCAAGTTGCACTACTACAACGTCCCCGATAGTGGAGGTGCTTTCAAGATTACCGTCTACAGTCCCTATGTCGTTCTCAACAGAACAGGCTTGGGACTTGACATTCGAAGCAAGACCTACTTTGGTGCTGCCAAATCTGCAGCTGGACAAACCACCTTCAGCAATTCAGATGAAGCACGAAAGCCTGTCCCATTCATGTTCTCTTACCCTACCGACGATCAAAAGAATCGAGCACTCATCAAGGTCGATGGTTCGGCTTGGAGCAAACCAGTCAGTTTCGAGGCCATCGGTTCAACCACAGATGTCACAGTTGCTGCAGAGTCTGGTCGATCGGAAATGCATGTTGGCCTGACTGTTGAAGAAGGCGAAGGCAAATACAAGTTGACAAAGGTCATTACTATTGCGCCTCGATTTGTGGTGCGCAACAAGCTTGGAGAGGATCTCAACATCAGGGAACCAGGCTCGTCTGATGTGACAACCTTGAAGCCACAAGATCTTTATCCTTTGCGATTCTTGAGACAGTCGAGCGGTCAACAATTGTGCCTTTGCTTCCCAGGCGTCAACAACAATTGGTCGTCTCCNTTCAACATTGCCAATGTTGGCAGTGTCCACGTCAAATTGGCCAAGGCTGGTGAAAGACAAAAACTCATTCGAGTGGAAATTCTGATGGAGAATGCCACAATTTTCCTGCACATTAGCCACGAGACCAAGCATTGGCCCTTCTCCATTCGCAACGAGAGTGATGTCGAGTTTATCTTTTGGCAGGCAAATCCCAACGTTGACGAAGATGAGGACGAACGCACTTCTGGTTGGAAGCCTATCCGCTACAGACTACCACCTCGAAGTATCATGCCGTATGCCTGGGACTATCCTGCCACCAAGAACAAGAATCTCGTGCTGAATGCAAAGGGCAAAGAGAGACATGTCAAGCTTGCAGAAATCGGCAACCTCATCCCCATGAGACTGCCTGCAGCTGAAGGTACCAACCGACAAAAGATTATTGATCTCAATGTCGCTGCCGATGGTCCCACCCAGACTCTTATCTTATCCAACTACAAGCCATCAAAGAGTTTGTACAAACAAAAGGCTGGCTCGGCATCTCAGTCGAATTCGACCGGTTTCGAGGTCAAGGACTTGGACGATCACGTCACTTTGAGCGCTCAAATCAGATTTGCTGGTTTGGGCATCTCGCTGATCAATCGTCAACTCAAGGAACTCGTCTATGTCACCCTACGCGATATCGATTTGTCCTACAAGGATTCACCTCTGTACCAAACCTTTTCCTCCACCATCAAATGGATCCAAGTTGACAATCAACTTTATGGAGGCATCTTCCCACTGATATTCTATCCCAGTGTGGTTCCCAAGACTGGTAAGGAGATGGAAGCTCATCCCATCTTCAAGGCCGCCATTACACGAGTCAAGGACGACTCCTATGGTGTGCTCTACATCAAGTACTTCACATTCTTGATGCAGCAAATGACCATAGAAATCGATGAAGACTTCATCTTTGCCATGCTCGACTTCACAAAGATTCCAGGCGCTTCTTGGTCCGAAGAGAAAGAGGGTCAACTTTGTGACGAGAATCTGGACATTCCCGAACCCAAGCAAGAAGAGGGTGGTCAAGACATTTACTTTGAGCTGTTACATCTGCAGCCCATGCAATTTGATCTGTCCTTTGTCAGAACCGAACGGATCAACGCAGAGGACACTGGAAGCTCGTCATCCAACCCTTTCATGTTTGCTGTCAATGTTCTCACAATGTCCATCGGCAATGTCAACGATGCACCCATTCGTTACAATGCTCTCATGTTGGAGAATGCCCGAGTATCTGTTGGTGCTTTGGTCGCTGCAATTAAGAGCCACTATGTTCAAGAATCTCTTCGTCAAGTCCATATTGTTCTTGGCTCTGCAGACTTCTTGGGTAACCCGGTTGGTCTCTTCAACAACATCAGTTCTGGTGTTGCAGACATCTTCTACGAACCATACCAAGGTCTCGTCATGACCGATAGACCTCAAGATCTTGGTATCGGCATTGCAAAAGGCGCCAGCAGTTTCGTCAAGAAGAGTGTCTTTGGCTTCTCTGACAGTATGGCCAAGTTCACAGGCAGCATCAGCAAAGGTCTCGCAGCTGCATCCATGGACAAGGAGTTCCAAGACCAGCGCCGTATGTCTCGTTCACGCAACCGACCAAAGCATGCCTTGTACGGCATCACATCTGGAGGTAATGCCTTCGCGAACAGCATGGCAAGTGGTATTGGAGGTCTTGCTAGACATCCATTGCAGGGTGCCGANAAGGAGGGTGCCCTTGGATTTGTCAAGGGTGTAGGAAAAGGTTTCCTTGGTCTAGCCACCAAGCCCGCCATTGGAGCATTCGATTTGGCATCTAACATGGCCGAGGGTGTTCGCAACACTACAACAGTCTTCGATCAAGAAGGTCTTGATCGTGTGCGTTTGACACGTTTCATTGGACAAGATGGCATCGTTCGACCTTACAGTCAACGTGAAGCTTTGGGTCAGTTCTGGCTCAAGACTCTGGACAATGGCAAGTACTTCCACGAAGACTACATTGCGCACATGGAATTGTCTTCAGGAAGTGGAACACAGTCGACTCAAGCACGTAACAAGAGTACAAACGCCGAAAGTCCACGCATGGTCATGCTCACCTACAATGGCATCATGTTGGTGCAGACCAAGAAACTCGTGACAGAGTGGGACGTGCCNCTCAAGGATATTCAAACCATCACCAAGGAGCGTACGGGCATGAGTATTGTGCTCAAGGGAGGACACAATGGACCATTCGTTCCTGTCGCAGATGAGCAAAGTCGAAACTGGCTGTATCGACAGGTAGCAGTGGCAGTCAACGCGTACAATGACCGATACAATGCCAAAGGTTGAGGTGTAATGAGTTGGTGGACATTAGGTAATTCTAGTCTCGTTTTCTATAGCATACAGTTATTTGTTATTCATTTTCTTGCAAGCAACTTGATAATGTCACTTTGATATATCAGTGACAGTCTCGAATCCAGCTCAGCCGTCCGGCCCTCAATTGTCTCCACACGGGTGAGGGGTACGTCATTCAAACGGGCATCGTCGTGTCACTCTCTGTTCACCCGCAAGCAAGGAAACATCCCTGCAAGCCGTCTTTCTGGCGGCAAATCATCCGCAGTCGTTGCATTAGCTGTATGCATGATTGCGTAGTGTGAACGAGAAGGGTTCGACGACCTGGTAGCTAAGCTGCAGACGGCTTTCTCGAACCTCATCCATTGTTTCGAGCGCGTCTTTGTTGATTTATCCTTGTGATTCACTTTGAAGACATACTCGTCATTGTAGCTGTTTCGCGTCTCGCTCAAATCAGATCCTACCAAGACCATGTCGTCCACAGACGATCTCCAAACCATCCCTGCACGCCATGGTACAGCCACGTTCGTGCCCAAGGGCAGCACGATCAAGATTGTAAACACCTCGGGCACCCAAGTTATAGATACTTGGGCCTTTGCTCTGCCGACTCCACCCAAAAAGAAAGGACCACAAGAAGATCCGNNCAGACCGACGACAAGGATAAGAGCTATCAAGAGCAGGACGAGAAGGAGAAGTTGAAGCTCGCAGAAGAGGAAGACAAGCAGCAGCGAGAAGACGAAAAAAAGGCAAGACGAGGAAGAGAACAAGAAGAAGGAGCAAGAAGAGAAGGACAAGGCTAGCAAGAAGAAGGGCAACAGGAAGTCGCGAGGAAGCTTGGACTTGCCTTCGCAAGAAGAGGCAGAGGCTGCCACATCCCAGCAACAGCAATTGGCTGATGCCGAGTCCAAGCAGCAGTCGACCCCGACCAAGAGCAGCTGGGCTTCGTACCTTCCTTCTTTGCGCGGAAGAAAGCAAGTCACTGATGGAAGTGCCAAAGAGGATGGCAAGGCCTCCGAGAAGAAGGATGAGACTGCCTCGACAGAAGAGTCTGACAAGAAACAAGACAAGGAGAATTCGAGAAAATGGGGCAGTTATTTGCTCAAGGGTCAGGGCGTTACCAGTTATCTGCCCAGCAAAGGAGCCATCTCTGCTTTCGCCGCTCAGGTGAGTGTATGTTTTAATAGGCACTTTTTCTGATAACATCTTTGAGCTGTTGCTAACTTTAATCGATGANNACAGCATGCACGCGATCCCAACAAGACGTATGCAGAGCAACTTGCCGACTTTTCTCGAACCCCAGTCGGAGCTGCATCTCTATCAGGTCAGTCTTAAGCTCTGAATTCTACTAGAACGTTCGTACTGACATCCAATNNAGCTCTTACTGGTTCTGGATCCGTTTCTTCTCTCTATGCTGGCTACAGTGCCTGGAACGCCATGCATGGTGACTCGGCCCAAATGGAGTATCTGAGCATGCCGCATACCCGCGCCTCGACCTTCCACATGGTCCCTCGCGTCAATGACGTTCTTGTCTCCAACTTGAGAGAGCCCATGTTGACCCTCATCGAAGACACTAGTTCTGGTGTGCACGACACCTTGATCCCCGCTTGCGATCCTCAACGTTACAAGGCTCTGGAGATAGAAGATTGGGAACAGCATGGCTCATGTGCTGAGAACTTGGTTCTTGCACTCAAAGAGCTCAACGACCGCGCTGGTCTCAAGGGACCCAAGGGTGTTGGTGCTTCGGTCACTGTCAACTCGGTCCCGGCACCACTCAATCTCTTCATGAACATCCCATGGAAGGGTGATAANGGGGATCTCTCATTCGAACCTCCCAAGTGCAAAGAGGGCGATTACGTACGCTTCAAGGCCGAAAGAGACATTGTGGTCATCATGTCTGCATGCCCCAACGATGTGCAGCAGATCAACAAGGGTCAGTCCAAGGACGGACACTTCTTGGTTGAGCACGCCGATGACTCGGAAGATGAAGAAGCTCCCATCGAAGTCAAGAAGGCTGAGACCAAGACTGACAAGAAGAAGCCACGCAAGTTGGGCAAAAAGGATGAAGCCAAGCCCGAGGGGAAGACAAAGACTGAGAAGTCGGAGGAACCAAAGGTGGAAAAAGCACCTCTTCCCAAAACTCCCGCGATTGAGAAGTCAGAGACTGCTTCTTCACCTGCTCCCAAATCCAAGAGCAAACCAAAGAACGACAAGCCCGAAGAACAGAAGAAGGCTGAGAAGATTCCCCTGCCCGAAACACCTGCGACCGAGAAGTCGGAGGCCGCCTCTTCTCCTGCACCGCCGAAACAGCTCAAGGGTAAGCCCCAAAAGCTAGCCGATGAAGCACAGAAAAAGGCAGAAAACACGCCACTTCCCGAGACGCCTGCCATCGAGAAGTCTGAATCTGCCGCCTCTCCTGCTCCCGCATCGTCTTCAGGACAAGCTACGCCTAAGCCCAAGGGCAAGCCCAAGAAGTTGGTTGACTCTGCGACGGGTGAGAAGAAGAAGCCCCGTAAGCTGGAGTCGAGGGCCAAGGGTACCGCTACCCCCAAGTCTGGGTCTGCCGCAAGTCAACAGGGCGATGCGACTGCCGGTGCTGAGAAAGGAGGGAGTTGAGTTACAGAGCAACCCTGAGCAAGAAACTACAAGAGATGGGAGTGGAGGATATGATGAACATAGGGAGTTTGACATGGAATGTGGTGCAAATAAGCGAGGTAGAGACCGAAACGACGGCTTGACTGGAGGGGAGAAAGAGTTGGATGGGATTTTGGCAGAGCCGATTGACGAAGAGAAGGACGTTGAACCAGTCGACAACGATTGGGTGTCGCGTACAGACAAGGTTGATGAAAATGTCAGGAACACTGGACTCAGAACAGTGCGATCCTTGGTCAACGGCGGGTTGGCGCTGTTTGCTCTTGGAGCGTTGTCGCCTGTTGGTTTGCTTTTGAAGCATTTGGATGACATGAAGTCGGACAAGGATGATAGTGGGTCTGAGAACAGAGACAACGAAGTGGAGAAGAGTACAGTGGATGATAATGATCTGTAAACTTACATTTAACGTATCTTTTCGAGCTCTACCTTTTTCGCAAAACATCATTTCACGATGTCATTTGTCTTGTAGTTCGAGAGGGTTTATGGAAAAGTCCCGTTATTTCCAAAATTCGTCTTAGTGGCATTTATTTTAGCATGTCATATCTATTAAATGAAACAGACAGCAACTGTACTGAGCAGGATGTCCGCATACCAAATATACATGAGTGCAAGTGATTCTTGTCTTGTTCAAGTTCAGAGCAGGGTGGTGCCAGTGGTATGAGAGACTTGGGACCAATCGGGAAATCTCCGTCGGCAAAAGGCTTGGCACAAAACCTCTGCGAAGCAATTGTGAAGGGCAAGCTCTGGCTTGGTGCGGGATTCGAAGAACGCTGAAGGAAAAAAAATTATTATTCCATCAACCCGACCTACAACCAACCACACAACCACACCCACACATCACACATAATGGCCAAGGACAGGAGCGAAAAGAAGGACAAGAAGGAGAAGAGAAAGAGTGTCGACGCGAGCGGTGTCAAGAAGGAGAAGAAGGAGAAGCGCAAGAGCGACGCAACCGCCGTGCTCAACGCCATTGAGGACGCTGCACCCGGCGCCGTCGCCGTCGATGCCGATGGCGATGTTATCGTTGATGTCGACGAGTCGTCCGCTGCCGTTCCCCTCGGCGCTCTGGTTCCTTTCGCCAACCCTCTGTGCGACGACAAGGCCACCAAGAAGGTCCTGAAGACTGTCAAGAAGGGTGAGTTCTGATCCAGCATCTCTGGCTCGAAGCCTTGAGCTTGCAGTAATATCTCAATGAACATCACTAACAACCCACCAGCCGCAAAGCAAAAGTGCCTCAAGCGCGGTGTCAAAGAAGTCGTCAAGGCCGTCCGCAAAACCACACCCGCCGACCCTGCCACAGCCCAAGTCGCCGCTCCCGCCATTGTCGTCCTCGCCGCCGACATCAGCCCTATGGACGTCATCAGCCACATCCCCGTCCTCTGCGAGGACCACAACATCCCCTACGTCTTCCTGCCGTCGCGCGCCGAGCTNGGTGCCGCTGGCAGCACTAAGCGCCCCACTTCCGTCGTCATGGTCACCCCCACCGCCGGCAAGAAGGGCGAGGAGAAGGACGACGAGTGGGACGAGGCTTACAAGGAGCTCAACAAGTTGGTCGTCAAGCAGGGCCAGCACGTCAAGGTTTAGAATGCCGAGACGCGTCTAGTCAAGCACGAGAAGATCAAGGTCAAGAAGGAGCGCTTGAATTGACCCCGTCCTTCCCTCTGTTTGGTGTCTTACCATCAAATACGCCGACTGGAAGTCTCTCTTTCAGCGTTTCCCTTCCTACTTCCAGGTAGGGTCGCTCGAGTCTGGACGTCCATCAAGCTGTCGGACGGTGGGAGGGGTTTGTCTTCCGCAAAGTCGATGCATGAAATGGGGGCAAAGGTTGTACCGGCGGCGTTCAGAGGTGTTGGGTTCTTTCCAAAAGGCATTATTTCACAGTTCCTCGTTTTTCTTGTCACCAAATACGCGAAAGAAGGGGGACGTTCCAATCGAAAAGAGTTTATCGGATCTCCCCAGTACATATATTTTCAGCAGATGAATATTGTGTACGTTCAAAAACGACCTGAATGAAACCAATAAAATTACAAAAACCGGTCAGAAAAGTGATGCGAATATCGGCAAGCTATACAACGAAAAGCCCGGCTGCGATATGTATGCCCATTGACAAGAGGTATCAAGAAATGCAGAGAGTGAGAAGGTCGGCCATAAATCCTCTCGAAGGCCGACAGAAAATCAAAGTCCCATGCCAGAATGCTCCCAGAAACGCCGCAAATGCATCTTACTAAGGTGATGATGAGGAAGAAGTACCTCCAAGCTCCACAAGCGGTTCGTCGACTTGCATTTTGTCGAGGATTTTCCGGATTGCCTCTCCTTCGTTGCGATCTTTGTCGAGCTCGTCAACCAGCGCAAGAGCCTTCTTCGCCAGACCTCGCAACACTCTGCGTGAATATGAGAAGCTGCCCGTCTTTTCCATGTATTTGACGGCATATCTCTTGATCTCCTCATCTTGCGGCTTTTGTTTGAGGATATTGATGAGGACGAGATTCTGTGGGTCAGAACGTATGCTGTGGATAACGGGAAAGGAGAATTTGCCCTCGGTCAGGTCTTCACATAGGCCCTTGTTTTGAGTATAGATTGTGTCGGAGAGGTTCTTGTAGTCGTCGCGGATTTGGTAGAGCAGGCCGATGGTGTTGCACAAGGGCACGCAGTCGATCGGGACGCTACTCTCGGCTTGCATCAGTTTGATTGCTAAACGGAAGAGACCGCCAGTCTTGTTGCCGACCATCTCGAGGTAGTCGTGCTCAGAAGGGCAGGTCAACGAATCTCTCCAGAACAGATCCATGCCTTGGCCTCGATGTAGGTTGAGTAGCTCATCATTGTAGATCTCGATGGCCTCAGGGTTGTTCAGCTTCATAAGCTCACGCAAGGCGCAAAAGTAGACGTAGTTGGCTGAGTTGATGGTTTGAGCAGTGCCAAAGATGTTGTGTGCGACGGGTACGCCCCGACGTAGGACGGACGAGTCCTCGACATCGTCTATGAGTAGCGAAGCAGTATGTAGCATGCCAACTACTTTTGTGATGATGTCGAGACTCGGCTTTGGCACATGCAGCCAGGCGTTGAAGGCACCGATCAGGAGAGAGCGTATGTCCTTGCCAGGATGCCCGTCCAGATAGTCATATGGAGCCAGCAGTATACGATCCTTCTCTTGCGGCCACTTTGTCGTGCCCTGGGAAANAATCAAGTCGTCGCAGATGTTGTGCATGGGGTCTTCGGGTGGTGGAGACAGCGGTGGGGGTAGATGTGGGTTTGCGGATGCATCTTGGGCGATGTGGGCGAGTCGTTGTGAGACTTTAGTCCATTCCTTGTAGTGGTAGCATCGCTCGCGGTGGTTCGTGATGCAACTGGTGTTGCACCGGGGACAGCGTCGAGAGCCATGCGCGGCATTCAGGACATGCGGGTATGGTGTGTACGGATTAGGCGCCCAAAAGGAGAAGGAGCGAGAACGAGAGAGGAGGCAGTCGCAGTCCGAGGTCACGCATGTGAATACATCAACAACGATCAGGCAGGCGCGGGGCAGTCATCAACACATAATCGATCGTCATAACCCTTTCGTCTGGATGTGGCACGAGGGCAGACACATCCGCCCTTCCCGGAGCCCCCGGCGGAGCATGTGAAAGTCCGTTGTCCGCCGCGTTCCAAGCGCCAAGCATTTGGTCCGCTTGTCGATTAAACCGACCGTACCTCTCACAAGCCCGTCGCCGATAGCTCTCTATTCATCACAAACATCACAATAATGCCGCGAAAGCCCATCGACATTTCCGCTCATCGCCAGTCGATAACCTGGTGGGTCAATCAGGAGAAATGGTACGGAAGTATTACACACAACTCAGTGAACTCAATCGTAACTCCGCTTTAGGACCATGAACCGTATCATGGAAACGCTTGCGAGCGAGCATGGCATCTCGCTCTCCGAGAATACCCTCAAACGTAACATGAATGCCTGGGGCCTTTCAATCCGTCCGCGCATCAAAGTGACTCCTGAGATGAGACAGCGTATCTATGATCTCTTCTACCAAGAGAGATACTATACAGACCAACAAATGGCCAAGATTCTCAGACGAGATGGCTTTGTCATTTCCTTTCGTAAGTTGGCAAAACTACGCAAAGAAATGGGACTATCCAAGAGGAAGGACACAATCATACCTATGAACCCTGTCGTCCCCGGTGAAGTGATTCGAATAGAAGATGATAATTCTTCTTCGGATGATGACGATGATGAGGATGAAGATGATGATGCGGAAGAGGATGAAGTTGATATAGACATCGATCCAATCATCGCTTTTGAGAATGCTACAAGAAATCAGCAACCCAACCAACTCACTCCACAGCCTGCTGCTCAATTCAGAGAACCCGCTTGGAGGAAGAAGCGACCGGGCAACTCTGCTCAACCCATTCACCAGCCACCTCGAATTTCCACAACCTTTACCGATAGCAGACATTCTCCAGTTCCACCAACACGACCTCTTGTCCGTTCACCCACGCCTCCCCTGATCTTGGACGATGTAACCGCACCTACCGACACAGATATCTACTCTCAGCCGCCAGCAAATGGTCAAGGCCTTGCCCGGCGAGTCACTACCTTGGTTACACGTATTGAGATCATCGAGACCGAGAACCTCAGTCTAAAGCAGCAAGCAGATCAGCAACGGACCGAGAATCAAGAACTTCGTCAACTGGTCCAGCAGCAAAGGAATGAAATGGATATGATGAGAGCTTCGCTAAGTGAGCTCATTGTCAGGTTCAATGCTGCGCACTATCAAATGTAGCACTGTTGATGGGATCCATCGTGCCGTCTGAGGTATCTCCTGCTTATGTGCCAAAGCCTGTGACCCATACTCTGCTCCATAGTTGTATGGGGGTGAGGTGTAATCTGAGAAAAGACAGATCAGAGATGCAACCCAAGAGAGCCGACGACCTGTCGTCTCTTAGTGGATACTACCCTTTTCTCAAAGTTATCGTGCATCATTGAAGCTACATGCATTACATACTTTAGCACACAGGAAGGCTCTACGCTTGCTTCGATTTGGTTTGCAGACGGTCTCGCTGGGTACTGGATCTGCATATCTGACTCGATCGTTGTGGCTGGCCATGCGTTCGTCCGCTCATTAGATTGCGATGCCCCAAGGCAAGGTCGCTCTTGCCTTCTCAGGTCAGTTGTACTACTCCCCAAAATGGGAATGATCGATTGAAACATCAACACAAGCTTGAAAAAGACGAACGGAAAAGTTTCTGAAATGGTGAGTAATAATGGAATCTTGATGTCTATGTCTATAGTGTAACTAGGTGAAGTCGTAATAATCGTAAGCCAGCCTCTATAGCTTTACCCAAAACATGATCGAGTGAAAAAAACAGATACGGACAGATTAATGAGTGGTTAGGCGCAATGAGTAAAGAAAGAAAGACAAACTCCAGGACCATGCATGCTAACAGATAAACAAACAATAGAATGAAATGAACAAAAACAGAACGCTGCTGTCTGTGTGAAGGGCGAGATGTGCTCTTCGAAAAGAAGTCACACGAAGGAACGCTTAATATGCAAAAAAAAAAGGAAACAAGCAACAGAAAGGGGGTCACTTCTGCTGCAACGACAAAAGAAGAGATTGATGTACAGTGTGAGTGCCAGATTGGTGTGTTGCTCACAAACTGAACAAACCACTGCGTCTCTTGCCAAAAGGGTACACTATCAACGTCGATGCGAATATTCCTACCGTGATGCCGATTGCGATTTGCACCACGGAATATCCGACGTTAAAAGCAACAGAATTTACGCTGCCGCCAGATTGAAGTGTTTTGGCATCAGTGACCGTGCTCCCGTTCTGACTCTTTCCCGCAATCTGATCGGCAGCCTGTACACCAGAGAGCAGACTTCCGTTGACAGCAAGTCCACTAGGCACCTGTACGAGGATGGCGGGCAACATGGCCGCGGCTGCGAGACCGTAACCTACGCGTCTGATGTGCGGCGTAAAAATACTTTCGCTGTCGTAACCTTCTCCAGACTCCATGCTTTCCATCCTCTTCTTAGAATGTCGGTCGCGCAGAGCTGTGGATTTACCTCGAATTCGCTTGTGAAAAGCTCTGACGTGTGGCCGCAGATGGCTTTCCCAAACGTCCAGAGCTTTGTTTTCGATCTTGGTTCCAAAGCGTGAATGCAGGTTTGCAGCGAGACCGATAGCAAGAGCAGCGATTGTAGCACTGATCTGTGCGTTGCCCTCAAATTTAGTCGCAAGACCCACGCTCACCAGACGTCCTATGAATGCGATTATGATCATAACAGGCATTTGCCTCCACTTGGCCTGGTTCAGCACGCACAAAGAGAACGAGAAGATCAGTGCGGCAATCAACTGAATGTGCGAACCAATCTCGCGGTCTTCTCTGCACACAGTTGTCGACACTGCATTTTTGTCGATGGCACCGTACAAAACGGTTCCGATCGTGATTCCAAATCCAAGGAGAAGTGAATAGATGATAGCCCAGACCATTCTCACGCTTCCAGAGACCATACTTTTCGATTGAAGTTCCAGCGAGGCGCGAAGTACTATCCAGCCGGGCAGAATCAAGCAAATCGAAGACTGGACCAAGGCTGAGAAGCAAAAGTAGCGACCGTTGCCTATGGATGCGAAGGCTCGAGCCAGGAACGATGTTATAATAGTCGCAAGAACTTCGAACATGTTCAAAACGCCCTCATTCTTGTAGGAGACCACCTGAAGGTACCCCACAATGCAACCAAGAACGTAACAAATGGGCAGGTCCCTCCAGCCAGCATTGAATGCAAAAGGTGCAACAGATGCTGTGCCAAGGCCACTAACGAGTACCATGACCCAGTTCTTGAAATGTGGTTCCTTGTTGAAAATCTCGTTCAGACGATCCGTGGCTTCGTCGACTCCTAGACGATCGTGGAGAACCTCCTTGTAGACTTCGTGGCAATCTCTGAGTTTTCCAAGACTCAGACCTTCACCAGCGCGGACCATCTTAACTTCCGTTGTGTGAGTTGAGAGGTCATCAAATGAACATATCATACAACCGGGCATGTAAAGGAATTGAGCATCAACCTCGAGTACTCTGGCGCTCATACGCATATACGTCTCCAAACGATGGGTTGGGGCACCGTAGGTCATCAAAGCTCGGCAAAGCTTTAGGAGATACTTCTGTCGGGCCAGATTCTCTTTGATATGTTTTGTAATCCTGATTTCCTCATCCAGTCGAGAGCGACCCATGCGGCTGAGAACATTATTGCCGCGAGACTTTTTCGCTCTCTTCTCGGATTCGTGACGTTGGCGTAAGTTTTCTGTAACCTGTTCTCCTAGAGGCAGACCGGCGATCGGAGTACCTCCGCTTACAGAAGAACCAACCAGGTAGGCCAGAGAAGATGTCGAGTTGCTGTAGCTTTTCGAGTGCCATAGCCTTGATTGTCTGCCACCAGGTGTACTATAACCAGAGAGGGGTCTACTGCTTGGGGTGTTGTATCCAGAGGAAGGAGGCGAGTGTTGTGGAGTGTTGAAGCCACTGCTTCCATCGCGAAAGTGAGCAGGTCGTGGCACACTAGAGGAGCGGTCATGACCTGAATCAGCTGGGCCATCGTGGTTGTAAAGCCGAAGCAAAGCACCCAAGACGCCTGCACGGTGACGTTCGGGCTTTGGAACATAGTCGAGGTAGGCTTCACGCTCTTCGTTGGGGGTGGCTGCAGCAGACACAAAGCCGGAAGAGGAATCCATGTGTAGAACTTGTTGAGCCGTTGAGGCATGAACACGCACAAGCTTGTGTGCCGATGCATGAAGGTCATCAGAAGTTTCGTCATCGAGATGATGAAGGGGGTCATGTTCGGAAGGTTCCTCAGAGAAGTCGACCTTGCTGAAATCTTGTAGAGGGATCTCACTGAGATTTAGCTTGAGCTTGGGTAGGCCGAGTTTGCGCGCGGGTGAGGTGGCTCTAGAAGCCGGTGCCGAAGATATGCGCTCGTCTAGTTCCAGTCTCTTTCCACGTTCATGCGCCTCACGAGCCCGTCGACTCTGGACTGTGTTTTCGTGATCATTGTCTGAGACAGTCGATAGTGCCGAGTCGCCACGCCGAAGGACAGGTCGCGGAGGCATCCGTGGCATGGTGGGCGACGAGGCGGTTGGTGAGGACGAAGAGGCAAAGGCAGCCTTGATCTGGTCGGAGACTTCTGAAGATACCTCGGGAGCATGACTACGGTAAGACGATAGCAATGCCTCACCTGTTCCACTAGAACCTCGAGAATGTGAAGTAAAGGGACTCTCGGAAACCGAGAAGCCAGGACTAAGTCCACTGGGTGGCGTCAAGGTAATCCTCGTAGGTAGTGTAATGCTGGCCGGGCGATGCTTTCTGAATAGCGGTGGTTCCTCCGCGTCCGGATGGAAGCCAACCTTCTTCTTGTCCTTGGGTCTGATCCNCCCAGCACTACCAGGTCGACTTGGTTCCATGCTACTCAGATAATCACTCGACTGGTTCGAGTTGAGGTAGGGTGCATCATTTGATGTGTCCGGAGGATCCTCAAACGGATTGAATTCGATCCGGGGTGTATTTGCTGAACTCATCGTCGACAAAACTCGCCGAGCAAAGGCTTGATGCCTCGCTCGTTTAGGAACAAAGAATACTCAAGCGTGCGAGATGCGTTTCAAAAGACCGTGACTGAATGCGTGATGGTTGGTTTGCCCCGCCTTTCCGAAGTCGACGAATGCAACAAACAAAGATGCGATGGTAAAGTCGAAAGGGAAAGGACGAATGACTGACACGACCCGTCTTTCCACCCCGGATCAAAAATGGGAAATCAAGAGACAATATGGGGTTGCGAGCAAAGAACAGATACGCCGCCACCGAGCTGGGGTGTTGAGGTGCACCGTTAGGATGCGCAGAATTTTGAGCAGACGTGCAATAAGGACCGATACAGATCGGAAATAAACCGGATTCAAGCACGCAATCTGAGTCCTAGGGGGTGACAATAAAGAGTTAATACCCTCCTGGAAAAGGAACGGAGTTACTGGCAGAGAAAAAAAGGCGGTAGTTGGTGAAGGGACTCTTTGGAAGAAAATCTGACATGGAACTGAGATGAAGTAGTAGTTCTAGCCGCCTCACGGTGTCTCTTGAGGATTGTGCCCCAAGGGGATAGTGGGACCATGATGGCATTTGGGTTCAGCACTGGCGCTCCTGTTCTCCATATCAAGAGCGGCAATAGGATGGACGAAACAGGGCGAGACCAGTTATCAGTGACCCACAGTCGTTGCTGCGTAGCATGGACTCTGCTGAGCGAGGGAGGATCCGAATGACACGAACACGCAAACTACACGGATACGAATGCCGGTGTGAAGAACGAGGTTTGTCCATAGCGACGACGCGCACGCTGGGCAAGAAACTGGAATACGTGATGCCAATTTCTAGGCCATGGGAAGCACCACAGAATGAACACTGAACGAGCACGACCTGCGACCGACAGGGGAATTTGACAGATCGTCAAAGAGGTTGATCGGTCCCGGTAAAAACATCGAGTCAGGTTGCGATAAAGGTTACTGCAGAAATGCAGGGCTCAATTACCTAGCTTATTGGGACGACCTCTGATCGCCGTCGATGTTCCAACCATACACAGCCGTTCTTTCAGACACGAAAATACCTAATCTGCACTCCTTGCGCGAACAATTGAAAGCGCGTATGCAAATTTCGTCATACTGTCCGTTCAACCTCCTCCAAGCATGTCCCGCCGTTGATATCTCGGCACGTTGTACGCCATTATGGCGTGGCTGAAGCCCGCCGCGTGGTTTCCAAAGGGCCGATAGGATCCCCATGGTCGAACCGATCTCAAGGTGTCTGGTTCGTCGCTTTGGAGCGTCCAGAAAGGGAGAGAACGGTCTGTATGTGTGTGCTGTGTAGGCTGCGCTCGGAACCAGGCAGGACATCGGACTTGGCACATGAAAACGTGTCGGCGATCTTTGTCTGTTTCGCTCGGAAGACCCAAAAGGGAAATTCAGGACAAGTACTTCCGCGAGGAATGACTTCCGACTGCAAGGTTTGCAGATGGAGCAAACCATACGCATAAAGATAGGCAGTGTTGCATGTGCGTTTGTTTGTTTCATTCCTCCTTCTAAATGCTTCCCCGTCCCCCTTTCTTCTCTAGCCAGTCGTGATATGTATGCAAGTCATTAGCGAAAAACAAGAAAAGGAAAAGATGCTCATCGCCACGTCACTCTTGTTCGGCACCCATCTGCAAAACAATGAGAAATTGAGAGTAAACATTCGCATGCTTTGGCTCGCAGCACCGCTCTCAACACCATCTCTATGTGTCCACCAGGACTGATCGCGTTTTTTCAATCCAACGAGAAGGAAAGACGATTGTGGACGACCAAAAATTCGTTACTCATGCAGTACTGCTCGATCCAGAATATCCAGAATCTCGAACACTGTCCATCTCGTCTTCGAAATCTATGTCGAATTCAGGTTCTTTGCTACCCTTCTGGGCACCATCTTCGTCGAACTCGTCGTCTCTGTCATCCCCATCCCTTCCTGCCCAGTCTTTCTGCTCGGCAGCTCTAGTGTTCCAACGTAATGTACGACTGATGGCATCGAACCATTCCATTGGTTGACTAAGAACGGTCGGGAAAGGGTATTTGCTCGCTCTTACGACGACCTCGTCGCCCAGACCGAGTTCAATCCGTCCCTTGCCGTCGAAGCTGACGAAGCCACCGCCTCGACCTTTGGTAGGGACGGAGACTTTCAATTCCATGGAGTCGTTCAGAATCATCGGACGGAAAGATAGAGTGTGAGGACAGATGGGTGTAAGTAATATAGCAGGGATTTCTGGATGTACCAGACTTCCACCTGCTGAGAGGGAATACGCGGTAGAGCCTGTCGGTGTACTGAGGATGACACCGTCGGCAGAAATGCGTGTGACTAGAGAGTCGTTGGCGTACAGATCCAGTGATGAAATGTAGGAAGAAGGTCCTCGATCAATGACCAACTCATTGAGCACTTCGTGAGTCTCACCCTCGATTTTGGTTGGATTTGATGTCACAGGGTATGCCGGGTCCGAGGTGTTGTGAGGGGTTAGGGAAGACGAGGAATTTGATGCAGCCGCTCTGTAGACCGTACAAGTGAATCGCATGCGCATAGTCACTCTCATGCCCGCATCGCTCATGATGCGATCTAGTTGATGCTTGTACTGGTTGAATTGGAAGTTTGTAAGGAAGCCTAGAGATCCTAGGGAGAAGGACATGACGGGTGGTACGATGCGTTGAAATAGCCACGAGGTGAAAAGAACAGTGCCATCTCCTCCGAGAGTAATGACGAGATCGAACATCTCAGGAGAGGCCCAACATAGAGCAGGAGTCCAAAAGCGAAGCATGCTCTCGAAGCGGCTGTCTTTGGCAGTCAACGAGTCTGCATCGAAACGCTTGGAGCGGCGTAGCTTCGAATCGACGTAGACATTGACACCGACGTCGCTGCCATAACGCGGTTTGGACAGTAGCCAGTCGGCCAACTCGCGCGTCAGATCCACCAAGGCATTGTCGCGGGCTTTTGTGACTATCATGACATTGCGCACGGCTTGCTTGGTAGAGCGTCTTTGTAGTTGTCGTGAGACCTCGCGGACACTGGCAGCCGTCTGCATAAGACGACTGTGTGATAGCTGATCATCCTCTTTTATTTCATCCAGAACCTTTTCAATGTTGACGGCGTCGCCAAAACGGCGGTGGAAGAAGCAAGGGCTTGTCAAGGCCGCCAGTTGGACCATGGAAGGCGTGCCAGTGCGCGAGAGCTCGGAGATGGCGGCAGACAGCTCAGAGGCAGAGGGGCCATTCCGTGAGCTGATCTCTGGCGTAGGGATGCCCAGGACTTGGCTCGAGGGACTGGATGCGACGGCGGTGGGCAGGCTGTTGCGACGGCGGTAAGAGTCCCGCCTCGAGGGGCCGTTCAGCAGATTTGGAGACATGGAGTGGAAGTGGTTGGCAGAGTCTGGCGGGCTGAATTGGAAGCGGTAGTCGTCCATATCTGCGTCAAGATCCGAGGCATGCAATGGCAATCAGCCTAAGTTGTGACGATTAGAAATATAAGCCTTATCGCCGGTCTCGCGCGGAGAAGAAGGGTCGGGCGAATAATGCCGCGGACTGTTGTCAATGCACACAATCAGTGCCTGGAAGAATCTGAGCGAGCAAAGAGGATGGAAGACAGGTCTAGTAGAATGCAGCTTCGGACAAACAAGAAGACGGAGAGGCTGTCAAGAGTGTCCATGGCCGTGTCTCGTCGCCGTTCGGCGATTGCGAGAAGCTGCCGGAGTCCGAAGGCGCCGTCTGGGGAAACACATGGGTGCGAGTGCTAATTCCGAACTTGATTTTGCTCCTTCCTGCCTCGACATACTACTGGTGCCCTCGTGATGTCTGCTTTCTGAACTCGTCTAGTTGCATCTTCGTCTCATCGCTCTCATCTGACTGTTGTAATCACGTCCTTCCCAGCCGACAAATCCAGTTGTTGATCGCCAGCCTCTTCATACCGTCATCGTAGAGTAGCCGATACCTACACGCTGTTTTGACTTTGACACGGCTCAAGAAAAAGGAATTTATCCCGTACTGCGGACTGAAACGTGATTCAAGGTCTATCAGCTTCATTTACGACACTCGCGGACTCGGCACAACTAATAAGCGACTGACTTATGTCTCGCGGAAGGACATCACCGCTTGACCATCAAGATACCATTCGCTTCTATCGTCTTGGTTTCTGAATCCTGTCAAGTCTCTAAGCATAGATCCAAGGGTATGTGCCATCTCGCTTGACAAGAGTCTTCAGTTGTGCTCGGAAGACTGCTTTGTGGCTTTCGTCAGGTGAACTACCGACTCGCAATACACAGTTGTCATTGGAGAGCTGTAAGCCTTTGCCAGCGCAGAGCGCATTAGTACCCTGTCAGCGAACTGCCGCAAGTCACATATCATTACGCTTGAACACATGCTTCAAGCTACGACTACACGACGCACTTTGCTGTACGCAATAGTACACCTTCTGAGCGCACGACATTCTTAGTAGCGAATCATCACAAGTCGGTCATGACCCAACTAGGGATGTAAACCGAACGACTTGGTTATCCCGGATCCTGGGAAAGATTGCGGAGGAATTACTGCAGGACAGCAAGCTAAAAGCACTCCTTTTGTTACTGACTGCGGTATGCCATTCCATGGATACATGCTCGGCTCGGCTTCCCATCTGGCTCTTGACTTGTGACCACCCTTATTTTTGCGGAAGGGTTGCCCTACATCTGGTTTCTTGTTTCGGTGCGAAAAGTGCAAAACTTGGGTCGTCCAATGCCTACACCAAGGAACGTATCGCTTGACCGCATGCTCGAGTCGAGTGGGTGTCGTCGTAAGATAAAACCTCTTACAGTCCTACGGACCGTTCTGGATGAACTGAATGCAGCTTTCATGGTTATCATGATCTTGGAAATGCCAATGCGCACACCAACACACCAACTCTCATCATAGATGCGGTCAAGCGATACGACACCCATGAGGTGATTGGTTTCCACGGCTCAGAAGCCGCGTCTCAAGTCGCGGGTACCTGGCTTTCTCTAGCAACAATGTGCACAACCATCCGCCGCATCCACTATTTTTGCATTGAGTTTCACTAAAAGGTAATGTTCATGCGATGCACGCAGTCATGCGATGCGGGAACAGGCAACTGAAGACAACCAAGACTTGTGAGCACGAGAACATAAGGGTGTGTATATATTCCCCCTATCTGTTTACTGTTCTGACCTTGGGTTTTACTGGTAATCTTTGATCAAAAGGAGGTTACTTAACTGCTATCTGCTCGAAGCCAAGAACCAGCCTCTCTTGTCTAGGAATCTTTGAACATTAATCCTACCCGCCATGGCCCAGAGTGTACCCGTGCCTCCAGCCAACACATATTCCAACTACACTATGCCGTCGGAATATCCACAAGATTCAGACGATTTCTTGGTCGATGTCATCGAAGGCTCAGACTGCGAATACGACGCTCGACTAGGCAAGAAGATAGACTCCAAGCATCGGAAGAAACAGGTTGCGAGGATTCAGACAACNTTTTATTGCTGGAAGCTTACGAAGGCTGCTCCTAAGATCAAGGATGGTGCACCAAGCTGGAAGCGAGCAGAAAGGGCGCAGATGACACTCCCATCGGACGAACTTGAATCGCAAGTTAAAAAGCAGCGCAAGGTGAGATCTCTCACCGAGATGTACGAGGCCTTGTCAACGGACCAGCGTCAACAAGTTGAGGTCCTCATCCAGGAGCAAAGGCGAAACGAAGTGAACGAATACGCTCGTTGGGAAATAGCGGCCATACACCGCGAGGTTCTTAACAATCTGAGGACCAGGATTAGAGAGACCACCTTTATCCGCGTGATATTAAGTAGAGACGACAAACGAAAAGCTGAGAAGACAGCAGCGGAGCATGGTCCTGGTGTGGCGAGCAATATCTCCGACCTCAATGATCTGTCCGATTTGCTACTGAAGCAGACAGAGATTGGAGGCGACCAACGTCTCCCTCAAAAGACAAAGGAGTTCAAGGCACAATCAAAGGCTGAAATGGCAACCAACGAGAACCTCATCGAAGTTTTGCCTAATCCCGGCATCGAAAACGCATATGCTATCAGTGTGCCATCGCTGGCAAGTCCCTTGCCATCCGATCGTCTACGAAATCATCGAACATGGAGCAATGATGCCCAGCTCTGGCACTCGCCATTGGCTAGACCAGAGCATGAGGATGTATCTCAGCATCAACTAAATCAATGGCGACCACAACAGGGTTCTGAATCTCAAAGGACTCAACCCCACCACGTTCACAATGCTCTAGCATATATGGCCAACATGAACCACAATGCGCGCACACACGTGGGAGGTCAAGTCTACGAAGAGACACGCGCGCAATCGACTCTACCTGAGCCATGGCTCTCCCAGCAATCTCCGCTCCAACCACGAGCCTATGACGACAACGCTTATGGTGTTCCTATACAGCAGCAATTTCAGAAGAACTCAACACAGGAAGCTTCACCACACCTTGAACCGCAAAGAGCTAGTAGCGGCCAAGACTACTTCGGACAGCAGTTCGGAAACCTACACGAAATAGCAGTAGAGCCCTCCTTCGCTGGCCAGTCTCAACTTACGAACAACAACAGACCCGCACTGGTTACAGCCGATTACACTAAGAACCCAGAAGCTTATCGGAGGTCCCCAATTACAAAGATACAGGTCTCTGACAATTCGGATTGGCCCACTTACAATCCCAATACGAAGCAATCGACCCCACCATTGCCGCAGTTGCAGCAACAACCGAAGCAAGTAAACCACAGTGCAGAGCGACTGCGGCGGGAAGACGTGCTGTTCTGGAGGACTCAGGCCCAGCTAAGTCACTCGCGATCGTCCTCGAGTTTAGATGACCAGTCATCGACTATCGCATCTCCCGAGCAGAGTTCACCACCCACTTCAATATCAGGAGATGGTATGGCGACACATTTCCGACATGACGAAAGAAACGACATCACACCAGGACGATTTGGCCAACAGCTTGCAGCACATAGTTTTCTTCGCCCGAACCAGAGTAGACAACAAGAGCAAATACCCATGTTGCCTCAAAGGAGAGAGAGAGACTACAGGCCTGCAACCAGGCGTGGCGTCAGCTTTGAGGATGAACCATTCGAGATCCCAGATAGACAGTATGCTCCCGCACCCGCCCCGAACACTTTCAACCCTAGCATGTACCATCCAGACAACTACATCAGACCCTCGGCTCCAGACCCTCCAGAGCCAAAAGTCAACTTTGCGTCCCATCACCCACAGCGATATCAACCACAGCAACATATAGAGCCAGAAAATACCTCAATGCTCGAGCGCCTGAATGAACGACTGGATCATATGGAACTCAGACAGGCGGAAGGAGCGACCAGAAGAGCTGTCGAAGCGGCGCAGAAGAGGCGAGAATTGGAAAGGAAAGAAGCGTACGAGAAAGGAGTTGAAGATGCAATGGCGTGGAAGGCACGATCCGGTGGTTTTGGCAACTTCGCCTGATGCAGACTCATCGTGGATATCTCATGGCACTTTCTTTTCTCCTAGCATTTGATCTTGCTGTTTTGGAAAGTGGAGTTACATCGATATTTTTGTTGGGACCGTGTTTTGATAGTTGTTCATCGCATTAATTCTTTATCGGCGTGCTAATATAATTCGTTTACTTCTGGTACACTAATTTCTGTCATTATTGTAATCTCATCAAGGCATAAGCTTGCTGCCAGGCTCCGCCTTCTTGCGATAGACATCGAGAGGCACCGGCAAGTCACCACTGTATCCGATATCTCCCTGCATAGTCTCCAGCTTCTTGGTCACTTTACCAACCAACTTTGCAATCCACTTGTCGTTGGCAGCAGCGTCTACAGCCACCCTTCTCATCTTGTCATTGAGATCGGTCTTTACTGCCTTCGTGAACTCCCTGAAGCCGTGAATCTCCTTGTCGAGAGACTTTTCAACCTTGTCCATTTCGACAATCTTGGTTGCCTTTACCAAGGCTGCGATGAAGTCGAGCAGGTTCTGGTCGAAACAAGCAGGCAGGCGCACGTGAGCAGAGATGTTGACGTTAGTTTCATCCTTGCGTAGCTGGACCAATTCCTGTTCGGCTTGGATGGTCTTGGGCTGACTGTCGGCGTTATCGATCTTCTCCTGTTGAGCGACCACATCCGCGCGAGTTGGGATGGGTGGTAGAATGTGTTCGTGATGAGGCAAGAGGAATGACGGCACCTTAATCCGAGCGTCCGCTCCTCCAAGATGAACGATCTGGTTGTAGTCAACCTCTTCCTTGACAGTTCTGTAGATCATGATGTCGTCGAACAGAAGATCAGAAAGGATGTTGAAGGCCGGATTGATGGGGACAGAAGCCATGCCGGTAATCTTCTCAGCTTCAAACACAAAGTTGGCGTCCTTGAGCCAGGCGGAGATGCGCTTCTTGAGATTCTTAACATCCGAAGCTTGCTCGGGGTGATCATGGAAGATCTGCTGGTGAAGCATAGTTTCAATCATAGCGCCTGAGCCTCCGGCAGTGATAGACTTGATGTAAACCGGATGGAAGTAGGCAATCGGGTTGAGGAGACATCTGAGAAGGAACGGAAGCCTGTGGAGGAACTTTCGCATGGGCATGTCCTGTTGCAGAGTAGAGACACGAATGGATCGCTTGCTACAGTGGGGAACGGTGGGCTTGCTATGAAGCTGTGAGCAAATCGCAGAACGGTAGTCCTTCTTGTCATCGAGCACATCGCCATCAACGTTCTTCAATCTCAACGTCTCTTGGACCTCCTGCTGACTGACAGTGATGACGCTGGTCTCCTGAATGTAGCTGAGGATAGCCTTGTAGGTNNTTTCCCTTGCGTGGTCATCATCAGGCGAGAGCTGCTTGACGCCTTTGAGGCCGACAACAGGAGAGGTAGGCTGAGGAGCGGAACCATTTGTCATCCTTTCTGTCATGGCTTCCATAGGAGCACGTGTATCACCAGTCTTGGCTGCGGTAGCAAGTAGAGGAGTTTCAGAAGACATGAATGAGTCTCCAGTAGGCGTTCTGCCATTCTCTGCCAAATGCCTGAGCGACATCTCGTTAAGATGTTTCACGTTTGCCATGACGTCCGAGATATCGATTCTCCTGAAAAGAGAGATGCGCACCTCGTCTACTGCAATGGCGACTTCCATGTCGTCGGAGAATTTGATGCCGACCTCCACTCCATGTGCGATGATCATGAGTGAAGATAGAGAGAAGGTCATGCCACGGATGTTCATCAGTCCATTGACGTCGACATCGATCTCCAGTGCTGGAATATCAAAGAAGGCGATTTGGTCATCGATGAATTGAAGCTGCTTGAGCACATTTCTGATTCTTCTTCTGACGAACCTTCCAACAGGGTCAAACTGGAAGAGACATGTCAAGAAGATGGTAGGATAGCATGTTGCGACAAACGCGCCATGCAAAAGCCAGGATGTAGCGGCAACTCCATAGGTTAGGTTGATCAACAGTAGCAAGGACCAGATGTTGAAGAAGGGCAGGATTCGATGACCGTTATCGGCGCCGGAGAGAATGGTGAATGTCAAGATGGCAGCGCCCGAGATAATCCATTTCAGTGGCCAGTTGAACAGGGCAATGGACAGAATCGATGTTGCCGCAAAGAGATATGGTACAGGGATTCCAAGGATCGGTTGGAGTTTCTTCTGTCGTTCGGGCAGCTCGCGTGGGGTGAATGAATTCATCTTTGAAGGTTCGATGAAACGAGCACTGTTCGGTCCCCTGCTTCCTGCAAATGTCGACGCCTGTCACTTGTGATTGAGCATAGAAGACTGCTCTCGAGTAGGAAAGAACGACAGACACGTTACGGCTGTTTGCCCTTACTTCATCAAATTTCGCAGTGTCCAACAATTATGCTTGACGTCATAAAACGGCTGTGTGAGCGCATGGATTTTCAAACGAACGCAATGCCAACTCGTAAAGCACACTCATGATTTCAGCACATCAAGATCTTGTGATAGGAATACACGATATAACTATTTCTCTGGGAGTGATACTCTTTCTGTGGCATGAACCAATCTCATGCATCACCTCCGAAGCTGATATTCATTGGTTGAAATCGGAGATACACGAGGATGTTCTGCACGAAGCTGGCCAGAGTCACTTTTGTAAACTCCGCTGGTGACCAAATACGCTGCTTTAGATTTTCCTTCTGATGGAACGACCTTCATCAAAGCATGGCTATCGATGCTGCCAGACTCGCGATCTCATGTAGCAGATATGAATCAAGGATGGTCATGCTGGGTGCAAGGTCGTGTACTCAAGACATGATTGTGCTGTATAGAAGCTGGAGTGTTCACTATCTCCGCCCCGGCTAGCTATGGAAAGCATGGACAACTTCAGCGACAGCCACCTTTAAAGACAGCCATCATCACCATCATCATCGTACCAAACACCATCTTGACACCTGCCACATGAGTCTGTTTACACTGGCCAGACAAACCATCCGCAATTCCATTTTCAAACCTGCTTTTGTATGTGTGGTTGTTTCCTGCATCTGGTTCTACCTTCGATTGACCCCGCCTCAGCCTGCCATCTCTAGAGCCATGCATATCCAGTCGATTCCTATGTGTTAGTATAAGCTTAACAGTGCTTGGTTCTTGAAGCTTATCCAATGTTCAGGGGAGGGTAGTGGTAACAACTACGCCTATCTCGTTGTGGACGACAAGTCCAAGGATGCCGTGATCATTGACCCCGCAAACCCATCAGAGTGAGCCAGCTCTCGCAATGTCAGCGGAAGAGGAATACTGACATGTAATCAAGGNGTTCTTCCTGTGCTCAAGAAGCAAGTGGACAGTGGAGCCATCAACCTCAAGAACATCATCAACACTCACCAGTAAGCATATTTCCGTATCAGACCACAAGAACCGGTACTGACGTCTCACAGCCACCACGATCATGCAGGCGGTAACGTTGAGATGGTGAGTTACAGTCATCGTCTTTGCGAAGGAAGAGAGCTTCAAACTGACTCTTGAACANNGCTCAAAACCTACCCCCTTCCCATTATCGGCGGCAAGGACTGCAGCAAGGTCTCCAAGACACCCGCACATGGCGAGACCTTCAACGTCGGCGACATTAAGGTCAAGGCTCTACACACCCCTTGCCACACCCAAGACAGCATTTGCTTCCTGTTTGAGGATGGCAACGAAAAAGCCGTCTTCACTGGAGACACCCTCTTCATCGGCGGCAAGTTTAGAGACATTAGAGCTCGATAGACGGTACGCTAACATGCGATTNNAGGCTGTGGTCGTTTCTTCGAAGGCAATGCCGAGGAGATGCACAAGGCTCTGAACGAGACTCTTGCTGCACTACCCGATGATACCAAAGTCTACGTAAGGAGAAGAACATTGACAATCATTTGCATCTTTGCTGACCAGTTTGTTGTANNGCCTGGCCATGAGTACACCAAGGGCAACGTCAAGTTTGGCATTCAAGTCATGCAGAGCGAGCCCATCAAGAAGCTCGAAGCCTTCGCCAACGCCAACAAGCAGACTCAGGGCAAATTCACCATTGGTGATGAGAAGGTTGGTCTTCGAGTGTCGCGTCGCGTGTATTCAATAGCTAACAACTCCACTNNCCAGCTTCACAACGTCTTCATGAGACTTGACGTAAGCTTCCTCGACGCAGGTTCGTGTTCTATACTAACGACTCGTAGNGATCCTGCTGTTCAGAAGGCCACTGGAAAGACTAGCCCCGTCGATGTCATGGTCGCCTTGAGAGAGATGAAGAACAAGTCCTAAGCTCGAAGGAGGCATGTGTGGAAAAAATTATTTACGACATCATCCAGACGACACATTGAAAACATACTTTGGAGCCATCGCTATACATGAATGAGGGTATAAATGATATCATGACTGTCATTGATTACTCCTAGTTTGATTGATTCAATGCACCTGTTTTGCCTCACTCCTCGAATATTCGAGCGCCAGACATGTCGTAAAGTCTTGTGTAACCTGAGGATTCTTCCGATCCAAAGTCATCTTCATCCAATTTTTGGCCATATTCTGCGATACAACAGTAAAATGGCAAGTTCGACAGGCCCACGATTTCCGTTGGAGCAGGATCGTGTGGTGGAAATGGCTGCTGCTTCGCCAAAGCAGCGGCTTTGAGTTCTTCCAAATTTCCCCAAAGGATTGCCATCTGCTCGCGTAGCTTGGCTAGTGTTTGCGAGTTGCGTCGTAAACTGATTTTGTCAGCTCAGCTCGACAAGCTCAGTATGGGGTCGATCTACTCAGTAGCATCTTCGTCCATGCAGAGGAGAAACTCTGCGTATCTATGATCCACATGTACCCACAGCTGTTTTGGCGGACAGCCTGGTCGGTAGGACTTAAGGTCTTCCAGAAGTAAAAAGAAGTTCCATTCCCATTTTTGGCTGGGAAACGGACTGATCGTGTTTGTGTCATTCTCTGAATCCTCTGCCGAAGCGTCGGTAGTCGACACAAGCGAGGCGAAATCTTCCAGTCTCGGCGGCCAGAAATCGGCTACTCTGACCCTAACCTTGTTCTTGACGTTGAGATAGGATAACTCTTGCGCCACTCCAGATTTACCGGTGTAAGAATGATCCCTGGACCGAATGTCTCCAAGGGTACTGAGTCTGACACCGTCATAGTTCACGCAGCTGANCTAGAAGGGTATAAGCAGGTCATAATCTGAGCCGAGCGACACAAACGTACCGTGCGTATTGCATACAACAGCAGGCGATGTTGAAGTCGTCTCATCCGTGTTGAGTCCCAATTTCTTGGCCCTCTTCCTCTGTTTCTTGGTCAGTTTTCTTTCGCCTTCCTCCCTTCTGGTTTGTTCATCTTGCTGTCTGGTTGAAACACGATTGTTGTGACCTCGCCAGTAGTTATCTCGACGATTGGTAAGAGCTCTCAGTTGCTTCTCTTCCTTCAACGGGTGGACCAGAATCTTGTCTGAGAACTTGTTATCTGGCCAGAGGTTTCCTTCCATCTTGCCGGCATTGCTCTGTTTAATCCGAACGTTTGAAAGCTTGACAAAGTTTCCTTCTCTCACGTTGTCACGAGCAAATCCTGCATGAGGGGGAAGAAGTTCAACTTGCATAGTATGACGGCCAGAAGGTCCAGGCCAGATTTTGCGCTTTCCAGTCACGTTTGAAATGTAACCATAGTAATCGCCGTCCCTACTCGAGTCATGGTCATGTTCAGAATTCTTGTGGGAATTGATCTGGTCTTACCTTTCAAGTTCATCCTCCGCATCTGCATCATCTGGAGCAGGATAGTCGTACAACGAATCATTGGGTGTGTAGTCAGTGACATATAGCTCCATATTGCCGCTTGGGTTTGGGAACTTCTTTATTACTTCCACGGCAAGGTCGCAATAGTCGTTGTAGCTGACGGCTTGGATCAGGCGAAACTTGGAATTTGTCTGTAGTGGGCCGCTAGTTCTACCAGTGGCGGGTCGATTGGGGACCGATATGGGATGAGAAGGACCAGCAGCGGGTCCAGTAGGGATCGCAGTGGCGTCAGAAGCACCAGCAACGTTTATCACGGACGGAGTCAATTGCTTGAGATCGATTGCGTACATCTGCTCAGCCTTTGAAGGTCTCGGAGATGGATCTTGGGGCAGGCATGGAATATCTTTTTCACCAAGAAAGGATTGCTTGAATGCAGGTTCTGGGATCGAGGCTGCCTGGTAAACAACTGTGCTTGTCACTCTCTTAATGCCGCCGATCGTTGGTACATCACGAAAGTTAGAGACCTGCACACGGTTAAAAACGTTTGACAAGAGGTTGATTATAGCTACCTTGCAATTACGTATGAGAACGATGTCGCCTACGGACGGAGTCGGAGGAGGCTCTTCCTGAGCTGATGTGAAGAGACGGGCCTTTAGACCTTTGGCAAGGACGGGAATTTTCATCATGTCCGAGTCCTGGAGTGTGAAAGTGATTTGTGAATCTGAACATGGCGTGAGTGGAAAGAGCGACAATATAGAGAATACGACTCGAGGTACCTCCAGTCTTTCCGTTAGTCATAGGGGTAACACATCTATGATGATGCCCATGAGACTGATTGAGTAGAGAGTCTGGTTAGACTTGCACTTGTTGTACACATCGCCCAAGCTGGTGAGGGTGTTGGGGCGAGATTGAGCCATGGTAATTATGAAAATAGCAACGCGATGTATAGAAGAGGATTCATCCGGGAGGTTGATCCGGTGCTGAAGATGGAAGCATGATATACATGCTTGACTCGCTTGACAGTCGGTCGAGTATTTGCGCAGCTTGCACTCGAATGGGCCGGGAGACGCGACGCGTCACAGCGAAAGTGGTTGGCCAGATCTGCTCGACGGGCACGCGAGCCTTGGCCAAGACTTCTGGCGGGTTGGATGGTGGGTGTGGGTTCTTTGCGCAGAGCTTTGGGCACTGGATTTGTTTATTGCAAGCAAAAGAGGACCCCTCACAGTAATCAAAGAAATCACTTTCACTGCTGCTTTTCTTTCTCCCATTATCATCTCTCCCCTCACCACTTCCCACCTCGCTCCTCAACGCCTACGTCCAGTCACCATGGCGGACCGCTACATTCCCGAGCACCGCCGCACCACCTTCAAGGCAAAGAACTTGCTCAAGCCCGACGAGCTTCGCCGCCGCCGCGAGGAACAGCAGGTCGAGATCAGAAAGCAGAAGCGCGAGGAGAACCTTGCAAAGAGAAGAGGAATCACCGGCGGCGAGACTCTTGGTGCCTCGCTGGGTGCCGCTCCCGACAGTGACGATGAGTCGACGACCATCGAGAGCCAGGTAACCATGGCCCATGGCCCACGACCTCTCTGCATACCGCTTGCTAACATGTCACACNNGCAGTTGAACGAGGAGCTCCCCCAGATGGTGCAGGGCGTATTCTCCGAGAAGATCGAGGACCAGATTGCCGCCACGACAAAGTTCCGCAAGCTCCTCTCAAAAGAGCGCAACCCTCCGATTGAGAAGGTCATCGAGACCAACGTCGTTGGCCGTTTCGTCGAATTCCTCCGCTCTCCCCACACCCTGGTGCAGTTCGAGGCTGCCTGGGCCCTGACCAACATTGCCTCTGGTTCCGCCCAGCAAACACAGGTCGTCATCAACGCCGGCGCCGTCCCCATCTTTGTCGAGCTGCTCAAGAGCCCCGAGCCTGATGTCCGCGAGCAGGCTGTCTGGGCCCTCGGTAACATTGCTGGTGACAGCCCGCAATGCAGAGACTTTGTCCTGCAGTGCGGCGCCCTCCAGCCTCTCGTCGCGCTTCTTGGTGACAGCCGCAAGCTCAGCATGCTCCGCAACGCCACCTGGACTTTGAGCAACTTCTGCCGTGGCAAGACTCCCCAGCCCGACTGGAACACTGTACGTCCCTCCGCGTCCTTGCAACCGCTTGCGTTTCCCACTGACCACGTGCACATCTAGATCGCTCCTGCCCTGCCCGTCCTTGCCAAGCTCGTTTACTCTCTCGACGATGAGGTCCTCATTGACGCCTGCTGGGCTATCTCATACCTTTCGGACGGCTCCAACGACAAGATTCAGGCCGTCATCGAGGCCAACATCCCCCGTCGCCTCGTCGAGCTGCTTATGCACGCATCTACCTCTGTCCAGACCCCTGCCCTCCGTTCAGTCGGCAACATTGTCACCGGAGACGACGTCCAGACCCAGGTCATCATCAACTGCGGCGCTCTTCCCGCTCTGCTCTCTCTCTTGAGCTCTACCAAGGATGGCATTCGCAAGGAGGCTTGCTGGACCATCAGCAACATCACTGCTGGTAACTCCACTCAGATCCAGGCTGTTATCGACGCCAACCTGATGAGCCCCCTCATCCACCTTCTCTCCAACGGCGACTTCAAGACCCGCAAGGAGGCCTGCTGGGCCATCTCCAACGCTACCTCTGGTGGTCTTCAGAAGCCCGAGCAGATCCGCTACCTCGTCCACCAGGGTGCCATCCGTCCTCTGTGCGACTTGCTGTCTTGCCCTGACAACAAGATCATCCAGGTTGCTCTTGATGGTTTGGAGAACATTCTCAAGGTCGGTGACATGGACAAGGAGGCTGCCGAGGGCACCAACGAGCCCCCTGTCAACCGTTACGCTCTCTTTATCGAGGAGTGCGGTGGTATGGAGAAGATTCACGACTGCCAAAACAACGCCAACGAGGAGATCTACATGAAGGCCTACAACATCATCGAGAAGTACTTCTCTGACGAGGAGGCCGAGGGTGACATGAACGAGCTTGCTCCCCAGGCTGGTCAAGATGGACAGTTCGGCTTTGGTGCCCAGCAGCAACAGCAGAACTTCAACTTCGCCAACGGTGGTGACTCAATGGACATGTAAGCTTGCCTTACACTTTGAGTGCGGCCTTGCTGCTGGCTGGAGATCTCCAATGCAGTACAGGTTTCACCAACCCCAGGTGCAGCTTCCGCTGGCGACAATTCGTTACGGCAGACATACGATTGCTGCAATCCGCACTGCATCTTTACCATGCATTGCCTACTGTCAGCTATAGCTACAGTTTGCGGTACTTCAGCATACGGCCTGCGCCATTCCGGTCCGCGGGTGTGCTCCCGCCATTCTTGCTCGCGCTATCACGGAACCCCTTACACGAAGCACATTCACCACACCTTTCACACCCCCGGAGTTCCAACGATCTGTCACGAAAATGGATCACGAAGAGGAGAAAAACAACAACATCATCAAGATGCCCCGTCATGTATCCCCCAATCCACCCCCCACCATCATATCCCTCCCTCACTTCACACATCATCTTCCCGGCGCAGAATGGCTTGTCTTACGGGGTTTAACAACTTTGCGGGAAACGAGGTCCGCAGAAGACCGAGGACTTGGTCCCCATTATTTCGTATTCTATCGTCTTTTTTCCGCTTTTCTTGTCTTTTCAACGAGGCAATGGTTCGGGTTGATATTGCAATCACACACATTCACCTTTTATTCTGTCGTCTTCTGTTGCTTTTTTGTGGTGCCTGTGATGTGTTCTTGTGTTTCGTCTGCCATGTGTGTTATATCCATCTGCTATGTCTGCCATTTCTGCTCAATCGTCTGTCATGTAATTGAGCATACGACATGACATGTCGTCTGTTTTCAGAGCGGAGCGGATCGGGTGACCTACCCTCGGCTCCACACGCCAGTCTGCTTCTTCCGAGACTTTGCGAGACTGCATCAAACAACAACTCTCCATTTCCGTCCATTGTTTAACGCAAACACCTTTGCTGTCTTCCCTACACACTCAATTGATCATTCAAAGCACGGAAAAACACAATCAGGTAAGTAAGTTCAAAAATTTGGAATCATATTTCTACAACAAGAAAAAAAGAAGAAAAATTACGCCTGTGGAAGGAAGACACCACCCCAGTTGCGCTCCTGCCCACTCCCAAGTCTATTTGGTATTTTATTGCATGACGAGAAAAAGAGAAAGGGTTTTGTGGTTTTCTGATGTTTGTTGTTCTTCTTTCCCCTCCTCCTCTTTTGCTGTTTCTCAATCTGTCGATCGTTGGTGGGTGCGTGGTCCTGAGGTGTGGGGTATCAGGTGAGGGTCGTATGAGTGATGCTGATGAAAGGCGGCGTTTGCATGATGGATCGGGGAGGAGAGAAGAGCGTAGGGCGCTTATTCGCGGGAGACGTCACGGCCAAAGGTCTTTGCCTTGATCCAGTCCATCAGGACGAGGACACGGTTGCGAGCTGTTTTCAAACTTGTTAGCTGGGTGCTCTTTTCTTTTGTTTCGTCCTCTCTTCCATGCAATTGCTGATTCGAACACAACATAGGGAAAAACTTACTGCTGAAGCACATGCTGAGGTAGGCGGAACGCCAGAAGAAGTATGTGACAGTACCACCAGTGGCAATGTTACCAGTCAACCAGGAGATATCGGCAACGGCCTTCTCGCTACCAATGTATGCGAGCGAACCCTGGTGAGAGTACTCGAAAGGACCCATCTGGTTGGCGCGACGCAGACGCTTCTGGAGATCCTTGATGTTGACAAAGATCTGGTCACGGGCATCCTTGGGGGCGGTCTCCTGTGCGGCGGACAAGTTCTTGAGCTCGGACTCAATCTCCTCGGACTTGGCCATCTGGTTGAAGAGACGGGCAAGGAAAGCACCTTCCTGGGCAGCAACCTGGGCAGTGGGGGCGTAGTTGGCGACAGCGCAGTCACCGACGGCCCAAACGTTCTCGGCACCCTTGACGACCAGGTACTCGTTCACGTTCAAACCACGGCGGGCATCAGCCTGAGCGGGAATCTGCGACATCAAATCCTTGACGACGGGACGGACAGCGTTACCGGTAGCCCAGACGAGCAGGCCGTAAGGGATCTTCTCCATGACCTTCTTGCCATCAGCACCAACGTACTCGGCCTCAATGTAGTCCTTAGTGACGTTCTTAACCATGGTCTTGGTACGGATGTCAATGGTCTCCTCCTTGAAGGTCTGCTCGGTGTAGTCGATCAATTGCTTGGAGAACATAGGAAGAACNNCTATGGCGGACTGTCAGCGAATCCGTCAAAGAACAAACTCGAGCACTGGACAACATACGCTGGGAAGAGCCTCGACAAGAGTAACACGGAATTCATCAGCGATTTCGGGCATCCAGGTCTTGAGGTCGTTCTCGAAGAAATCCTGGAGCTCACCAGCGAACTCGACACCAGTGGGGCCACCACCGACAACGACCATGTGCAAAAGACGCTTGCGCTCTTCAGGGCTCTGATCCTTGAAAGTGGCAGTTTCACAGCAGTCCATGATACGCTTACGGATACGTTGAGCATCGGCAACTTCCTTCAGGAAGCAAGAGTGCTCGCGGACACCAGGAATACCTAGTCGAGACATGTCAGCATCACCTCCACGATCGCGTGCTTCGACCTCAACCTACCGAANAGTAGCGTTCTCGGCGCCGACACCGACGACGAGCATATCGTAAGGAACCTCGGTCGAAGAAGTAGCACCCTTGACCTCAGACTCGTCGTTGATGTAAACGACCTTCTTGGTGTAGTCAATCTTTGTGGCTTCGGCTTCGTAGAACTTGACGGAGGCTTTCTTGTGGCGGAGGAAGTTGCGGACAGGCTCCATGATGGAGCGGTGCTCGATGGTACCGGTTGTGCAAGAGGGCAGAAGAGGAGTGAACAGGAAGTAGTTGCGAGGAGAGATGACAATGACGTTGTAGTTTTCGGTGTCGAGCTTCTTGAGGAGGGAGACGGCACCCCAGCCGGTACCTGATTGCTGCTGTCAGCTCAGAGCTCAATGCTACTGCTCGGAACACATACCAAGAATGACGAGGGTCTTCTTGGTCGGGTCGGGCTCGGGTTGGTCGCCGGGGTTCTTCATCTCGTAAATGCCGTAGGCAGTGTAGGCGAGGCCAGCAATGGCAGACAGGTAGGTGGCTCTCCACGCCCAGCGGAAGTAGCGGAAGCCGCTCTTCTTGGGCTTGACGGCGTCGGCGTAGGAGCGTCTGAAGGACTGGCGCAGTTGTTGCTGGCACAGGTTGGCGCGAGGCGAGGGCTGGACACGCGATGCGAAGCTCTGGCTGTTGGCGGTCGCAAAGGTGCGCTTGGAGGCACCAATTGCAGCACGCATCGAGGCGACTACGGGCCTCATAGCTGATGCGGCAGCCATCAGAGGGACAATGGGGGGTGAGGAGGGTGTTGGAGTGGTTGAGCAGAGAGAAGGTCAGCGTCTTCCAATAATAACAAAATCGAGCCGATAAGCAGAACATTTTGCGATGAGCTAACCGGCCTGGCAAGAAAGACGCTTGGACCACTTTCCGAACATTCAACTCAAGGATCTGACCCTCTACCGCGACCGCTGTCACTGCTGCATATCTCTCTTTTGCTTATATTCGATATCTACGCATCTCTGTATTGTTGCTGAACCTGTGTGTACGCCTGCTGCTCTACACATTGTCAGCATCATGCATGTTCATCGCTCAAGACGACCAGCTGAAGTCTGCATTCTTCCATTTTTGCTGACCACGCCGCCCTGTGCTGGCTCTCCCCTTAAGTCCGAGCTCGACAAAACACACCCCTCGACGGTTGATCTTATGGAATTGTTCTAGCCGTGTTATGTAGGCCGAGCAGTCAACCATTCTGCAACTGTTGTTGAACTCGCTCGAGCCGACTTCGTTGCGATTGCGTGCGCGCCCTGTGGTCGTTCTCCATGTGCGGAACAGTCACTCACTCCCGCGGTCGGTTGTGAAGCGCTACTTGAGAGTAGAGAGGTTCACAAGTTCCTACGAGTACAACCGAGAGTCTCACTCAGTAGAAGTGTCTTGTAAAGCGCAACCAGTTGTCTTCTAGTGCTTCTGCATGCCGCAGCGCTGCTTGAGAAGTTCCATGAAACAGGTCGGGCTTTGAGATCGCTGAAGCAGATCTTTGGGTTCAACGTGTGGCTTGCTGTCAAACCGGCGAGTCGGCCCTTTATCTTTGCGGTACCGGCGGAAGCGACGTTCTTCCTAGCACTGCCGTGTTTTCAAACGTCAACACATGCTTCACAGCAACAATGATGCGACATCAATCTGACATGGAAGTGGCGCACCTCTGGCTGCCCCCAGAGCTTTTGCTCCTTGTCATGAAGCAGGTCCAGCATGGCGAGCAATATTCCGCTTCCAGGAAATCGCTTCTCAATGCTACGTTGGTCAACCGCGAGTGGGCTGAAGCTGCTACTCATATCCTATGGGAGAAAGGCGCATCTGTGTCGGCGCTCGCTAGTGTGTCAGCAGATCGCAGACAGTATTACGCAAACAAGATATCTGAACTCGATTTCGAGGGCGAAGAGGACGCAAAACATCATGCGACCTTCAAAGACCTAATCTTTCCGCGCCTGAAAAGCGTCTTCGTCGACAAGGTCGACCTAGAGGAAGGCGAAAAGCTACATCTCAATCAGTACCTGCAACCGCAGCTGAGAAGCATCGACTGCGGAGGAGGCGGCCTTGATGACAACGCTCTTGTGACTATGGCTGCAAACTGCCCCAGACTCGAGGAGTTATGGCTTGAAGAGCCAATCGAAGGCTCTAGCGAGCATCAACTGCTTGAGCTCTTCAGAGGTTGCAAACTTCTGGAGCTCGTCAACCTTGGTGATGGCTGGGCCGATGTTGTCACTGCTGAACTATTTGCAGGGTTGGCTAGCCTTGAAAGCCTACGACAGATGAGTATCAGGCCCTTGACAGAGGATCTCGCTATTCGCAAGGGCGTAAGCATGGCCTCCTTCCGCAACCTCGAGTCTCTCACCATGACAGTGGCGTCGGTAAGTGTCGCACGTGTGGCATCCGTTGTCACGTCGTTGTCTTCACTGATCTTGATCATCGAGGACTCTGATAATGATGCCCTCGCGCCTCTTGGATCACTGAAAGATTTAGTTCACCTCGAGTTGACGTTTCTCGACGATACGGAGCTGTCTCCACAAGGATTTCGTGCCCTGGAGAACTTGAGAAGGCTTGAAATACTCATGATGGAGTCTAGAGGAGCACCACTATCCGCGATGTGGATGAATGACAAGTTGTTCAACGAATTCACTTCCAAATTGCCAAAACTACGCAACCTCGAGTTGAAAGTGGACTTCGATATCACGGCCATGGCACTCACATCTCTCGCCAAAACTCATCCGAAGATGAACAGCATCGACTTCTTTGGCGAATTTGAATTCAGCGAGTGGTCAAGGATTACTAAACCCCTATACCCAAGTTTGATAAGATTTGTCATTGAAGCACCATTTATCGAAGGACGAACGAGAAGGTATGTAACTATAATTTACTTCTGTGTCCACATACAGGTAATGCTAAAGTCCTCAAGATCCGCAGATGCCACAGTTGAGGAGCGAGCTTCACAAATCGCAGATCTTATAATTCGACACTGTCCAGTGGTTAAACAGCTCTCCTTTTACTCTTACTACGAAAACCTGCTGGCACAGCTTGTGATCAGAGCCTTCGAAGCAAAAGTTCCTGGACGATACCACGAACCGTTGTCAACTTGGTTCCGAGACAGGGAAGATTCTGCCAGGGTCCCTTTTCAACCTAGCGAGACCCGGATGTACCACGGCTAGGTAGAGATGAGTGTTCCAACTACATTCATTCCTCGTTATGCAGTCATCTCAACTGGTGAATGCTTTGAGATCATTCACCAAGCACCCACCTATGAATTCTATGTAATATACTCAACCATGCATCAAGAAATCGTGGGATACGGAGCACAGGGCCATATGTAATGATCTTCTTGCTGATGAGTCTACCTTGACTTTGGACCGCGAAAGGTTGTAGACTGGCATGTGATAGAGATCAAATCGATCGGACGTAGTAAATTGCTTATCAAGACTGAAGTCGCGATTTGAGCGTCAAAGATCTCTTGTTTCCTGAGACTGGGCTACTGGATCTGATGATTCCGTGGCTAGCACGTTACTCTCATTGTTCCATACACAATCTGGCGGAGGTCAATTCTTGACACTGACTGTGTCGTTCCATAGCAACGTGATAGCCGATGTCAAGCATACAACAACATGTGGTTTCCTCTATAGCTATATCTACATCCCCAAAAGCACATTTCTCAGTGGTTAGAAATTACTTACTATCTTGTGTCCAATGACTTGGTGGTCGGCGAGGATAACGGAGGTCGCCGAAACGAGATACGAGGACCAGGGTCGTACCTAACCACATCCACTCTACCTTTCCTCTGCAACATACCTGCAAAGATGTCAAGATCATCAGCTCAAATACCGGTCATCGACATCTCATCCTCAAACCCAGATGCTGCGACACAGCTCCTCAACGCCGCAGCCAACAATGGCTTCGTGTTTGTCGAGAACAATGCAGCCGTGGGAATGCCTCCTGCCAAAGTAGAGCACATGTTTGATTTGGTAAGTGAAAGTAAAATTAGAAAGAGCGACAAAGTACTAAGAGAAACATTANNGAGTAAGCAATTCTTCCAAGGTCCGGTTGAGAATAAGCAAGAATGTCCTACACAGAACAATAGAGGATGGGTTTCTATGCAGCAAGAAACGCTCGATCCTGGCAATCAGAAGGTAAGGCCTGATCAAATTTGTGCTACATATGTGCCTAGAGCTGACTTGATGACANNGAGAGGCGATTTCAAAGAGTGAACCATACCAATCACTCCTTCACACTCAGTATATTAACACTCCATCCAGNNAGCCTTCAACCTCGGTGAATTCAACGGCAACAAGCCAAACCAACCACTCCCCAACCCCTTCTCTACACAAGTAGACACCGTAGCAGACTTCAGCCGCTCTTGCCATGCTCTCTGCAATAAGATCCTTCAACTCTTTGCCGAAGCCTTGGAGATTCCATCAGACTGGTTCAGCTCTCGCCACGATCAATCCAAGGGACCATCAGGAAGTATAATGCGTCTCCTCTATTATCCCTCTGTCGCAGACACTTTAGCTCCAGGTGAAGACGACATTCGCGCAGGTGTAAGTTCTTTTCCTCACCCTTCTTGTCTCAACTTTTCGCTGACAGAACGCAACAGNGCTCACAGTGACTACGGCACTTTAACCCTCCTCTTCCAACTCCCAGGTCAACCAGGACTCGAAATCAAAACTCCCTCTGGCGAGTGGGAAAGCGTGCCAGTGGACCCCCATGGCACTTTACTCAGCGACCCTTCAAAGCCTTTGCCCATCTTGATAAACATTGGCGATTTGCTAGCTTATTGGACAAATGGTTTGTTGAAAAGTACAGTACATAGGGTCATCTTCCCAAAGGATGCTAGACGGGGTGGTGAAGATAGGCATTCGATGGCGTATTTCTGCCACCCCCTAGATGAGGCTGAACTTGTTCCCGTACCGAGCAAGCTTGTTGAGAATTACGAGGGCGATGTTGAAGGAGTGAAGAAAGGAGGAAAAACGATGACGGCAAAAGACCACTTGCTTGAGCGTCTGGCAGCGACATATGGAACGAAAGCTTAAGAGTAGAGAACGGAAGTGTATAGGCATCGCAGACGCTATGCAACAGATGCTGTAACGACAGACGAACAGGTAACTATATGCAGTAAAGGTCTATCATAGCCAACAGGGAACGCGCCTTCGCTTCTACCACAGCCAACACGGCGGAATGACCGCGTGAATAAAAACAAAAACCAAATGGAAAAATCAGGGGGTATCTTTATGCTGCCTGTTTAGGAACGCCGGAGTGAGTTTGCAAAGGAAACTTGAGTCTTTCTCGCATGTCGGAGTCTCTAGCTCCTACGAGGTCTCGATACGTTCTCGTCGATGTATTGCTGGAGGCGCTCGGGCGACTTGCGCACGATGTGATATTCGCCAGGAGCATCGGTCCAGCTCACGCACTTGGAGTAGAAGGGCAACTTTCGCTCGTCCACGAGCAGGTGACGGGGATCGTACTGGTTGCGATCGCTAATCTCGTAGCCTTCTTGCTTAAAAGGTTTCAGACTGATAATGCGGCATCCGTCTTTGAGGTCCAGGAAACGGTCCATGATCTTGCTGTTGAGGTCCGGACTGAAGGCTTGGTTGTTGACTAGGACGACATCGGCGCGCTTGAGGACCTGGCCAATCTTGTCGTTGGCTAGGAAATCGCCTTTCAGCAGATGCACCTTGCCAACCGATAGACCCCACATGCGGGCGCGAGCGGGAAACTCTCTAGCTTGCAGATCGGCGAGTTTGCAAGGGTTGTCCATGACTTCGCATCCCCAGCTCTCACAACCAGTCTCAAGAGCGGCCTGCAGACAGACATTGCCGACGCCAGAACCCAAGTCGACAAAGACCTGGTCAGACTTGAGTTCAGCTATGCTCAACATTTCGGAAACGAGTGGAGGCAGCAGTTCGCCATAGACGTTGTCGGTGCCGTTCTGATACGCCTTGAGGCTGTCGACCTGAGGCGAGACGGTGCGTGTGTAAATCTGGTCGAGGATGCGCTGAATCCATTCAAGAGTCATACTATGCTTTGTGGACAGCTCCTTACCGATTGTTCCGTCTCTTCTTGCCTTGATGACCGTGGTGTTGAAGTCCTGGATAGTGCCGACGTAGTCTTCCTTTGAGCCCTTGCTCACGGCGCGAAGCAGGCGACGTTCAAAGCCATTCTCGTCGTCGAGGTACTTTTGAGCCAAGTTTTCGGGAAAGTAGTTCTGACAGATGAATTTGACCGTCTCCCTGATGTCGTCCAGAGGTTGGTAGTCCTGCTGAACGCCGTTCCTGACCAGGGTGAATTTTTCAGGTATCGACAGTCCGGGATATTGCAGCTTGACCACAGCGGGCGATTCTCCAGGGAAGACGGACTTGTACGACTTTCCGACATCACCAGCGACCAGAGAGGCGCCGGAGACGTAGTCGAAGCGGCCTTCGTCCTTGCGCACTCTTGAGTCTTCCAGCTTGCGGTTGGGGTCTTCGGAGGTGGCGCGAGACTTGATACGCTTTCTTGCGTCGAGCGAAGAGGCACTACTCTCTACGCCGCTGTCGTCGTCGTCATCGCTGAAGAGTTGTGTCGGAGTCGAGGCCTTACGCTTGACCACCCTTCTCACCCTCTCTTTCGGCTCTTTCGGGACTGACAGGCGATCCCGTGCAGTAGGTTGTTGCGAAGGGCGTTTTGGAAGCGGCGAGGGTCTTGTCGGAGCAGCAGCAGGCTTTGCGACTCTCTTGACGGGTACTGAGACGGAGATGGTTTTCGTTTTGATGACGGGCTTGTTTTTCGGGGCTGCGGTGCCGAAGAAGTTCATGTTGGCGGGTTTCGAAAGAGGAGGGATGGTATGCAGCGAGCGCGAGGGTGGAAAGAATTTAGTCGTCGACAGCAGTCGGGCGTGAGCGGGCGTTTGTCTGCGGTAGAGAGAAAGTCGGCTGGAGTCGCTGGACAAACAAAGAAAGCTTTGCCCCAGACGCGGCTTCCTTGTGCCAAACTGCCGCCTGTCGCGTGCCCGCCAGCGCCTGCCGAACTCGGATAAAGTGCTTCGAGGGGCCGTGCTCCATGCTTCCGAGCTTCCTTCTGTCACCAGCATTGTTTACTTTGTCCTGCATCTTGCCAGGAAGAAGTTGCTACATGCCTCGAACTCGACCGTCGCTGATAGAGCACCTGCGTACTCTAATTGTCTATTAGAGCTCTCTTCGATATGTCGGCGACTGGAGCCCTGGCTGAAGAAAGTCGGCGATTTGTAAAACTTGACGGACGTCATAATGCGCTGTGTTCTGGATAGCTCTTTCCTGATATAAGTATTCTTGCCTTCCACTTCTCTTTTCCTTCTCTCAGTCAATGCATCTCGTGTGAACACACCACAGAAGAACGACACACAATTAGCTGCCCATCATGGAAAACATCCCGACCACCAACGAGACCAAGGGTCAGCCCGAATCCATGACCAACAAGATTCTCGAGACCGGAGCTGCCGCGACACAGAACTTTGCTCCACCTAAAAGAGTCTGCGCCCATCTCAACGCCTTCCATGCATATGCCAATGACCCTACTCGTTGCGTCGAGACCAACCACTACTGCGCACATCTGAACGACGGTATGCCTCCTATGCCAGTCTTCTGGGTACCTCACTAATCCAATCANGAGGTGCGACAATGCCTTCTCTACGACTCGCCCGAGTCAAATGCTCGTCTCATTGGTATCGAATACATGATCAGTGCCCGCCTCTACGACACTCTGGACCAGGAAGAGCGCAAGTACTGGCACTCGCACGTCTTCGAAGTCAAGTCCGGCATGCTCCTCATGCCACGTCCTACCGGTGTCCCTGAGGCCGTGTGGGAAGTCGCAGAGAACAAGGAGATGGAAGAAGTCGTCACTCTGTACGGCAAGATATTCCACCTATGGCAGACAGACAAGGGTCACAAGCTTCCCCTGGGCGAGCCTCAGCTCATGACCAGCTACACCGACTATGATCAGTTCGACTTCGACCAGAAGGTTGGAGACAGAGACCGAAGATTTGGCGAAGACCACCGTCACAAGCGTCAGGTCAGAGAGTATATCAAGGAGCCCGCCATCCATNNCCAGGTTTGTTTACTCGATCGACCACTTCACGTATCCGGCTGACACAAAACAGACGCAGATGCTGCTTGGAAGGAAGCAGGCACCCAAAACAAGCAGTCTGAGAAGAATGGCGCCATGACCCATCCTTCTGTTATGCAGGACAGCCACAGTGCTGCTTAGTGCGCAGCCTTTGCAAGCACCTTCGAATAACGAACGTCACGAATCACTCTTGGCACGTCATGATATTTTTCTCTGACAGGTCTAACCGACCCGACTAACTGGTCATTGAGCGTTTTTCTCTATGCTGGTATCATAGATAATGTATCGTACTTGACATGCATGCCAGACCCATCACAATGCTTCCAACCATTTCTTCGCCTTCTTGCCCAATGATCCCATCTGCTTTGCCTGACGCAAAGCCTTCGTGTCTCCTTCCAATGCTAACCAGAATACAGACATGTTGACAAGAAAGTTGTCTTCACGGCCAGGGATACTGGTGTGTAGGTGATGCATCGCCTTGTGCAATTCGACGCTCTTTCTCCTGGTCATGAACTTGTTGGCGACACCGCAGATATCGAAGTCGACTTCGAAGTCACTGGACTTGCTCTGAAGAAACAATGCTCCATTGGTAGCTGCTGGAAGGCTCTGTTGAATGTTGTTAGTCTTCCATCTGATAGCTACATATTGGGAGAGAGAAAGCTTGCCGTAGAGATGCAGATGGCAGGCGAGGTCTGCAAGAGGTCTTCAAAGAAAAGGACGAGAGGTATGCACTTNTGCGAAGACGAGGGTACGCTCGTCAATGTGGCGGTTGAAAGCCTCTGGATGTTCGATGATCTGGCCGCCAAATTCGCTCAACAGACGGTAGTCGGCGACGCAAAACTTCGGGTCCTGGAAGTAGAGTGTAGGGATACGAGTCTTGTTGTTCTGAGCTTGTTGCTTTGCTGTTTTTGAGTCTTCAGTCAGCCTCCAATCTTCTTGGTGTAATCTGACATCCAGGCAGCTTACNNCGAGCTCGAAGATGGCCAGGATGAAGGCTATCTCGTATCGCCAGAAGGTGTACTCGCTGAGGTGAGAGAAGATGCTGCCCAAGCCAAGGATGATAACCTTATCGATTTCGTGTTGCTGAATGGCATGGCGGACCTGGTTGCAAGCATCTCTCCAGTTGGCTGAAGTCAGACAGTCCCTGGCAGNGTCAGCACGATAATCACGACGGAGCAATGATCAAATGACTTACTGTTTGAGGGCATTCAGGTGCTGCTTGAAGCCATCGGTGACTTTACCAGGGATCTTCTCGCAGGCAGGAAGCTTGTTGANCTGGGGTGTTGTATCAGTATATGTCAAGCCGTTGTGTGGACCGGAAAGTATACAATCGATGAAGTGCTCCTCGTTATACTCAGCCCTCTTCTTCTTCATTCTGGACATGTCGTAGTCGCCTGGAGAAGTATAAGGTCTCATGCCAAACGACCTGAGCCATCCTTCTCTTTCGACAAAGTACTGAGCGAAATGATCCTCACGGACCTCATCCCTGTAGTCGTCCATTCTGGAGGCCTATGAGATAGGTTCCGGATGAGATGGACAGCAAAGTCGAAGGGGAGGCAGCGAAAGATGAACCAAAAGAGAGCGGGTTGCGAAAGCAATGCTATCTGATTATTGGTCTTCCACAAAGCGCATATCTGCTGTTTGCGTCGCGTTTGTCGGGTCCATCGTCACGGTGACAAACAGCAGAGTGCGGAAACGAACTTGTGTTGTCTCTTGTTTGAAACATTAGTAGACAGGCTTCAGCGAGCAGGCACGATGCGCCATCAGATTGCAGCTGCCGTTTGGAGCTGATTGGTTACTACAACTCCATCAGCACAAATGTAAATGAACATTGGTTTAATCACAAGGGAAAGACATGACTGCAATGATACTGGTAGGACTGATTATATTGCATAGGGTCAAGAGACTAGTTTGTAATGTTCACTCCTCCACTCGACCCAGCCGCGGGCAAGCCACGACTGCGTATGAAGAATGGGCGAAGAACCCCGGATCAATTGAAGGATATCCTCGGGGAATGGCTTTGAACCTTGATCTTGCTGTAGTGTCCACACTCGCTGCATCGTAGTATTGTTCGTGATGGCGGGCTCTAGCAATTGAAACAGCTTGGTTGTGTTGAAGAGGGAATAAAGGAAAAGAAATGTCTACTTGGCCTAAGGCATACTCTGTATCAGCAGCTGGTTCGACATGATCTGTCTCGCAGCGTCGCTTTGACGGAAGTTGGCCTTTGTCTATAAAGAGTGTTTGTTGTGGAAGAAGTGGAAAAGTTTCAGCAAGAGCTGGAGTTTTGATGCACGACGCACAGTCCAGGTGCTCGACAAACAAAGCAAAGTGGGCATCATCGTCAATCAATCAATCGCGTCCTCCGCCTCGACCACTTTCGTCTTCTTGAGATTGTGCTGCATAGAGTGGCCATTTCAAACATGGTAAGTGACTCGACTAGAGAATTACGTGCAGTATCTGATGTTCCATCTAGCCTCCCAAACGTGGTAAAACAACAGCCGGCAAAGCAGCAACGGCAGCGGCGACAGCGCCAAAGAAACGCGCCTCGAAATTGGCAAAGGAGAACGACATCACCGCCGACCAAGAAAACGAAATCCTCGAAGCCTTTGCCTTGTTCGCCGTGACAGACAAATCAGACTACTCGGACGAGAAAGAAGGAGTTCTACGGACAGAAGATGTGCGACGCTGCCTCATCGCTCTAAACACACCACCCACCTCCGCCGCTGAGTTGTCAGAGATCCTCGAAGCTGTAGATCCAGAAGAGAGTGGCTTCGTCACCTATGCGCATTTCGTCGCTGTCGCAGCACTCAAACTACACGCAAAACACAATGATCCTGAGCAACAGAATGAAGAGGTCGATGCTGCCTTTACTCTATTCACACGCGGAGAGGGCGACTTCATTACACTGGCTCATTTGAGGCGTGTCGCGCGCGAACTCCGAGAAGACGTTCCAGACAAGATGCTTAGAGATATGATCAAAGAGGCTACCAGCGGAGGTGGTCCTGTTGTTGGTAGAGAAGACTTTGAAGGCGTCATGAGAAGAGCTGGTGTATTTGGTTGATCGACCGAATAACTACCATGGGATGCCGTTTGCTTTGTTGTGCGCTTTTCGTCATCAAATACCCCATTTTCGTCTTGAGCAGGAGTTCATGGTATGCATTTATCTCTTTTTCTCTGCATTGAGCCCTGAGCTCGTTCTCCCTGCGTCGGATCGTTGGTTTTGATCGTTGTCGCCATCCATCTTATCGCCCACAATACCATCATCACCGTCGTAAGCGCCATCGTCGACCTCATCATTCTCGGCAGAGTCTTCGTCGGAGTCGCTGCAATAGATCATCATGTACTCTTCTACGCTTTCCCAGCCGCTTCTCAATCCACTGAAGATACCATCCCAATGCGTACGGTCATAGAGGGCCGAGTACCAAACCAGAAAATCCGACAGACACTCAAAACAATCGTTGCTGTTCTGGTCAGATGCTTGGACGAAGACTTTCCATTGCCAAGGATCGTCGTCATTCAGACGACAAAGCAAGTAGCAAGTGTCGGTCGATTGATTATAAGCCATACGACTTCCAGCGCACCATCCAGCAGCAACATCGTATTGGTATTCTCGTACGGCGTCAATAAAATCTTCTAGTGACTCGGCTTGAGCTGCACCCCATGGATCTGAAGATCCGAAAGCTGGCAGGAAGTTCATGCGCTGCCACTTGTCAGGAAGTATTCCACCGGTCTGTCTATAGAGCTCGCAAAAGACAGCAGGAAGCTCGAGGTTGGAGATGTCGTCTTCACTGAGACGGGTTCGTGAGGCATGTTCTCGCATGCCACCTCGAAGTTCCACCAGAAATCTCTCAATAGCTTTTGTGTTTTCGTCAACTGATCGATGGGGTAAATAGCTTCCATCGTAGACATGGTCCCATCCAGGGACCCCAGTCTCGCTCTCCCAGCCGACAGTATCGACATAGTCTTGCACTCGGGCAATTTCGATGTCCTTGAAGTTAGAACGTTCACTGTTCCATAGCACTGTGTTCAAGATTTCTGGCCCTTCTTTGCTGAGATGAGTAGCAAGAAGGTTAAGACGGATCTTCTCATTGCCGTCTTGATCGATTTCACAGATCTTGTCGATGATTGTTTGAAGCACGCGCTTGTTGTGATTGTTCATACGTTCTCCGAACTCGTTTAATATCGTCTGCGTTCTCTCCATTCGCTGTTGTGAAGAGAGCGCTTCGAAGCCAGAGTCATTGGCGATAATCATTGAGTTCGACGACATGATATAAGGATGGAGATGGGGTGAATTCGATTCGGCATTGCAGTAGAAGGGACTCACAACATGTTTGCAGAATCACTCAATCAGGCGTGGTCAATATAAGGCGTTCCACAATAGGCTCACTCTCCGACTCTTTCGTGCGAAGTTGAGAGACCCTTGGAGATGGACAAGTCGAAGCGTGATGATGAAACCTGGTGTTGTATTTGGAACCAACAACAATNNTCAAGCACATACGGCCACAGTCAGCTGAAAACTGGGCATCCCGTCCGCTCTGCCATACATAAGCAGTTGAACGGCAGATTAGTACTACGGTGGGTGACCACGTGGGAATCCCTGCTGCTGTATGTTTTGTTTGTGGACTGTTTTTGTGTTCTGGACTTTTTACAATCTCCGAATGTCGCGTTATGGCCTGGTCTTTGGACAAGTGAGTGCAGTACAAGTTTGGTGGCGCCGAAGTCGAATCTTGGAAGTTGTGTCCAAACAGTATTTGCACCGGAAGTTGCAAGTCGTACAAAAGACGGAAAATCAAATGCCTTCAGAATCACTCAAAGAGAATTGCATGGGTTATAGAGCAAGGAGGTAGGGTGTCGTGATCGAGGTCTGGTTGTCAATTCTGGCGAAGCTTTTCCAAAAGCTTGTGTCTGTCTGAAAAGTCTGGGCACCATCCTCGACTACTTTCCAACCTTTGACTGACTCTCTTGATCCTTGTTCCTTCATGATTCAACTTCTACAACGTCTTCTTCCCCGCATCAGGCTCCATGCACATCGAGCCGATATCGTACAGGGGTTACGAGTCTTGCTGACATGCTTGAACTCGTCGTGTGTGCAAAACTACCACGTACGTGGCTGGCGGTCAACAAGCTTGCATTCTGCCTTCCGCCATAGCCGTTTACCCCAGAGTATCAAATGATCATACATCTACACATCAACTCGAGATCAAAGAAAGTAGTGCTGTGATCTGGCTGTAATTGCTCACAGAAGTGAAGCGTTGTGTATCACTCCTGCTATCCAATCTCACCGCAGAGACATCAATGATACAAGTTATGTGCACATCTGCCAGAGGGGAGACAGGATGCATAGACTTGCGGGATGGCTCGAGACATTCACGGGATTACGGCTCGAGAAGCCGACTTTGATGACTTCCTGGGTATGGCGCCTTCCACATCCGTCACGACATGTCCGTGGATCGACATTAGTTCACAAGCCGGTGCCAGGAACCTCGTTATATCCCAGCTTTGGCTTCGCCAGGCATGTCGACGACGGGACTGTAAGATATGATTTTAGCCGGAAGGTGTGTATATAAATCGCTCTTGGTGGACTACCTCGTTGCAGATTCTCAGACCATCAATCAAGACGTACATCATGTTTAAAGTAGCCCTCTTCTTTGGGCTGGCAGCTGCTGCCCCAGGCCTGTCTGTCAATGCTACCTCGCGTGCTCCGAGCATCTCTTCGGAGGCCATTACCTTGTCCCTCTCGTCACTTTCGAACTACACGTACACAAGTTATCCCTCACAGACGGCCACTCCGACCACAAGCGGTCAGTCCCTCCCGACTGACTACTCTGAACAGGCTTGGTCGATGCTTTGGGATCAGGTGGGCCCTGTGAGCACAGCATCAATCAATTATACGGTTTCGCCGACACCAGAGGCAACTCCTGTACCTCCTCCATACGGCTTCTCGTCGCAGGTCACCACCGGCAATCTGAGCTCTTACAAGTTCCCTTCGGACTTCGTGTGNGGAATTGCTAGCGCTGCCTACCAAGTCGAGGGTGCCGCGAAAGATGAAGGGCGCGGTCCTTCGATCTGGGATCTCTTATCTCATCGCGTTCCTGGCTATGTCGCGGATCACAATACTGGTGATATCACAGATCTGGACTACTACTTGTACCCCCAGGACATCCTACGTCTCAAGGCTTTCAACGTTCCATACTATTCATTCTCCATCTCCTGGAGCAGAATATTCCCTTTCGGTCGAGGTTATGTCAACGAGCAAGGACTTGCTCACTACGACGATGTCATTCAGAGGCTTGTTGAAGCCGGCATAAAGCCGATCATCACTCTCTTCCACTGGGATACTCCTCTTGCTCTCATGAACGACTACAACGGGTGGGTATCTGAAGAAATCCAGGCAGACTTTTTGGCATATGCACAGCTTATTATCAGTCGCTACGACAAGTATGTTCCTATCTGGGTGACGGTGAACGAACCTCAAGTCTTCTGTGGCGATGAGTATCCCGGCTTCCCCTCAGGATATTGGCCGCAGTATGGTGTCACTGGCCTACGTGCACAGTACTACTGTGGTCACAATGTGCTGTTATCCCACGCAGCAGTCGTGGACTGGTACAGGAACGATTTCAAGGGCACTGGCCGTATCACTTTCAAGAATTCAGCGAACAACTACATCGCCAACACTACGTCTACTGCCGATGCCGAGGCTGTTGCTCGCGGGAACGACTTCCAGCTGGGCTGGTTCAACTCTCCCGTTTGGCAGACTGGAGATTACCCGACTTCGCTGAGAGACACTCTGGGCGACCTGCTGCCTCACTTCACGGCTGCTCAAAGCGCAATGATTCTTGGCTCTTGCGACTTCTTCGCCATCGACGGCTACACGACCGATGTGATCGCCGCCTTGCCCGAAGGTGCCGCTGCATGTGCCTCGAACTCCAGCGATCCCAACTACCCGACCTGCATCACGCAATCTCAAGTCACAGCTTCTGGCTGGGACGTAGGATTCGCTGCTGACCTAGGCGCCTCCTGGCTCAAGTCAGACCCCAGCGGTCTCCGTACCTTCCTCAACTACTTGCAAAAGACATACACAGGACCCAAAGGCAAGGACATCGTTTTGAGTGAATTTGGGTTTGCAGAGCCTGGAGAGAATAACTTCACCACCCTGCAAGACGCACTCTACGATCAATTGAGAGTCGACTACTTTGCTGGCTATCTGAACAATTTGTTAGCTGCCAAGGTCGAGGATAACGTCAATGTCACGGGCGCCGTTGCCTGGGGTATCTTTGACAACTTTGAGTGGAGCAGTGGGTTGAGCACGAGATTTGGTTTGCAGTATGTGAACTACACAACCCTTGAGAGATATCCCAAGGCTTCTATGTTCACTTTCACGGACTTCTTCAAGCAGCACGGTGTGTAGAAGGCTACTGCTGTATGCCTTGCATTCTGATTCTGCCCAGATGTACATGAGTCTTTTGTATGAGCTCCTCTTAATCTTCTTCCAGGGCTTATACAAGTGGCTTTAAGAAGAATAGAATACCAAGTTTATGTTAGGTATTCTTGTCTGATCAGATCAACATAAACCTACTCTCATCGCCATCTAGACGTGCGTGCTCGACCACTCTCTGTACCAATCAAGACATCCAGCATTAGCCACCGACGCTGAAGTCTTGACATTCATGCCACACAAGATCTGCTTGACTGCCGCCTCAATCTTTTTCCCGTTTGTCGTAACGGGAATCTCAGGCGTCTCGTCCACAATACCAGGCACATGACGAGCGCTAAGTTCCATCCTTATGACTTGCTGAATGCTCTTGACCAAGTCAGTGTCAAAGACTTCCCNCTCCTTCATTTTCAGGAACAGGACGACCGTCTCGTCGTCGTCGGTCTCACGGCGGCGGCCAATGCACAGCGCATCTTCGACCTTCTCGGGGAAATGCTTGAGCAGAATGTTGTAGATCTCCGCACTTCCAAATCTCACACCAGAGGGTTTAAGGATGCCGTCACTGCGTCCAAGCATATAGAGTCCTCCAGTCTTGGGATTAAAGCGGATGAAATCGCCATGATGCCATACACCAGGGAAAGTCTCAAAGTAGGAGCTTTGGTATTTGGAGTCGCCAGTGGGACCCCAGAATTGAACAGGTTGGCAAGGGAAAGGTTTTGTGCAGACGAGATCGCCGGCTGAGCCCGTGAAGGTCACGTCGGCGCCGAGATAGTCCCAGGCGCGGACGGCCATGCCGAGACCAAGGACTTGGATCTCGCCTGTGTAGACGGGGGTCAGAGGGCAGGGAGCACCGAAGAGGGAGATAATATCNNTAAGTATTCTGATTAGCTCGGAGTTGTGTGAGTCAGTGAGATTGATGTTACCTGTGCCACCAGTAATACTTCCTAGGTTTACGGCGCCGAACGCTTGGTAGACATATTGGAAGGTCGAGGGAGCAAGAGGAGAACCGGTGCTGTAGATTGCTTTGAGTGTTTTCAGTGACAAATCCTGCTCCTTGGGCATAACAGACTTCTGTTCCAGGACTGAGAGGTACTTGGCTGAGGTGCCAAAATGTGTGATGTTCAACTCGTCAATCAGTCTTGCCATGGCCAAGTCGTCCGCAACAGACTTGCCATCTGAAGCGTACCTGAACGGTGAGCCATCATACAGTACCAACGTTGCACCGCTCGCCAGACCCGAGACCAGCCAATGCCACATCATCCATGTACATGTCGTAAAGTAGAACAACCTGTCTCCCGGTAGAATGTCACAGTGCAGGATATGCTCCTTCTTGTGCTGAATCAGGGTCCCAATGGCACCGTGGACAATACACTTTGGCGCACCAGTCGTACCAGAGCTGTAGAGAATGTATACGGGGTGGTCGGGTGGCAGCTGGGTGAAGATGATCTCTTGCGGTGCAGTGTCCTTCTTGACGAAGCTATCATACGACACTACAATCCCCGCCAAGGAGGCTACGTCGATTTGTGCTGATACTGATGAAACGGTGGAGAAGATTACGAGCGCTTGTAAGCTGGGTATGGAAGAGCCGATCTCTTGGACTTTTGGCATGGTAGGATGAGTCTTGCCGTTGTACAAGCTGGCGTTGTCTGCAAACAAGATGACAGGCTCGATCTGAGTAAGGCGATCCAGAACAGCAGTCACGCCGGTATCTGGACTGATGGCTGTCCAGATGGCACCGAGTGATGTTGCAGCTAACATGGCGACCAGAGCGTTAGTGTGATTCGCGACGTAACCTGCGACCCTGTCTCCCGGCTTGATGCCGGTAGCAAGCATGCCAGATTGGCAAAGGCGGACTTTCTCGCGCAACTCGGCCCATGTCACCGTCTCTCTGTCAGTCTCGGTGGCTGCAACGATGGCCGGACTATCTGAGCTGGGAGCTTGAGGTGGGAAGAGCAGATTCTCGGCAAAGTTCAACTTGGCCCCACAGAAGAAGGACGGTCTCGGAAACATAGAGGCGTCTTNTTGGCAAGACCTGTTGTATGTCAATGGACGCTCCTGCCCACGCAATTCTTCCAGCTGTCCACCAACCTCATCGTAAGGGGCTGAGGCCTTGATGCCGGTAAAACGCCAAACAGCATCCCAGAAATCGGCTGTCTTATCTATGCTCCAATTGTACAGATCATTGTAGTCCTTCAATTGAAGATGCTTCTCTTTATTTACGATCTGTAAAAATTTCCACATCTGAGTTGACTCCGGCGCCGGGTGTCTCCATAGTCCAGAGCCGAGGTCCTGGCAATTGATGCCATTTGGGTTGTCGTCAGTGTTCGCGTGAGGCATGGCTTGATTCACGATTGGTCAGTTGAAGAACGAGAGGGCGCAAAAATACAACAACTGGTACTCGAGTAAGTTTGTTGCGGTTGGACAAGTATATACTCGGGTGACTCTCCAAGTACTTCCCGGCGTGCGCGGGGAATCCTTAGGTTTGGAGCCGAACTCCGGATATTGCGGTGATGAGTCCCGCACCGGACTCCATTTTACAGGGCGCGTGGTCTGAGCAGTAGCTATATGCCTATAAACTGAAGAGACGCTGAGGAAACTCGAGGGACGGCACGCCTGCCAATTGCTTCACGACAGCCTTCAGCACGACAATCATTAGCATGAAAGGTTTCGAGGCAATCCCAAACAGACAGGCCTTCAATGCTTCCCAGAGGAGAACCGAGACAAGAAGGCGCAATTGAGACGATGATCGATCCTTCCCAAAGCTGCGAGTAAGCGCCGTAAAGCCAGAAGGATGCAGATGGGCAGGCGCGAATGGATACGAACGACTTTACGAACAGCCCTGTCGTGGCTGAGGCTGTCACTGCCACACATGAAGCTTGGCGATTCCTGACATTAAATCAAAGCACCCTCGTCACTCGTCTCCTCTCTTGGCTCACAAACACTCTCTTCTCCTGGCTCCTCTTTCATCTACCTTTTACAACCCATTTCACCTCTTCTACATCGCAAACATCAACATGGGGTGCGTACAAACAATGCCTGGCGGTGTCATGAAGAGGACATACCCCGCGGACATACGGCACGTCATGGACAAGATTGACAGACAGCTGAAACGTGTATAGTTTGGCAAGCAAGCTCGCAGCAGCTCAGGGCGGCGCTCCTCCTGGCGGAGCATACGGCGGCGCCCCTCCTCCAGCTTCATACCAGCAGCAGCAACAGCAGGAGCACCCAAGCCAGGTGGCTATGTGAGTACAAGACGAGCTGCCCCACCAAGCTTTGATGACGACGCATCAGTCGGCTGACGTTGACGTGCAAAACCAGCCCGGCCAAGCGCAGTACCAAGCCTACCAACCTCAAGTGAGTCGTCGTCCGTTTTCTTGTCTTCCTTGAACCGCCTGTCGCATCTTTGTCACGTCTGCACACTCTCTCTGGAACCATGTCGGGCTACCAAGCATATCCCGGCGCCTCCGGCTACGGCGCTCCCCCGCCTCCACCGCAACGACCTTTTGCCAACTCGCCATTCCAGTCGCAACCTCCCGCACAAGGACAGCAGAACACTGGCGGTTATTCTTCTCCTGCTCCCTATGGCCAATCCCAGCCGTCTCCCTACCCGCCCCAGCAAGCATACGGCCAGCCTCCCTCTCAGGGCTATAACAGACCCCCTCCGCCGCCTCCTCCAGGACAGCAGCCGCAGTATGGCCAAGGCCAATACGGCCAGAGTCAAGGATACCCTCCACAATCTCCTGCGCCTTTTGGCCAAAGTCAGACTCCCTTTGGTCAATCGCAGCCTCCTTCCTACGGACAGAGCCAGCCGCCTTACGGCTCGGCTCAACAACCTCCCTATGGTCAATCTCAGCCTCCCTACGGACAGAACCAACCACCATATCCATCACAGCAACAGCAATATGGTGGCGGACCTCCTGGATATGTTCGTGACATCTTTGCGACATCGTGTTTCTTTGTTTCTCGCACCTTGCCTAGAACTGCTTACTGACTTGACTTTTTCTAGGGCCAGCCTCCTCAGCAACAACAAGGCGGTTATGGTGTACCTCCCCAGCAGCAAGGCGGTTATGGCGCACCTTCCCAGCAGCAAGGCGGTTACCCTCCTCAGCCCCAGCAAGGCGGCTATCCTGGACAGCAGCCTGGAGGTCCTCAGGGCGGTTATGGTGCCCCTCCTTCGCAGCCCGCCGGCCCTGCTGAGATTCAGGCATACAAGCAGTCACTTCAGCAGACGATTCAAGAGAAGGGTCTTCAAGCTTTCTATCCTCCTGGCTCGCCCATGATCGACCAAATCGCCAACAAGGCCTCGATGCAAGTTGACCGTCTGTGCCAGCAGTGGCGCATCAACAAGGAGATTGGCAACGACATTGTCAAGTTGGCCCTGTACGATGTTGTCCTCTACATTGACGACAGTGGCTCAATGAAGTTCGAAGAGAACGGTGAGCGTATCAAGGATCTCCAGCTCATCCTCGAGCGTGTCGCAACCGCCGCTACTCTGTTTGATGACGACGGCATCTCTGTTCGTTTCATGAACGACAACCCTCCCCAGCACATGATCGAGCACATCAAGACTGAGCAACAGATCTCGCAGCTTGTGTCTGGCCACAAGTTCAGCGGTCTCACCCCCATGGGAACCGAGCTCCGCAAGAAAGTTGTCGATGGCATCGTGGTACCCGCCATCCGTAGCAGACAGATGCGCAAGCCTATTTTGGTTATCACCATCACGGACGGTCAGCCTGCAGGAGAGCCTACCACTGCTGTCTTTGACACTGTCCGCTATGCCATTCAGGAGGCCAGCAACTCGCAGTACGGCCGTGGAGCCATCGCCTTCCAGTTCGCCCAGGTTGGCAACGACGAGAAGGCTCGTGAGTTCCTTGGCAAGCTCGATGATGACCCTGTCGTCGGACAGATGGTCGACTGCACTTCCAGTATGTACTCTTACGTCTTCTTGTGTAAGCTTTATGCTAACAACTCATANGACTTCGAGAACGAGTCCGCCGAGATGGCACGCGCTAANCCCCCTGTCGATCTCACTCCCGATCTCTGGGTAAGCATCAAAAGTTTAGGCAACATATGGATTGTGACTGATTTCTGCCCTACANNGATCCTCAAGCTCATCCTCGGTGCAATTGATCCCTCGTATGACACCAAGGACGAAAAGTCGAACCGCCCTCAAGGCGGACCTCCCGGATACGGTGCTCCTCCTCCTCAGCAAGGTAGCTACGGCGGTCAGGGACAATTCGCCCCACCTCCTGGTGCCCCTCAAGGTTACGGCCAGCAGCAGGGCGGTTACGGCCAACAGCAGGGATATCCTCCTCAGCAGCAAGGTGGATATGGTGCTCCTCAGCAGCAAGGTGGCTACCCTCCTCAGCAGGGCGGCTATGGACAGCAACAAGGCTACGGAGCCCTCCCAGCCTCCTCGCTACTAAGCAAACGTCGATGAGGACTTCTGTCAATTACGTGAATCGTTTCACCATCCAGTAAATTAATATTGGTCTAGCCTAATTACGGCCGTAGTTGAGAAAGGAATTAATCAAGCATCCCTAGCACTGCTTCGAATTGTACGTTGTTACTGTTTGTTTGCTGTATCTTCTTGGCCGGTTTTGCATAAGCATGTGCTCCCGATACTAAAACTTTGGGTCATGATGTCAGGGTCACCCTAGAGGCATTGACAAAAGTTCTGGATTTGTGGATCAGGTCAAGTTGTCATCCCTGATAGTTCATCCCTCGAGCTCAAAGTGGTCGTTGGCCGCGTTAGAGAATACGATAGCCAACAATGTGTATAGTAGCAACAACTTAGCCTGATATCTGTTTGCTATTGCCACAAAGTACGCGCCAAGGCTCGGGTCCGTATCAATGCTACCGATGACTGTTTGATCATCCCAACTTTTCACATCAACATAACATCACTCTCGAACAATGACCGTCCAGACCCCAGAACTAGCAGCTAATGCCTATACCAGATGGAGCGGCAATGGCAAGCCGATCGCCCTTTGGCTAGACTGTGATACCGGACACGATGTACGATGATATCCTCTTTACCCCTTAAAGTTTAAATCGTCTGTGGAATATTGACATGGTGATGACAGNGATGCCTTCGCGATTCTTCTAGCTGCTCATTGCCCGGCTTTGAGACTGTTGGGAATCAGCACTATCTATGGCAATGCTCCTCTGGTCAAGACGACACAAAACACTAGGTCTATCTTGAGGGCGATTGGCAGAGAAGATGTGCCTGTGTATGCTGGTGCTAGCAAGCCTTTTTGCCGTCCTGCTGCTTCTGCTCCCGATATCCATGGTGAATCTNNGGGCTAGGTATGTTATCATCGAAGTCTTTCTATGTTACGAGTTCTGATGTAAATCGTGCTAGATGGCACTACTGTTCTGCCTGAGCCTGGCGCACCGGAACGTACGGACATGTCTGCAGTGTTGGCCATGTACAAGGCTCTTATAGCAGAACCACCAAAGACGGCATGGCTCGTTGCAACCGGTGAGTTTGATTGCAAATTGATTGTGAGGTATATATCTGACAAACTNACAGGTTGTCTCACAAATGCTGCGTTGCTATTCAGCACTTTCCCTGATGTGGTTGATCATATCGCTGGGCTGACCATCATGGGAGGCGCCGTTGGAGGCGGGTTCACAAATGCACCCATGGGGTCACTTGAAGGCGAGGGAGAACGTTTTGGCAACTGGACATTTTGGGCAGAATTCAACATCTACATCGACCCGGAATCCGCGCAATCTATTTTCAGCAACCCCGTGCTTGCCGCAAAGACCACAATCGCTCCATTGGATCTGACGCATCAAATGGTAAGTGTGCCTGCTAGATCTCAAGCGGACTCAACTAACGAGTGCAACAGNCTGGCAACACCAGAGATTTGCCAAGAATTGCTCTATGGGTTTGACAAGGAAGTGGATGGTTCGGAGGCCTCGATTCTTCGCGTCCTGTTCAACCAGATCCTCACCTTCTTTGCAAGTACATACGCAGATGTGTTTGGACTGACAGAAGGACCCCCGCTACACGATCCTCTAGCCGTCGCGATGTGCTTCGTCCCAGACCTCTTTGATGACAAAGGAGGAGAAAGATTTGCCATTAAGGTTGTCATTGACGGCGAACACGGTGTTGACGAGATTGCAAGAACGACATCTCAGTGTGGTCGTACCATTCTGACACCGTTGAAGGCCGGCGAGGCCGGTGTACGTGTGCCTAGAGGCTTGGATGCAGGACTCATTTGGAGAATTCTGGACTTGTGCTTGAAGCAGGCAGAGGGCGAGAAGCCCAAGACTATGGCCATGTCGGCACTGTGGAGCGTTTCCGAAGACCTGTAGGTGTGGCCAGTAGCGTTGGTGTAGAGACAATTTAGATGTAATAGATCTATGCATGGTTTAGGCTGAACGCTATGATATTGCTAGCATATCGCTCTAGAGCTCATCTTTGTCATTGGCTTGCTTCTTAACAGCCTCCTGATGACCTTTTGGTACNNCTGTAACGAATCAGATGGTAAACACTCATACTGCTGTTTGAATCAATCTCACTCACCAACTCCATATGTTCAAGCCGATCTTGACTCCACTGTGCACAGGCATACCGGCGTGAAGACTCTGTTTCCATCCTTTACCATCGACATCGAAATTCTCCCAAAACACAGCAGCGCCTGCTCGCGGCAAGAAGGTGACACCGTTCTCCTCGGGTTCCTTGCAGTCGATGAATTCACACCAACGCTTGTCTTGCGGTCTGACAAGCAACGGGAAGTTCGTGCCTCCTCCGGTACAATTGGCTTCGATGTAGACCATGAATGTACTGACGCGGTGTGCGGTTTTTGATGCAAAGGCCCAGTCGTAGTGATGAGAGTAATGCCCTAATGTCGTATATCGTTGTGTCCACAGGCGTTCGATGAAGGTATCTACAGGCCAGCCTTGGAAGTCTAGAGCGCGTTGTTCGATACATTGAACTGTACCGTCACGTTCGATCATGGCTTTTTCAGACTTGCGAATACTAGTGTCTGAAGCTTCGACATTGTTGCTGTAGACTGTAGAGGGCTGCCACTTGTCTTCGCTGTTGTTTTGAAGAAGGTGAGTGTTCAGCGCCTGTGATAGTAAATCCTTGATTTACCTGATCTGAACCATGTGTTCTGACTCTGCTTTCGATAGAAAGTCGGGAATGTATATCACCAGCGGGCTTCTAGAGAAGACATGGACATTATAAGGGTGAGAACCGCACTGCAAGTCAAGATCGGGATAAACGAGCTGTCCGGCCTTTTCTTGTGATAGCGGCATTTCATAGCTCTCCTCGTCCGAGGATTGACTCTGTGAGACGCCGGAGAAGGGGCCATTGAAGAACACATAGATTGCTGCGAGGATGGCCACGTATTGCAGCAATGTTGCTGGCTGATACAGCTGAGAGTTCATCGTATTGGAGATATACGATATCGAATGTGCGATTAATGTCGGTTGGTGATTAACGTGAGCGAAGCAGACTGTTTGATGGACTGAATCTCGGCAAACACGGATGATGGTCACCTACGAGTTACCGCGCCTCCGGTTGATGCTTCCCACCCCATCTTCGATGATGTTTTAAGACCATGGAACGTGTTAGATAGTCTATCATTAGTTCAGTCACTAAATATCAACAACATCAGAATGTCGATATAGTTACTGTCTGGCAGGGTTCAGATGGCCGTGGTCCATGCCAGGGAAGTGCGATGGTCACGTGATCTGGAAAAGAATTGCCAAGGCCTCGCTTAGCGCACGCTCAACTTCGCACCTTCCATCGCGAGCTGTTCAAGAATTCGTCTCGCGCCGCCAAACGATTTTACAGACCGGACGTCCCTCATTCTCGTCGACAACCGCCATCATGTCTCACCTCAACAAGATCGCCCCCAACTCGCCTTCGCGCCAGAACCCCTCGGAGATCGAGACCAGCATTGCCAATGCTCTCTACGAGCTCGAGAACAACATCCAGGACATGCGCGCCTCCCTGCGCCCCCTGCAGTTCGTCTCTGCCCGCGAGGTAAGAAGCAGCACTACATGAACACAGCTGCCATCGCTTCGACGAACGACAATGCCGGGTCATCGAAGGTTGTGAAAAAAGAGTGAAAACTCTAGGAGCAGATCAGAAGGCTCAATACAGAAGAGACGGCATGGGCACATACACACATCCGACCAATGGCTTGATCAATCGAAGAGGCGGTGGGCACTGGGCGGCGAATCATTCGCTGACACCAGGATTCTTCTANNGATCGAGGTTGGACACGGCAGAAAGGCCATTGTCATCTTCGTCCCCGTTCCCCAGCTCCAGGGCTTCCACAAGGTCCAGCAGCGGTAAGCACCTACAGACATTATCAGCCCTCCAAGTCCTCAAGTAACACCCCATCAGNNCTTGACCCGTGAGCTCGAGAAGAAGTTCTCTGACCGCCACGTCCTCATCGTCGCTTCCCGCCGCATCTTGCCCCGCCCCAAGCGCAGCAACCGCTCGCGCACCAGCCAGACCCAGAAGCGCCCTCGTTCGCGCACTCTGACTGCTGTCCACGACGCCATCCTTGCCGACCTCGTCTACCCCGTCGAGATTGTTGGCAAGCGCATGNNCCGCACCAAGGAGGACGGCACCAAGGTCCTCAAGATCGTTCTTGACGAGAAGGAGCGTGGTGGTGTTGACTACCGCCTCGACACCTACTCCGAGGTCTACAAGAGACTGACCGGCAAGGGTGTCAACTTCGAGTTCCCCGTCGCTGCCGCCGAGTACTAAATGTATTCTAACTGAGGGATGATTTGCGTCCAAATCATAAAAAGTCTTGGTCTCTTTCAACTTGTCCATCTCAAAAATGTGTTGTCACGTGGGGGCGCTCGGCGCTGGGAAAGTTCGGGAATGCTTTAAGGTAGACGAATACCACGCATTGACACCGTCAGCTATACCCTTCTTCATCTTTTAATCGGGTCAATCACGAGTTATGTTTCTTTCGTCCTTGTCTGTTGTGCTGCTGTTCCAAGTCTTCCTGTGTCAACCCCTTGTCTACACATCACTGACCCTTGGAAATTGGACTCGGACTTGATAAGGTAGTATGTGCTTGAATGAGTTCGTTGAATACGTCTAATTGTGTCGTAGATGCTAAGTCAATATACATAAACCCGGACGCCAGCATGCTTGGTATCATCTACAGGCTCTTTTCAATCTTCATAGCCTCGGCAATGCCTTGCTTGACCTTTTGTCTGGCCTCCTCACTCAGTCTCTGTAGAGGACGTCTGGGGAAACCGCCGTAGCCATACTCCATCTCGATGGCTGCCTTGGTGCCAGGGATGGCTGACTTGGTAAGCACCCAGTCACCCTTGGACAAGATCTTTTGCAGCTCCATTGCCTCATCGTACTTGCCCTCGGTCCACAGGTTCCAAACCTTGACACAGAGCTTTGGCATGACGTTCGCACCGCCAGCAATGATACCGCTACCACCCGAAGCGGCGGTCTGAAGGGTGAAGTCGGCAATACCACCGAAAGCCATCCAGCCACTGCCCTGACTCTTGGTCGAGGTAGCGTTGGTCTCGAGAGCCACGCGGGTGAGCTTTCCGGTCTGACCACAGGTGAACTTGGTACCAATGATCTTGGGATGCTTGGCCAGCTCGATCATGAAGTCCGAGTCCATGTCGATGCCAGCAACAGCACCAGGGTAGTTGTAGAGGATGATGGGGCAAGGCGATGCATCAGCGACAGAGATGTAGTACTCCTTGATGGCCTTCTCGTCCATAGCGTAGCGGTAGTATGAAGGAGGAACCAGAAGGACGTACTCGGCGCCAACCTTGTGAACCTCGTTGGTGAGCTCGAGAGTGCCGCGGATGCTCATTTCTGAAGCGCCAACAATGACGGGGACGTTTTTGTAACCGGCCTCATCCAGAGCTTCTCTTGTTGCTTTTGTCACGGCAACCTTCTCTTCGCGTGTGAGATGGACGGCTTCTCCGTTGCTGCCCATGCATACCAGACCGACAAGGCCAGCCTCGGCCAATCTGACGGCGTGCCTCTTGATTGTGGGAATGTCAAGGTCTTCTGTCTCGGGGTTGAAGAAGGTCATGGTAGGGGCGTAGATGCCATGACGGAGAGGGGTGAGGTTGCCGTTGGCAGCCATTTTGACGAATGTGTTTTGTTTTCGAGAAATTGGCTACGGTATAGGTGCTGAGATGCAAGTGTTTCGAGACAATACGCAGAAGAAGAGAAGAGGGAAAAGTGAGAACGAAGAAAGTCTCACTGGGCAAACCTTGTACTTATCATGGCGGTTAAATCCAATCCATCTGCACACGTACCTTGGTCTCGTGATATTTACCCCCGCTGCCATGGACGGAGGGTCAGCGGGGCGTGGGGCAGCTCAGGCGGGCACGCACCAAATCAGTCTTGATCCGGCCACATCGGCTATTGGAGATGGGTGCACAGACGCTGTCGACCGAGGAGAAATACCTTTCCACCAATGGCGTGTGAGGTCCATAGCTGGTCTCCGTGGTCGGCAATCGAAACACTCCACAAAATACACCCCGCCATGCTGGTTCGCGCAACTAATCCTCCGTCTCGGTGATGCAATTACCCTTGGGTTCAATCTGTGCCCTCTTGTCCTAATCCTCTCTGCTCTCTTCTCCTTCTTCCTCTGTGTCTTCACGCTTACTGCTGTATTGGATCGACCAAGATAGCTTTCGAACGAGCTCAGTCTTCATCATGGCCCCTCTTAATGTTTGCATGGTCGGTACTGGCGAGTACACGACAGGTTTCGTTGGCGGTGGTGCCTCGGGCTCGGACAAGAAGGTTGGTGTTGTTGGCCTGACACTTTTCGACTTAAGACGACGCGGCAAGGTGGGCAACTTGAGCATGGTGGGAACTTCAGGAAACAAGTTCCCTGCAATCCGTGAGTATCTACTTCAATCGTGTGACTTGGGTCTAAGAAGATAGAACTAACTTGCGACGGAAGGCGAGCACTTGAACAAGAACATCTCACAGGTCTACAACGGCCTCGACACGTCTTTCGAATCTTATCCCGCCAATGACCAACGCGATCCTGAAGCCTACAAGAAGGCCATTGACGCANNCTCGCCTGGCGATGCTATCACTATCTTCACACCTGACCCGACTCATTTCCCCATTGCCATGTACGCTATCGAGAGAGGCATTCACGTCATGATCACCAAACCTGCTGTCAAGTTGCTCTCTGAGCACCAACAACTGCTCGAGGCTAGTAANAAGCACAACGTCTTTGTCTACATCGAGCACCATAAGCGTTTCGATCCCGCCTATGCAGACGCTCGCCATCGCGCTCTTAAGACTCTGGGCGAATTCAATTACTTTTACAGCTACATGTCACAACCCAAGTCGCAACTCGAGACTTTCAAGGCATGGGCTGGCAAGGACTCTGATATTTCATACTATCTGAACTCTGTAAGCTTTTCTATACTGCAAATGGACGGAGTCATTACTAACACTCTCAGNCATCATATCGACGTCAACGAGAGTATGGTCCCTGATTACAAGCCGGTNAAGGTGACCGGCAGCGCTAGCAAAGGCATCGCTACTGATCTGGGCTGTGTCGAAGAGACCGAGGACACAATCACTCTCCTCGTCGACTGGGAGAAGAAGGATGGCAGCGGAAGACGTGCTACCGGTGTCTACACAGCGAGTTGGACCGCACCACAAAAGGCAGGTGTTCACAGCAACCAGTACTTCCACTACATGGCCAGCAAGGGTGAGGTTCGCGTTAACCAAGCCAAGAGAGGCTACGACGTGACCGAAGACGAGTCAGGCCTCACCTGGTACAACCCGTAAGTCAACCCCCTTTCTGTGCTCGTTCTATACACGAAGCTAATTCGCATGTCCAGCTTCTACATGAAGTATGCCCCCGACGAGTCAGGCGACTTTGCCGGTCAAGGAGGTTATGGTTACGTTTCTTTCGAGAAGTTTGTGGATGCCATCACCGCACTCAAGGACGGAAAAGCATCTCTAGACGACCTCGACAAGCGTGGCCTACCAACGTTGAAGAACACTATCGCTACCGGAGCCATTCTCGAGGCTGGCAGAAGGAGTCTGGATGAGAACAGGGCAATCGAGATTGTCGAGAAGGATGGTCAATGGGAGCTCAAGTAGACATGATTGATACATGATTCATATGATGACTCAAGACTCGGTACTTGCATATGTGATGGTTATGCATGTAGAGTGATGCTGCATACCCGAGTGGAGAAAGCGCCCGCTCAACGTCATCCAGTGTGGAGGTGCTCATGTCATGCTTGAATCGGCCGCTCTGAACTCCCTTCCTCATTGATTACATGACCAATATCCTTTCAACCTGTAGAAGTGTTGCTCGCTCTGTTCCTAGGTTGCCTCATACATACACACATCGCATATCACCCCAGGACACCCGATCAATCTCCTTTACAAGACCCGTCATGGCTGAAGCAAAGCGTCAACGTACCGAACCTCAGTATGAGTTGCTCTATCACCCTAGCATCCCTGGTAGAGGCGAATTTGTTCGCTTAATGTTCGAGGCCGCGGGTGTCGGCTATGCCGATGTTGCCAACGATAATCCGCCAGATGACTCTGGAGCCAATGGATATGGCTTGGTGCAAGCCATCTCAAACCCCGAGAGCACTGGGGACGAAAATGGCAATCCTCCTGCTTTTGCACCACCTGCCCTGCGTGTCCATGGAGCCGGCAAGAATGGAAAGGCGCTCGTGATCCACCAGACGCCCAACATCCTTTTGTATCTTGGTGGCCCTCTTAAGCTTGCTGGCTCAGATGAACCGGAAAAATACTACGTCAATCAGCTTACCTTGACCGCACTTGACCTCAACAACGAAACGCATGACACACATCATCCTGTTGCTGTTATGAAGTACTATGAAGGTATGGACCATGGACATTTGTGTTGTACATCCATTGACAAGGTCCANGAACAAAAGGACGAAGCACTGAAAAAAGCGACTGACTTCCGCGACAATCGCTTGCCCAAATTCTTCAGCTACTTTGAACGTGTACTCAAGCACAATCAGTCCTCAGGAAAAGGCAAACATCTTGTGGGCGAATCTTTGACGTACGCAGATCTTACTTTGTGGCAGGTCATTGATGGACTCAACTTCGCCTTCCCAAAGGAGATGAATCACAGAAGTTCGGAGTCCCCGTTGCTTTTTGATCACTTCTACCCAAATCTAAAGAGCGAACCTTGGATGAAGAAGTACCTGGACAGCAAGAGAAGAAAGCCATATTCCATNGGGGTCTTCCGACACTATCCCGAGCTTGATCGTCAATGAGTCAATATAGTGTTGGAGAAGTGATGAAAGGTGATGACGGATATGAACAAGGCAGGTAGTTGTGACGAGGCTTTAGTGCAAGAAAACAAAAGGCATTCGATCTTTGACTCACATCTCGACACAGCGCCGGTGGTCTTGCAAAAGAAATGTGGGCATCAATACCTTGCCAGATGACTGCGCCTAACCACTGAGAGCATCTGTCATTGAGCTCTCAACGGACAGGCTCAATGCTCGTATCAGTTTGTGTCGTGTCACAAGTAACAGACGGTGAATATCATATTTGGGAGAGAAGAAAGCGTCACACAAACTTGATCTGTGTCTTGGTGTAAAAGTGCGCTTCTGCAAGTTGTGTGCTTGCTATTGAGAGCAAACCACCCTCTTTGTGCTAACGCATCTAAAACAAAGCACTTCACTACCATATATCAACAACACATGCACCTTCAGAAAGTCTTGATTACCACCGCCTAGACAACAAACAGCCAACCAACCGCCTAATATGTCTGAAGTTCAACAAACCCCTAACCACATGGCTCCCAAGATCAAGAGCAAGAGAAAGACTTGGTTGCAGCATCGAAGACAAGTACAGATCGAAAGAGAAATTGCAGAGCAGCCCGACCAAAGCGCAGAAGACGACATGTCGCCGTCCCAGAACTTCGAAGGCGCTCAACGCAGAGCGAGCGTTCAAGGCACCGACACCACGACTCTCATGACCCCTCCCATCGAGTTCGAGGAGTGGTCAACTAAGAGCTGCCCACCTTCTGCCATCCGCAATGCTCACAATCCACCTGCCGCCAGATCTACGACTCCTGAGAGCATCGAGGCTGCACCACGAGTCAGCACTCCCAGAATTATGGAGATCGCCTCGCAGACAGCACCCAAGATCACAATTACCACCGATCCGACCCCTGTAAGCCACATCTCAAGAACCACGATCAGCACCACAGCTCCCAGCATGAGCGAACACCAGATCTTTGCTATGCTGGCTGGCCACAACTTCTTCATCCCACCTTCCGCTTCACTTAACACCACTTCGCTCATTCTTTTCAAGCACGACACACCATCTCTCGAACGCTTCCGTTTGCTCCACAACCAGCTGTTCATCGAGCTAGGCCGTGTGGTTGAGGAGCAGTTGCAGCCTCCTCCTTTCCCAGAGACCAGCACCGAGGCATATAGACAGAGAGAAGAACTCATGCTGGGATTGCTGACCGAGGTTGTTCCGGCTCTGAACCATCTTACAGAGAGGGTGGGTAAGGAAGTCAAGTCCGGCATCCAGAAGCACCAGGCAGGATTGAGACTGTGGGCTGGAGAGAGGGGCCAGAAGGAGGAAGGCCCTTGAATGATCTGACATGTTTTGCCGGCTATCTTGGATCAAAGGCATCTCTTCGTGTCTGAGGGCGGCCCCATACTTTGGTGAGCATCAGGCAGGAACATTCAGGTTGGTGATGCTGTGACCTCTGCACATCTTCTGGAGAAGAAGGTCGTGTACGCTACCATGTGGCTAACCCAATCCTCCACTGGCAATGGCAGTCCGCTGATATACAGATGCACCCAAACCACCGCCTATCAACGACAATGGTAACGTTAGCAATAAAAGTAGTAGATGGATGACAAACACTGCATCCCAAGACTTATGGCCAGCCAAGAAATGATCCTCATCGATCCTGCATATACCCCTCCTCCCCAAGCTCCTTCCTCAGTAGAACTCAGCAAACCGGTGAGGTGACTCAATATCAGATGATTTCGCTTTTCCCTTCACAAAATCAGGCAGGTGCGACCTTAGTCTGCGCTCCTGTTATGCTTGCCTTGTTGATGTGCCTTCGATATCTTGAGTCGATGTCTTGATACGCGCCCTGAATCCCATAGCTCACTCATTATGGTTTCATTCCATTTTCTGCTCTCATTAGTCTTCGCCATTCTCTATGTCCCCTGCGCAACTTGCACCTACGACTACAGAGATTCCCCGAATCTGAATGAAGAGGCCCCATACGTTCGCAACTACTTTTATGTCGGCGGCAAGTACGTGCCGGATGGATCTGGCGGGCATGCCTTCCAAGATCAGATGTATGTCGAAAGGCTTACTCCTCTTGGAGGAGCAAGGAAGCAAACGCCGCTGGTATTCATCCCCGGTGCAGGTCAGACAGGAACGAACTTCTTGAACAAGCCAGATGGTGGCAGAGGCTGGGCATCGCTATTCATAATGCAAGGATTCGAGGTGTATATCGTCGAACAAACGTCTCGCGGTCGATCTGCTTGGAGACCTGGTGCTGAAGCCCCAGGAATCATAACATTCTCTGCCGAGTTGATCCAGCAGCGCTTTACAGCACCTCAGGACTACAAGCTCTGGCCTCAAGCAGTCAATCACACGCAGTGGCCTGGTACGGGACGAATGGGTGATCCAGTCTTCGACGCGTTTTACAGCTCCAATGTCCAGCTGTCCAGCAACGACACCTACTCGCAAGCGACCGTACAAGCTGCAGGTGCTGCTCTTCTCGACCGTATCGGTAGTCCTGTCATCCTCATCGGTCATAGTCAAGCTGGTCCAATGGCGATTCTGGTTGCGGATGCTCGACCAAACCTGACAGAAGCTATCATTCTGCTTGAGCCTGGCGGTCCACCCTTTCGAGGTGCGTTGTTCACCAATGCCAGCGCGCGTCCATGGGGGCTTACCGATGTACCACTCGTCTACTCACCACCTGTCACGGATCCAACAGTCGACCTTGTCACAGAAGTGATTCCGGCAACCTCAAGCAACCACGATGGCTGCGTTCTACAAGCGTCTTCACCGACTCCTAGACGTCTTTTCAACCTGGCCCCTAAGCCAATACTTGTCGTGACAGCCGAGGCTTCTTATCATGCAGTCTATGATTACTGCACAGTATCGTATTTGCGTCAGGCTGGCTGTACCGGGACAGATCACTTGGAGCTAGGTAATGCAGGTGTGCATGGAAATGGCCATATGATGTTTATGGAGAAGAACAGCCGTGATATCTGGGTGCTGCTCTTGGAGTGGATCGAATGGCACTTGACCTAGTGGTAGTTAGCACTTTGAGGATCAGCACCTGAAAAAGCACACAATTCTTGGAAAGGAGACCGATGGTGGTTGTATAGTTTAATTCTGCACATCTTCTATTGTCGCATCATGGCTTGATCTTTTCGTCCAGACTGTTGAGTACGTTCTGAGCCTCCCTGACAAGCTCCTTTCTCCTCGCTCTTGCTTCTGCATCACCCTCGGTGTCGACGGCATCCAGCTTGAGAAGAACCTGTGCAAGTACAGTCTCGCTAAGACGCTTGTGCTCGAAATCTTTCTTTGCCTGGTCGGTTGGTGGGTTGGCGAGGAACTGGACACACTGCGGTAGTAGAGTCTGGAGAGTCGAGTTGACGGCATTCAGCTTGTCCATGGGTGTGGCCAGAGCAGGCGGCGGGCGTGGTGATTCTGTTCTCGAGGTGTCGGTCTGTGGTGTTGCTGACTTCTTACCCTTCTTCTTCTTGTTCTTGTTGCGGTTGCGTTTTCTCTTTGGCGCATCTGTACCGTCGGCAGACGCTTCTTCCCCTTCCGAGTCGCTCGAGCTCATAGACTCGGGGACGGCGTCTCCAACGACGCACATGATCTCGCTGTTGTGCCTAAGACCTTCGGCGCGGCACGAATTGCCATCCTCCTTCATGTTCTTGCCTCTGAAAAAGAGCTTGATGTGTCGGGCATCTGCGCCGGTCTTCTTGGCGGCTTGCTCTCTGACCGATCTGATCTTCAGTTCACCCTTTTCGATCGAGTAGGCAGGGAAGTGGATGGGATAGCTAATGCGCTTGCTCTTGAGAACCAGGACATCGGTGTCTCTAGGCGGGCCAGNAGGAGCGGGCGAGGCGTCGTTCTGTTCGGCATTGTTGAGATCGTCTTGGGTAATGTAGCTGTAGTCCGAGTCTTTGACCTGTGCCGAAGCCCCAGAGCGTCCAAAAGGCGAGAAGCGTCCAGACCAGGAACCGAAGCGAGAGGACCACGACATGATTAGGGCGATGGCCGTAAGAGTGATTGCGGCAAGAACAGAAGAGTCCTGTTCGCTGAACCAGAGATGAGCGCGTTGCCAGAGGTCGGTAGCGCCGACGAACGAGGATGCAGCCAGTTTGACGGTGGTCGACGCGACTTGCTTGTCGTCTGCTGTCGATGTGCGATCGTCGTCAGAAGTTTTTGTGACGCACCTCAGAAGCACGAGGGGTCGCCGCACACACCAAGTCACTCCCAAGCTGTGGCTAATTCGAACACTGGAGCCACACTTGACTTGCCAAGGCAACACCTACCTTCCTACTTTCTGTTGCACCGAGTACGTCTTGATGCCTGTAAAGACCGTGCTTGACGGCATACGCAAAAATCGCTCCTGCTTTCCTCTGGGATGCCTTTTTGAAACACTCAGCTCGTTCTTACCGACTAAAACTGCCGTCACCTAGCCGGGATACCATGTTCGAGGGAGACATCGCATGTGTAAGCGCTACTCAGTCGCACAAGATTCCCCTTCAAAAGCCTGCCTTAGCCCTTGGTCAGGCACGGCCACGCGGCCTTTTTCTTCTGCATACAATCTTGATGACACGGTGGCTCTTTATCGTAGAGTCCAGATTTGAACTCGTCATCCTACAAGATAAGCTATGTATATGGCTTGAAATGAGACATATATCTGCATTGCACTTTAACGCTTCCACCACAACCTCCTGACGGATTCAACTCTATCAGGAATGTGGTTCGTCGTTACAATCAGGCATTTCAGGCAGAGGGAGAGGCAGAGCAACCATCGGCGCCCGCTCTCGGTGGTCGGTCAATATCAAAACGCGACAGACGATGCTAAGCTTTGCGCCACATGTCCAGCCGCAGATCAAAGTAGATGGTTCCCAATCCCAATGAACACGACGGGGAAATAATCGGTTGCAAAGATGACTTTGTCTTCTGGTGCTTGACCTGAGAAATGGTCTCGAAACGAGGCTACCATAATGAACAGCTCCACTTCCTACAAGCTCCACATTGAGCCCAATTTTGGCAGTACAAGGTCGAGATAGACGAGTCAGGAGCAGGCAGCGGGAACAGGTGGGAATAAGGACTCAGGATAGGAGCCGGGACCAATCCATTCTTGTCGTGAGAGTTTTTCGCCAATCATGGTATTTAGAAGCGCGAATGCCTTCTACGAGCCCAACACCCGAAACATTCTTCGCTTCTCTTTCTCTTGCGCTCGAACGCTTTGAGGGTCAAAAGAGCACGAAAAAGGATACTGCGCTTGGCAATTGATCGAAATAGTCCAGATACGTAATATTCAGCTCAGAGGCCGTCAGCTGCTGCAACTCCAACCACCAGTCTTTTACCCGCCGCGGCCGAGAGATTCGGACTTAAAAGTTAGCGGCATATTGGATCCAGTGCGACTCACTGGGTCATCGTTCTTTGTCGTTTCGACAAAAGTGCATCGTCCCGCACTGTATCGCGAGCCCCGGTCCCCTCACACAGAGTGCATCTCCTTCTTCACACCTTGGTCTGTTAATCCTAGACCACGTCCTCAATACTGCAACCCCGCTTTCCATGGTCATGGCGGCCACTTCGCCCGACATGTACGACGACAACAGCGAGGGCGAGCATTGGGAGTCGGATATCAAGCATGAGTCACAGACGTCTCCCACAGGGCCCTCTGGCTCGCTGGCTCAGACTCAATCAAAATCGCAGTTGCCCATGCAGAAACGCCGAAGGGTGACCCGAGCATGCGACGAATGTCGAAGGAAGAAGATCAAATGCGACGGCAAGCAGCCTTGCACTCATTGTACAGTCTATAGCTATGGTAAGCATCGGAATAGCTAGTCGCAAAAGACGTGCTCTCTGACCCAGGATNNAGAATGCACCTACGATCAGCCTTCAAATCGCCGCCGCAACCCCGCTCCCCAATACATCGAGGGTCTGGAGCATCGAGTACACCGCGCCGAGACGCTGCTGCGAATGCTCATGCCCGACCTCAACCTGAACGACCCTAGCATTGATGTCGCTGTTGCACAAGGGTATATTCCTGGTTTCTCCAACAAGCCTGTCAGCAACGGCAGCCCCGCCACACAATCTGCTGCCCCTGCACCTCCGACCCTCACGTCTGCCCCAAACACAGACCAGAAAGACACCAACCTGGAATCCATGGTCCGCGCTATTGGCCAGCTTGAACTCGACGAGCAAGGAAACTGGGACTACCATGGTCATTCTTCTGGTCTCAGTTTCGTGCGGCGCATGCGAGAACAGCTAGGTGATCTTCTTGGTCCCGACGCCAAGACTACTCCTTTCGTCAAGTCGAGACCCATGTCACAGGTCTTTGATTCTCCAAGATCACTGAATCCAGATTCGCCTGGTATGGCCTTGGAGGGCGCAGTTCCCGGCACTGATCTACCCTCTAGAGCCGTCGCTCGAGACTTGTGTGAAACCGCCATCACTGATGCTTCTGTTCTCATGAGAGCCATTCATGTTCCCACCTTTTGGGCGTCCTTCGATCGCATGTACAATACGCCATACGAGGACTATACGAACCAGGATCACAAGTTCCTTCCACTGTTGTACAGTACCATGTCAGTAGGCTGTTTGTTTGGCAGTGACGAACAGAGCCCCTTGAACCAGGCTGGCTACGAAACTGCCATTGACCAANNGGGTGAGTGAGCTGATGATTCCCGAATGTTCAAAAGACTGACACTTCGCAGCTTCAAATACTTCAGAACAGCACGTCAGTTGTTGGACATAGCAGACGCTCGCGATTTGACCTCCATCCAAGCAGTCCTCTATATGATCTCGTTCCTACAATGCTCGGCCAAACTGTCACAATGCTACGCATACGTAGGTGTGGCATTGCGCTCCGCTCTACGCATGGGCCTGCACAGAAATAATGCTTCCTTCAATCGCACCTTCAACCCCATTGAAGCCGAGACCAGAAAACGTGTTTTCTGGACCATCCGCAAAATGGATATCTATGTTGGTGCAATGTTGGGGTTGCCACAAACACTCAGTGAGGAAGACATTGATCAAGAATATCCTCTTGAAATTGACGATGAATACATCACCGAAGAGGGCATCCTTCCCATGCCCGAGGGCACTACTCCACTGACAACAGTCTTCAACGCGCATAGTCGACTAGTAGAACTACTAATCAAGATCGTAAGGAACGTGTACCCAATCAGAGCGAAGAATGTTCAAAGCAATATGGACCGCTCCTACACTGTACCCTTCTCTGTCATCCGAGACATCGAGAAGGATTTGGAAACATGGAAGAGCAATCTGCCTGCGGGGCTGGACCCATGCAACAACTCGAACCCCAAGCTCACAAGGTAACAACAGCCTCCGGTCTAAACCCTCCTCAGAGCTAACAGTCTTGCNAGAGCCCAACAGCTACTCCGCATCGCCTACGCTCATGCTCAAGCACTGCTCTACAGACCTTTCCTTCATTTCGTTGCGACCGACAAGAGATCGCGTAACATTGACCAACGTGCCTATACTTGCGCGGCTTCATATGTCAACCTCTCACGTAACCACATTCACCTATGTGTACAAATGAAGCAAAAAGGATTGTTGAATGGTGCACATTGGTTTGTCATGTACACGACCTTNTTTGCTGTCGTGTCTCTGATCTATTTTGCGGCCGAGAATCCACAAAATATCACAACTGAAGCTGTTCTCAAGGACGCTATTCAGGGCAAAGAAGTATTGGCATCTTTGGCCAAACGCAGCATGGCAGCAGATCGATGTGCTACCACGTTGGAGGGCATTTTCAAAGCACTTCCAGCTTGGGCACGTGAAGGCCGTGCAAACCCTATTCCGTCGCGCAAACGTCGCCAAAGTTCGAATCAAGGTCCGCCACAGGGTACGCGAAGCCATCCCGACATTTCAGTCACAGCCAAAGAACCGCCGCTGCCTCAGCCTGGCTCTGTACAGCGAGCCAGTACTTTCCCAAACCAAAACTCGAACATCCCGACTGCATCGGCCTATGATCAACGAATGTCTTTCCCTACACCCTCGATGAGTTCAGGCAGTGGATCATACACACCTGCCAGCCCAAACTTCAACCAGCAATCTTTGGTCTCTGGAGCAATGGAAAACAGCAGTCCTTCGAATGGCATGCTTCCGTATAATGTCCCATTGGACATGACGAACCCCAACCTACCAGACCTATCGGCAATGATGTTCCCATCCGCAGAACCGTTCACGTACCCCAATCAGCCACTGACGACGTTTGAGAACAACCAATTTGCAAAAGACCCCAGCATGTTCAACAGCTTCAATGATTCAAAGATACCAACAATGATGGCGGGGCAGAGCTCTGCACCAGAGACGGACAACCTTGAAGCACAATTCTACCCCTTTGCCTCCATACATGATGCAGCAGCAGCAGCAACAACAGCAGCGGCAACAGCAGCAAGGCAGATGGGATATGGGTATGATGCAACAGCAGCAGCAACAACAACAGGCGCAGATGGCAAANNCATGCGTCAAGTGTCTGGCGGATGGCCTGGACAGCAACAAGGCGTGGCTCAAGGGACTGGATTCCCCAACATCAACTTGAACGACATGTTTGGCGGTGAGAATGATATATTCGGTGGTGGAATGCTCATGGACCAAGGATTCCGAGGCACAGGGATTTGAGAGAGGAGAGAGAGAGAGAGAGGAGAGAGAGGAAGGGAGATTTTCAAGCTAGATACCCCGGCGCGTATAATGGTTCATGTAGGCGTTAACAGTAATGGAAACACAACTACCTAGGTACTGTACGAGTGATGCAATAGGCGTGGTCCAAGCTTTGGTTCGATCGGTGAACTAGTGTTCATGCTCGAGCTTAAAGATGCGACTCCTCAACCCATTCATCTGCAGTCAAGGAGGGCCGTGTTGGATCTCGACAAGGCTGCATTCATGGCACGGAGCTCGCGCAATCCCTTTGGCTTCGGTCCCTACGTCGTCACCTTCTTCGCGTCTGTCATCTACGCTGGTCTTTTCGCTGCCCTCATCGTCACTCACCATGTCCTGCCGCCGACTCCAAGCACCCCCACTCCGCATGACTGGCCAGGCGTCAACATAACCCAAGCCTGGAAAGATCTCGAGCACCTGAGCAGTGCATACCATCCTTTCAACAGCAGGGACAATGTCGCCGTGCGCAAATGGTTGCTCGCCCGCGTTGGAAGCATACTCGATGCCAACAAGGTCGAGTGGAAAGAGGCGGCCCAGGATAGCAAGCGTATTGTGCCTGTCACTGTCTTTGACAGAGATGTCAGCAACCTGACCTACACCGACCCAAGAGGCTACACCGTCTACTACGAGAGCAACAACATCATGGTCTACGTGAGAGGCGCAGAGGACTCGGACGGTGAATGGTGGCTGAACAAGACCACTTACGACGGTCCTGGTGGTGTCCTTGTCAACGCACACTTTGATTCTGTCAGCACGGGCTTTGGTGCCACAGACGATGGTGTCGGTGTCATTTCAGTACTGCAGCTACTCTCACACTTCACCAAGCAAGAAAATCAGCCTCATCGGGGCATCTTGTTCCTCTTGAACAATGGTGAAGAAGATGGCCTCTACGGCGCCAAAGCTTTTACGCAACATCCTCTTGCCCGGTTCCCGCGTGCCTTCCTCAATCTTGAGGGCGCTGGTGCTGGAGGCAGAGCCACCCTTTTCAGAAGCACTGATACTGAGGTAACGAGATTCTACTCCAAAAGTCCCCATCCCTTTGGCAATGTCATCAGTGGCGATGGCTTCAAGCGAGGCTTGGTGAAGAGCGGCACGGATTACAGCGTCTTCGTTGACGACCTTGGCATGCGTGGTTTGGACGTAGCTTTCATGGAGCCTCGCGCCAGATATCACACCAACCAAGACAATGCTAGAGAGACCAGCGTCGAGAGTTTGTGGCACATGCTCTCTGCTGCCCTGACTACCGTGCAAGGTCTTTCCAGCGATACCAGTGATCAATTCGAGCGTCCTTCCGACCATGAGTATGGCAAGACTGGCAAAGCATCGGGCAGTACCGGTGTCTGGTTTGACCTGTTTGGACGTGCATTTGCAGTTTTCCAGTTGCACACTCTGTTCGCGCTCTCTGTGACTCTGCTCGTCGCAGGGCCAATCTTCTTGATCATCTTTGACATCACTCTTCACAAGACCGACAAGTGGTACTTGTTTTCTAGAAAGAGATATCTCCATTCGTCTGATGATGACGAGCCCGTCAAGTTTTATGGCTGGAGAGGCTTCTTTAGATTCCCTCTAATCTTTGTCGTCGCAAGTGGCATTGTTGTCGCACTCGCATATCTCGTCACCAAAGTCAACCCACACATTGTTTACAGCTCCGAGTACGCTGTTTGGAGTATGATGCTCACCGCGTGGCTTTCCACCGCGTGGTTCCTGTTCCGTCTTGGAGACGCTGTTCGCCCGTCCGCACTTTCCCGCGCTTATGTGTTGATCTGGCTCTATGCTCTTTCCTGGCTCGGCCTGGTGGCCGCAACTATCGGGGAGCAGCGCATGCACCTTGGGTCTGGTTACTTCCTAATCATCTACAACGCCGCTGTCTTCTTGGCACTGCTCATCTCGTACCTCGAGTTCTTCGCGCTTCCCAAGAGAAGTGTCTATGTCGAGCAGGTCACCTACGCATCGCAAAGCGTTATTCCGAGTCCTACACGCAGCGGCAGTCTTGTTTCTCACAATGTCGTTGACAATGACGATGCTTCTAGGGGCAGAGCACCTCATGCCAATGATAACGAAGATGCAGATGAGCGTACATCGCTGCTCGGCTCGAGACAGACCTTCACACGCTATGGTCGCGAAAGCCGTCGACCTGACGATAATGACGACGCTGCAGCCTCTGTGCACTCGCCTCTTACAAATCAGGCATACGAGGGTGAGCAGGCTTGGTCTAGTAGTCTCCCAAGCTGGACCTGGCTTTTCCAGTTCCTCATCCTGGCACCGATCAACATAATCTTGATCGGCCAGTTGGGACTGCTAATGACCTCGGCTTTGCACCAGACACCTGCTGATGGCAGTCCCGTCTTACTCGTCTACCTGTTGATCGCTGCGACATCGGTGCTGCTATTGCTTCCTCTGACGCCTTTCATCCACCGTGTAACCTACCACATCCCCACGTTCCTCATGTTCGTCCTCATCGGCACACTGATCTACAACCTCGTAGCCTTCCCCTTTTCTCGCTCCTCTCGACTCAAGGTCTTCTTCCTCCAACAGATCGATCTCGACAATGGCAACAACACCGTCGCGCTCACTGGTCTATCCCCTTACCTCGAGTCTGTTGTATCTCAACTGCCATCGGCTTCCGACAATGGCTACCACTGTTCAGGCCCCGACTACGCATTCTGGGCCTTCAGAGCAGGTCTCGACAGCTGCAGCTGGACGGGACCCGCACCCAATGTCGTACCCACGGCATACAAGCCCCACCAACCCGGCATGCCATACCCCAACAGCACAGTCTCGCTGGCACTGGCCCGCAGACAAGCCCAAACCGCCAAATACGCCACTTGGCTCGACTTTAACATCACTCGTCCTTCATCCAATGCCACCAAACGCGACTATGTATTTGACGTCCGTGGTGCCAACACCCGCGCCTGCCGTTTGTACTTCTCGTCTCCATTTGCCAATCTTAGTGTCAGCAATGCTGGTGCCAAGGCTGAAATTATGAAGCCTGGTCGCAGCGGTGAGGAACAGCGTGTGTACCTGTACAGCAGGGATTGGGATGCCAGATGGAGTGTTAATGTCACCTTCGACCGTGAAGTGGAGAAGCAACGCGGTGGTGTCGAGGGTAGAGTCATGTGTGTGTGGAGTGATGCCAATCAGGTAGGCACTGTGCCTGCCTTTGACGAGGTCAAGCACTTTATGCCTGTATGGAGTGCTGTCACGAAGAACAGCGATGGTCTGGTCGAGGGTTACAAGCACTTCACTATTTGAGCTGCATGGTGGAAGTTGAAAGAGACGGATTGATGAGGAGGTGGATCATGATGCATGCACGCTGTTGATGTTGACGATAATGTCTCATAGTCTCTTGTTTTGTTGTTCCTGTTTTACCCTGTACGTATGATGAAGCGAAACATGAATCAATGCATGTCAGAACAAACATTCATAATCAGTAAATCAGGAAGAGCGTAAAGTTTGTCATTAATTCGTTTCGTTATTCTGGTCTGTGTGTTGTGATTGTAATGGAGATCGTCAAGAAGCTATATCGGGATGTGCAAGAAGAATAAGGAAACAACGGAATGCAGCTGGACAATCAGGACGTGAGTCTTCAGACACCACCTTTGCAGAACGTTTGATGCCGATGAGAAGAAGCGGAAGAAGAAGAAGAAGGTAGAAAAGACACGACACGACAACCACTCGGTCTCTAGCTGGAGTCGTGTCTCGTGTCATAATCTGGTAAGAGGATAGGGTGCAGCAAAACGAGATGCATATGCCAGTTTTGCGCCTTTGGATGGAACCGCTGGAGATATAGAGTACCAGAATCCGAAAACAATGAGAATGCAAGATTGTGATGAGAGTGAGTGAAGATGTCACTAAGCAACTTGTTGAGTGCGTGGAGCATAGGAGGTATAGTCGCTCGTGTGCTGGCGACGCAAGTGTGGACGTGTAGCAGAGGTAGAAGCTCTGTGACTCGAGTAGCCACCGTACTCGTCGATCGGACTGCCTCTACGGCGGTCCTTTTCGTAGTCACGGACGCTGTCAATGGGGTATTCATACTTTACACTCGAGTTTGCCTTTGGCACTGCGGCTTTGGGAAGTGTATCATAGTCACGCTGCGTCTCGCGGCGTACGGGTGAAGGTCGTGCATTGGTATACGAGGTTGGTGATTCGGTCGTGTAGCTTCTGCTATAGCTTGGGTTCGTCATAATCGGTGGAGGTTGTGGAGCGGCGGCAGTGTAGCGGGGTGTTGCGGAAGACTTGGAAGAGCGAACGGGCTCGCGCATGGGCTCGGGAGAGTGATGGATGCGGCGTTCGCGGGTACGATCGCGCTCACGCTCGTAATCACGATCGGCAGTACGGCGATAGTCGTCGTCCCCACGAGAGGGATAGTGATAGGCTTTGTAAGAGGTGGTGGGCGAGGGAGCGTAGTCTGGACTTGCCGAGGGCGTAGGGTAGCCAGCAGAAAAGTCGGTATCTCTCATGGTCGAGGGCTTCGAGTCCTTGGCACGCTTAGGAGAGATATTGGGCATAGTCTCGGAGCGGCGAATGGGCATGGGCGGCACGTTGCGATCGTCTATCTTCATGCTCGCACTACNGAGGGGCGGGTCTCGAGGGAGCTTGATGGTCGAAGGCGACGATGCCGAGGTATATAAGGTCGTAGGTCGAGTGGCAGAGCGACGTTCGTCGGCCTCGATGATGTCGGGCACGCTCGGCCTCCTGTCGCGTTCACGACGTGGCTGAGGAGATGCAGCAGGCTTCGCCGAGTGTCTGCGCACGAAAGCAGATGGCCGACCTGAGCGGTCAACATATGTCTCGGTCTTGGTGGCCGCCGAAGTGCTGCGTGAAAGTGATGGTCGTTTATCCCTTCCGATGTATGCCAGGGTTTCTTCTTGCTGCCGCGCGTAGTGCTGCGCATCGTATGCTCGACGTGACGATCGTTCCCGTTCGCGTTCGTACTCGTCCCTCTCGCGACCGCCGTCATCTCTACGCTCCCGTTCTCGATCCAATTTGGCCCTCTCTCTTTCTCGCATTTCCTTGTCTCTGATGGCCTCTTCGGTAGCTCTCCTACGTCTTTCTGCTTCCTGTCTCAAGTCGGGGTCGCTGTCATCATCGTATGCCGAGTACTTCCTGTCTCTTTCGCGTTTCGTGTCTTGATCACGCGTCCTCCTCTTATCCGTTCGTGATGCTCGTTCGCTCTCGCGTCTCTCGCGTTCCAACACTCTGGCACGTTCTCTGTCATCCCTTGGGGGCACTACCGTCTTCTTGATAGGTTGTCGTTCGTAATCATCGTGTTTTCGTGACGTGGTTCGTGTTGCGCCGCCAAAGTAGTCGTCCGAGTCGGATCTCTCAGGTCGGCGTTCTTCATATACTCTTTCGGGTCCTCTGGCGGTAAAGGTGGCTCGGCCAGGGCCAGATGTAGGCACTTCATAGGCAGCGGTCCTGACTTCGACAGGGGGTCTGTTGCTCATGTTCTGCTTTCGCAGTTCTGCCATCTTGATCTGGGCATCGTAGCGTGACCGTCGTCCTTCGTCGCTGAGGATCTCGTATGCTTGTTGGATGCGATGGAACTGGTCAGACGCCTCGGCCTTTTTCGACTCGTCCGTGACCTTGTCCGGATGGCATTTCAAGACGAGCTTGCGGTACGTCGTCTTGATCTGCGCGGGCGTAGCATCTTTGCTAAGACTCAGGGCGACATATGGGTCCGGGGGCAAGGGTGTGGACATGATGTTTCGGGACGTGTCAAGAGTGGCCTGTCATGAATAGGAAACAAGCAGAGAATGGCGTTATATAAGGTTTCGAAACAGCGACGGGTGTTGTTGGTAAGCGTGGCGAGATGGTGCAGATGGTGTTAAATGTAGCTGCTGAGTGTGATCGAGGGTTGCACCAAGAGCGATGGGTGCAACAGAAGCCAAGGGAACAAAACAGCAGAAACAAGACGCAGACGGAAAGAGCGAGGTTTGGATAGACAGGGCGTCGGTCTGCAAAGCAGGATTCGATCGAGGTGGAAAAAGGAAAGGGCCCAACGACAGAGGGCCGGGCCGGTAGATGAAATGCGTGCCCAAGGGAAGGTGTGGTGAGCTGTCTGGCTCTGTCGCTCCTGCTGCGCATCGTTGCCCTCGCGGGTGCATCGCTTTTCGCAACCTCTCCCGACTTGCTCCAGCCCTTTCCTGCTTGCATGCCGCTTCCACTCTAGTGTTCGCACTGCCAGAAACTGCTACCGATGACGTGCAACGATTGGCTAATTTCCTTGCGAGACCCTCCGCCGATCCTCGACTACTCCTTGCTCCAGCATTCAGCTATCTCGCCGTACCTTGTAGTACTTGCAGTAAGACTTTGTCAAACAGACTAGTCACGATTCTCCGTCATGTTTTCCTGTTCCTGCCTCTTCTTCGAGCGTTTGGCACGTTGCGTTCATTCCCCAGCAGCCGTTTTTGACTTTATGTCCGCACGTGCCTTTCGCTCGCCAGCCGTTTGTCCCCGTGGTCGAGCGCGAGCCACGCCTTCTGGACCCTGCCAAACCTGCCTCGATAGCACTGCTCAAGCTCTGGCGGTGAGAATATATTGATAGACAGCGGTAACTGTTCTTCACGTCAGCGCTCGTCTGTGAAGACGAGTAACTAGTCAGTGCCATCTCCATCCGTCCGCCTGCATGTCAATCAATGCCTTGGCCCGGCAACTGAGAGTCATGGATCTGAATAGATCATCTGTCTGTACAACCTCGAGTGCCCTTTCTGCTTCGACCTGGCTAAAACATCAACCTGACGACATACAAACACTCTTCTACGCGGTGCTCTCCCATGAAACAACCCAACTCAGTCTGTGCATCACTCCACTCTCAGTGCCATCTCGTCACGGCAAAATGTGGACACTGTTCATGCGACTCCGCACCCCACACAAGTCACAATCACGATCCATCCGTGCTTTGGAAAGATGCGGCGGGCCGAGGGCGCTTCGACACATATCTGGCACAGACTACTGCTCGTACTCACAAACGCCCAATCACCTTTCGTCCGCCCGGGAGAACATCACCAGACCTCTGGGTTCACCACCAGACCAAACCGGTGATGCCATGTTTACACTGACTACCCAAGCGTGAGACCCGCTGTCTCCCTTACCTAGGTGGCGTTGTTGTATGCAAGAAGCCTTCTCGGTATATGTACAAGAAGCAACTGTTTTGCTGCCCAACGACGAGACCAATCCTTGGGACGTCCTTGGACGGTCATCACAGGATACACGTATCGTCGGGTATGCGTGTCTGTAGGCCCCCATATTCAAAAAGTACATGGATTGATAGTAAGCAGCTCTCATACAAGCAACGATAGTCAGTTCAGACTCTTCTCTCTAGCGGACAAGCGAAAGCACTTTATGGGCCTTCCCGTCAACGTGTCAAGATTCTACAGACGTTCGGCATCATCCCATCTACGCGAACTCGTCTCCGACCGGTAGCTCAATATCTACAACAATCGGCTTGTTGTAGACTCTTTTGATCATCCCCTTGGCCTTAATACTTGCATTCACGATCAACGTTTCCTGTCTGCCGAGTCGACCCTGTAGAGCTGCCTGGTTGCGATCACCGAGCTTTGAGCGCATAGGTTGAGGCCGTAAGGCCGGTTCATGTCGGTAGGTGACATCTGCCGTATTCCACTGGGAGACTCCCGTCTGAGCTGTCATCTCGCTTGAGCCCGACAATATTGTCAGCACTTCGCTTGGCGGACCACCATCGTTGTCTTCGACAATGGTAATAGNTGCCGTGTCGCTCTGTTCTCTTCCTGGAGAAAAGAAAACATTGTTTCCATGTGGCTGCTGTTCAGGGACTTCACCAACGAGTAGTGGATCAAAACCGGCTCCGTCGTTGAGCAGGGGATTGTCACCCATGCAGGTCATGTCCAATGCTATCCATCTCCCTTTTTCCCAAGAACTAGGGACATTGACTTGCGTTGTCCGTCTTTCCCAGAATGGCGGATAGGCCTGCCCGAGTTTCCAATGCACCTTCTCAATCCCTCTGGCCTCATGAATACGACCGCAGACCGCTAGGCGAGGTCTGACTTGCCACAAAGCCTTTCTGAGCACCTCACAGCCCGCCGCTTGCCATTCAGTACTGGCATCGCGGTGGTTGAAAGCCGGAGTGTGAGTCAGCAATATGTCCGTATCCAACGGAATATCTGACCAGAGATGTTCAGCTGCGTCATCGTGGCGTGTGTATCCGAATGCCCGTTCGTCACGCCTGGGCACATAACGACTGCCGAAAACCTTGAGGGTTGTCCGTGGTCCTGATGGTGACTGGAGCTGGATCGTCTTTGCGTTGTGACATAGTTACACTATGTTCGGATGGTATTTCCTAACTAATTCGAGACATTGGTCAGGATCTTGCGGTATCTTTTGCCGGACACGTTCGCCTTTATCTGGCGCTTCATAAAAGTCCTTGTCAAGTGTGATAGCATAGGTCCCTGAATACTGATCAGCTCTCTATCATTTGCGACTGTGCTGTGGTGGNNTCTGGCCTGCAATGATGATCTTGATCTCAAAATCTGCTTCATCGATCCATTCGAGAGTGCGGCGTAGACCATTTATGTCGCCTTGCAATGACAAACCTCTAGCATGGCAAAGAACATCGTCTCTAGGAAGGGGAGGGCGATGGCCGACGGTGTCTGAAATGAGCACAAAACGCGTCCTTCTCATGCTGCGGCTAGGCAAGATTGGTTGATAGCCCTGGGCGAACATGTCTCGTTCTCGAGCGTGAGTGAGAGGTCCGCAATGCAATGGTATCGGCCGAATAGTGTTGAATTGTGTTAATGGTTTTGTTACAGCTTGAAGTAATGCGTGTTTGGATAGCAATGGTCCGTTGCAAGATATGGTTAAGCGGTAGAGTCTGTGATGTGCTGAGATACTTCTGAAATGTGAGGGCAAACATGTTCTGAGGAAGAAGTGACCGGATCGTGGCCTTTTTCCTATATCCGAATGTCAACGGAAGCTACGTTCAAGAATTGAATCAAAGGTGAACGTCGATGTGCTTGGTCACGTAGTGCTTGCGTTTATGGACTCGATGGGCGTCTGATAACAATGCACCTCCTGCTTCTTCTGTTAGCTGTTTCCGTGGCTGTCAAAAGATACAACGTTCATTATATCTGCACACTTCGAATAAGATACCTGTATTGGATTTGAAAAGGGAGCTTCGGCTGGCATCAAAGATCTTGGAGACTGATCTACACTTTGATATTGAATTGTTTTCTTGATTTCTGCCTTGTGCAAAGTCACAGTCAAATTTGTGGACGTCGTCGCTCTTACTCGATGGAGTGGCTAATCTTGTTTCTTGTCTTTCCGAGAGTTCTAATAGCATGACTCAGTAGCCAAAAGCAAAGGTAATACTCTTGTTTCCGATACGATGTCCCTGCGTTCGGTCATAGTCTCTTTGCTCAACCTCACTCATGCCCTCCCAGGCCTTTCGTTTCTTGCGATTGAGATATCTGAACACTTCTCTGTGTGTCAAAATAACCACTATAGCTACCGCGCATATTGAAATAAGAACTTTATTGCCGGTATAATAGTACGGCTTGTCCTGTTCTCTGTATATTTCTGGGCGTTCAAGTCAGCTCGACGATCTGAATCTGTACTGGATCCAACTTACNNGTGCGGCCGCGGCACTGCCAAGTTCTTGAATGGTTCCAAACAAAGCAACAGCTATGCCACGCTTCTTAGGATCGAAGCTATTGCAACTGATCCAAGAAATGATGATGGGGTGCGCGCTGGGCGCTCCGACGATGAGCGTGGAGATCGCAAATCTGGCCCAAGCATAGCCATGCGAAGGTAAGAGCAACAATGTCATGAACAAGGGTATCTCTATACACGTTGGTATCATACTGTGAAATGCTTTTTCGTTAAAGTGGCCACTGCTTCTTGTAAGGGTGAGCACAGTAACAACGCGAAGCAGGTCGGAAGGTATTGTCAAAACGCTGCTCTCGAATCTCGAAAAGCCGAGTTGCCTCAGGTTTAGTACAAGATATTGGGCAACAGGGCTCTTGGGGATGAATATTATCGATGCACAGAACCAGAAACCGATCAGTCNCTGTAGCAGTGGTAAGTAGAGAAGTTTGAGATACCGATATGTAAACTCACCCGGATCTCTTAGGGTATTCCAGATGTCACGCATACTGATGTGCGCCTTGGTACCGATTCTACCCTTCGAAACGTCGTCTCTGAGCAGCCTATTGATCATAATCACTTTCAACATTAGCACACCTTGAACCTCAGACATGACATAAAGCTTACTTTGCTCTCTCTCCGAGAACCAGGGCTTCCTCCAGAGAACGGTTTGAGTCCTCGTCGGTCCCGAGGGTAGGTAGAACAGACCCTAAATTTGATCAGATACATGCCTGTCGTTGTAGATTTGTTCGATTACCACAAGACCAATCATGAAGATCAGTAAGCCGTTGATCAGAATTAACCAAAACCAACNCTGATTGCGCCATGTTAGCAAATTCAACTACGGCAGCCATGGTCACATATTACCTGGCTTGCCAGCCACTCCTCGCATATTAAGTAAGCCCGCAGCCAGTAAGGAGGACAAGGCTTTTGCGACNNCTAGTGCAGTATGAGATAGCGATCCATATCTTTGATGTAGGGGATATCTTACATTGATCCCAGAAGCCAAGATTGCAATTCGAAAGCCCAACTCTTTGTTGGTATAGAAATTGGATAAGCACATCACAGTCAACGGCCCAAAAGCCCCTCCAAGCAATCCTGTCAAGGCTCTACACAGGTAGAATCCAGCTTCGCTTTGTATCTATGCTTGAGTCCAGGCTANGGCGATTCTTTGATCAGTACTCGATACTGTACCTGTGATGAAGTCTTACCGACCTACAGCTCACCAAGCACACATCAAGCCGGGATACATGAATCGGTATCCATAGCGCATAGCAATCGTTTGTGATGGCAGTCCCGCAATCAACCAGCAGATTCGGTGGATCATTGTACCCTATTATTTCTCTTAGCCAAATTGTAGAGCATTTGGCTGTATATACAGACACACGTTACCATATTCCGTCATGGTGAATCCAAGGTCGTGTAGAAAGTTATCGGCGAGAGCGTTTGACATATTCGTGGTATCAAGTTGTGCGGNCTTGAAGAGGTCAGTCATGGTCCAGGGCTTCTGGTACAATACCCTACCAAAGTACATGAGCGAGAGCCAGGCTAGAAGACGTATGTCAGTCTTTCTCTTGATCTTTGACTCCTCCTCAGATGTCCAGACTGCATGAGGATCGTAGAGTTCCCTGCCTTCGAAATGGACGTGCGGGACTGTGGCGTCCTGACGATGTTCTACCAGCGTAGAAGCTCTTGATAACTGACGCGAAAGAGCATCGAATTTGTTGTGGTGCTCTTTGCTTCCATTCGCTGTCGAGGAAGGCATGTTAAAGTCTGGTAACGAGAGATCAGACTGGTAAACTCGAGGCAGAGAACATAGAAGTTACATACTGGGGGTTGAAGACAGAGAACATTGCCTTTTGTTAGCCATGTAGGCATATGTTCAAGGCCGTGCCATTGGTGTGATGTCAATTAAGGCCCAGATACGGATATGAGACACTCAACTCGTGGCATTCACCGGAATATCAGCAAATCAGAGTAAAAGACTGCAAAACATATGTTCAAGCCAAGGGACACGAAAAGCACGATGTCGAGAGAGGATGCTCGACTGGTTGAGATCATCTTTGACTTTGAGTCTGATCGCGATAGAAGAGAAACACCATCTTGCTTCAAGGCATGGCACCAGCATTAGTCCTCTGGCCTCCAAAAGATTCTGACCGCGTGCTGTGTTGGGAAACGAATTTCGATGGTGCCTGTGATTGGGCTCATCTACAATGGTGATTTGAGCATGATTCGTAAGCTTCACTAACCAGGTCGCAAACTTGCAATGCATCGCATCATGAATGACAAGAAGGGTGTCCTTAGACAAGACCAAAGAGCGGCATACGATAGCCTACTTCGACGTCTCCCAAAGCGAGTATAGAGCTTGAATGAGGTCAAGACTACTGTAGCTTTTACTGTGCCAGGGTGGCACTCTCAGCAGCGAGGCCGTCATCTGTCAGGTTTAACCGTGTGGTTCAACTTTAGCCGTGCTCGAGTTAATGCGTCATAGAAGGTCATACAAATGCCTACGAAAGACAACATCCGATTGAACTGATCGAGCTCCGAGTCTGAACAGAAGCACACATGATACCTATTCTATCCGCCAGTCGCCGACTTCAAATCGCAAGCTTGTCAGCAATCGCAGTAACGACGACATCATATCTCACAGCGAGGATGTCAAGCGTCAGTCAGTCCAGCAATCCCGAGAAGGTGTGGAATGGCTCTGCTGTATCATATCGACCCCAACATCAGGAGTGGCCATACGTCCAAGCAGATTTCAAACGCATGGACGAAAGCCCAGACAACTCATTCTATAGCGACAGTAGATTTGTCACACACATCGACGATGCTGCCATAGCAAGCCTCAGGAGATATTATGACACCGTCTTGCCACGAAAAGGCCGAATTATGGATCTTTGTAGCTCCTGGATCAGTCATTTCCCACAAGCCGTCGAGAAGGCAGCAACACAGGGTGAACTCAAGGTTGTTGGCCTAGGAATGAACCATGCCGAACTCGAGAAGAACCAGGTACTCTCCAAAAGGATACTTCAAGATCTGAATGAGGACCCGAACATTCCCCTCACTGTGTGCGGAGAGCACGCTGTCAGTGGACTCCAAAGTGCAGACAGTGTCGACAGTGAGAGTGGTTTGTTGGATTGTACAACTTGCGTTGTGAGCCTGGATTACTTGACTCGCCCGAAAGAGGTCCTCGAGAGCGTCAGGCAGTTGACAAAATCAGGCGGAAGCTGTCAGATCATCGTATCTTCAAGAATGTTTCCGACCAAGGCCACAAGCGCCTGGATCAAGAGGACACCAGAACAGCGTCTGCAGATGATTGGAGATTACCTCCACTTCGCTGGTTGGAAGGACATTGAGATTATCGATATAAAGGCAGGGGATGTTGCAAATGCCCCAGCCGAAGATCAAGGCGGATTGCAGGGCTTCATGCAAATGATGGGCATGAGTGGAAGTGATCCGTTGTGGTGTGTTCGAGCCTTCAAGCGAGACTAGACATCGATGTTTCGAATGTAATCATTCAAAAGGCTTGTCGTAACGTGCTGGCAACAGATAATACCCAGTACCTGGCGAGTAGTCAGAACATCGACATACTTCTCTCACACTTCTTGTTCCAGACGTTGATGACGACCACAACAGTTCTTTTCCGTTCCCTTTCCGAAGATGTAGCATGCTGTACGCTCGTTTAGGAGATAGGTCCACTGCTGAAACTGGACCCTATCTCGATTCATGTGTTGGCAGGCAACTCTCAGAGGCAAACCTTTTAGAGCGAAAAGTTGTAAGCTGGAAAGCGATTCAGATATTCCGTGGTCGGCCTTGACCGACGCCACGCAGCTGTGCACAGCCGCATTGAAAACCACGCTTCTGACGGACACCGACGTCCGGGTGTAACTTGAGGTCGGAATGGAAGACCGAGTAGCAGTACTCTGAGCAGACTTTGAAAGTCGTTAAACAAGGAGAAGGATAGAACAAGAGGTTCGAGAAAGTGACATTCAGTGAAGTCCCTCAGGTTTCAGCAAGCGCCTGTCGGCAAGGCGAGAGAGGTACAAGTTCCTGTTTCGGCGAACACAAAGCTGATGGAGGTGGTCAGGGCTGACAAAGGTGAGAGGGCAGATTTAGCATGTCATTGGTCGGGGAATCCGTCTTACTTCACACCACGGAGCTGTAGTCGCAAAATAGGCGGGCTTGTGGGTGCTAGAAGGATGCGGCAAGCAAGCATAATGCGCACCTGCAGCGGGGTGTGAGTTCGGCGTATGCACGAACCCTGTGCGAGCAGTCGCTCTCGAGGGACATCAAGTTAGCGAGTGCAAGTAGCAGGCACGATCGCAGATGGACGTCTTGAGAGCAGAACTAGTGTTCGAGCACAGCATGAGGGTGCTGACGAGTGTGCAGTCTTCTCGGAACGCAGGATGCCTGGGAAGCAGGTATCCAGGGCTGCTACTGCTCGACATACGAGTACAAGCAGGAAGCTTGAAGCAACGAAAATAGAAGGAGTGAATCGAAGTCTCAGCACGCACGCACGCTCGTAGCCATGTCATGGTAGGCGGGCAGGCTAATGCATCGATGTGCCGCGGCATAGCCCAGCGTCAGCCGCATGCATGTCGTGTAGAGTAGGTCGACTTGGACGTGGACTGGCCGTTCAAATACAGAAAAGCCCCGCCGTCAATGAAGCTTTTCTTCAACCACCCTCTTTCCAGAGCGCCTGCCTCAGCAATCCATTTCTCTATTTCCTTATTCTGTTCTTAGCTACTAATTACTAACCCACACAGCAAGCGTGTCCACACGCTCCCGTTCGCAACACCCAACGCTGGCCGACGGGCCCAATATCGCTCGGAAAAAGATAATACCCGCCAGATCCCATCGCATCGCATCGCATCGCATCTACCACGTCCCTTTCCTCCCGGAACATAGTCGAGCGCAGAGCTACTGCTGGTGGTAGCAATGCCTCTACAGCTGCTCCCTGCATCCGCAGCGGCGTTTGCTCCTCGATCGGCTCCCACGATAGTGCTAGGCTCACGGGTCGAGACATGGCTCACGCACACACTCAAACGCATCAGTCGCGTCAAGCGTCCTCTCAACAGCGTTCCCCAGCACTATCGTTTCCTGACAGAGACTCTGGGCGCGCCGTCTGCCATCTGGCTCTTGTCGTCGCTCATGTTGCCCAACGCTCCACACTCGAAATTGCGCAAAGACTCGGATCCGCTGAGAGAAGCCATCGCCAACTACACTCTGACTCCGGTCCAAGCATACGTCGTTCACGTCGACATGGTCTCCCAGCACGAGGTCGCCTTCAAGCTGACCCAAGACACCATCGACGCTCTGATAGACTACCACAATGACATCTACTCGGTCGACATTGCTGCCAGTACATATGCCTGGCCCGAGAAGGACGACCAGATCAAGACAATGCAGGAAGCCTTTGTGCAAGCTGTCAACCGCTTTGTCTACCGTACATCCGTCCGTGCTCTAGAGGGTATGGAAGACGAAGGCGCTGGTGAACTACTCCAAGGTCGCAGCAACGACGTCAAGACTGCCATCATGAATCTGTTCCTGCCTCTTCTTCCACCCCCTCCGCAGGTTGTTGACTTGATCGCCCCTGCTCCCATCATGCCGACCTCGTCTTTTGTACCTGGTCATTGGTGGCAGCCTGCTCAAGCATACGCTCTGGTTCCCAATCCTGTAGACCCATGGCAAGTCTTGCCCTCGAATCCTGGCACAAGCACTGCTTCCGCTCCGCCACCTCAGTACTGGTTGTCTCTTGGCATGGATCCTGTCCAGCTCCCTTCTCCGACACCCTCGTACAGTCAATCACCTGTCCATGTCTCTGAGCCGCCCTTCTACACCTCGGCTCAGGTTGATAGCGGCATGGCTGTCATGCCTGTGCCTATGATACCTTTACCGAGCGCCTTACCCTCGTGCGGCACAAGCATGGCAAACACTGGATTCAATACCCTAGGCTGGAGCTTCAATGCTTTCGCCCCGCAGTATGCTACCATCTAGCACTGCGTTTCAGATCCACGCAGTTCGACACAACCTCCACGCGACGACGCTGATGGGACGTCTTTCAGGTTGGTGATCTGGCCCATCCCAACCGCTTCATCCATGTGCTTGAATGCAGCTGTGCCCAACAGCCAATGCATTCAGCCATACGGACTGTCGACATTATCACCCCACTTAGATGCGATGCGATGCGATCTTTCACACTGGTACAAGCCCGAGTCTCATACGGCTCCTGTCTCAGCGCATAGGGCGGCGTTTTGTCTTTTCCCTTACTCGTCTTTTCCGTCATCCGAGCGAGCGATTCTGCATTTTGCTTTTGTTGGGCCTTGTTGAACAAGCGTTACTGATTTTCTGCTTCTGTNNTCTTGTGTTTTTAACGTTTTGCCTGTTGCTGGACGACAGTGCCACTTTCCTNTGTGTTCTTTCTTGTCATGACTGTTATGCAAACGCAGGTTACGATTGCATGGGAAAGCAAAAAGGCAGACATTATAGGCCTCACGGCTTCGAAAGGGCAGGACTCTTTGGGTTTCTTCACATATCTCACAGGACCGCGCCGGACGCGTTCGATCTCTCCTTCCCGGTCTCGTCTGCTCAGNNCACCCTTGAGCGTTCTTGGTCTCTAGTGGTCTGCTAGCCGGACGTGGAGACCGAGCGTTCTTGGAAAAGCAGGACTCAANNAGGACGCCCTTGCACCCTGGCGGTGAGCGCATGTTCTTTAAGGCAGAGACTGCACTGTCTGCCTGGACCGTGACGAGTATCCGGTATACTCATCGTTGTCTAGGTTGCTGGCTGCACAAGGCATGCACAAGTGCTGGATAAGATTACCTCTCAGCTCAACACTGCTAGTCCGGTGTGAGTACATTGGTAGTCGATCCAGCATACACTCTAGCTCTTCNNGACATGTCTCGTGTACCGCTAGTCCGGAACCGAGACAATGTCACGAGTGTGGGCAACAAACACCCTTCTCTCCAGTCCTGGTGGCTGGCTAGAACAGAGAAGGACGTTCTGCCGATGTGTAGGAAGAGAGGTCCTTTGNAGTCTTCCAAGAACTTTTTCATGCCCACTCGCTCTTTTTAGCATCCGGCATGTTGAAGACACCCGAGTGGGATTGGCATGGTCAGTTCCGGAGACTTTNTCTCACATCATCCAATATCTCTGATCACGGTTCTTGTTTAATGCCGATCTTTACTCGTATCTGGGAGACACGGAGATATCGAAATCAAAACTCTTCACACTCTTATTTTCTCCTGATCTTCCTCTGACATTTGTGTTCACACCCTGAATCTGGTGATCTCCTTGATTCTCATCATTTAGTCGTCCATAGCAACATACGGATAGAAGAATCCATGGTGCCATGGGGGATTGCGTGTCTATAATGGCCCAAAACCTAACGCGCCCTCAGTATATTATAATCATCTATCCAGGAGAAACGAGTAAGCCACCACCACTCAACAACCACGCCATCCACACAAAGCAAACACACAACGGTATGTGAAATCAGGCAACCACCCCATAGCATCCATCAAGAACATCAAACCGTTTCCCCTGGACCCTTTATCGGGTGTGGGTGTGAGTGGTTCGGTGGCTGCCAAAACGTCTGTACAGTTTCTCGAATTTAGCCATCCGCCCACTCCTTCGTAAAGCCACCACCACCTCGACCGTTGGAAACTTACCCCAACATTTGCATGTGCATTTGCATGTCTGTATTTTTTATGTTGATAACAATAGACTTTGCTGTTTTTCTCTCTCCCTTTCAACGGTCATACATGTGCAGTAAGCGAATATAACGTAGAATGTGCAAGTGTATAGTGGTGAACGATATTCTAGAAGCATAAAGCCGTGCAATTCTTATACTGTGCCGTTATTGTCGGTATACTTGCAGTATAGGCATGGATATTAGTATGCTGTTATACTTGTAGTATAAGCAGAGGATACATGTACGCATTAGTTGGTATGAGCAGTGTTGGTGTTCTGCAGACATCCCTTTCCTCGAAAACTTCAGCCATTGCAAGTCTGAGATTGGATTGTCAAGTCACTGGCATATAGGAAGAGTGCGGAAAAGATGTAAGCCAAAAGAGCAACTGTAACATTTTGGTTTATTCATAGCCATAAATCTCTTTCTCTTTCCTTCGTCTCTTTCTCTCTTTCTCTCTCTCTCTTTCCCCTTTCGCTGAATGTGGTATCTTTGACAAATAAAAAATAAAAAAGCAGATAAAAAACAAAGTGAAAACTGAAGTGAAGAGCCCATTATTCTTGTGTGTTGCAAGTCCCTTTCCTCGGGAACGCTGATCGTTAAAACATGATGCGATGAAAAATACGCCTGACCCCTGGTGTTGGGACGGGAGACTCCGTGCAGGGCAGAGTTCCTTCTTCTTCTTCTTGCTATGTCTTTTGTGTTTCGTCCTCGTATATTCTTTAGCCATCACAGCTCGTCGAAAGCAAGACAGCTCCCGTCAAACCGTCATTCAGTACATCGTCAATCTCTTCAACAACTTCTTCATCTTGCTGCTGTCCTTGGTAGGAGTGAAAGCGAAGGCTCCGTACCTTCCGGTGACGTCGTCCGAGAAGGTAAGTTGCTCAAGTGCCAGGGGATCCTCGATTCTCGGGCTTGAGTAATCATGCTGACCTGGCTTTGATGCACGGATGGGCGAGTCATCCAGAACTTTGTTCTCAGGCTTGGTCAGAGTGACACGCAGAGTCATTGGGCGTTGCTTGGGCTGGAAGTAACTGCTGTCGAAACGCTGGACTGGCAGATAGGGCGAGTGAATGTGCCAGCTACTCTCCGAGCTGGGAGTCCAGGGTTCGTCATCGGAGTCAAGTGCAAATTCGTCTTCGTCGTCGCAAGTCATGTCGTCTGATGAGCTTAAGCCTTCATCGAATTGGTAGTCCGAAGTCGAGTGCGAGCTGGTAGTAGGGGAGTCCTCGGTATGGTATCCAAAGTTGAGGACCTCATCGAATGCTTCAGGGGAGGCGGTACATTGGCGGATCAACATTCTGGTCTTGGGGTCAAGGTATTGTCTAGTTGTGGAGCTTGGAGTGTCGGGAACCTTGGAAACGACTTTGGTGTAATCGAAGGGACTCTGCGACATGATGGTGGTACGGGAGTCTCCAAGAGGGTGGCAGCCCAGTGGGTTGAAGGGTCGAACAGAAGCATTGGAAGACACGATGGATTCCGTGCGAGGACGAGATGAGGTACGGCTGCTGGTGACCGAGGAGTATCCGCCATCAGAAGTCGTTGGCGTCGAAGGAACAGAAGCGGGTCCGGCCATGGTGTAGCGGCTGAAAGACGAACTGGCGTAGCTGTGGCTGGTGGAAGCGCCTCCGTCGGTCCAAGATCTGAGGGGAAGTGGACGAGCGTTCTCGTAGCGAGGTTGCTTGGACAGTTGCAGTTCGCATGCGGCTCGCATCAGGATGTTCTCCTCTGTGGTGAAGTGAAGACGGCGGATCTTGTCAGGCAATGAGAGGAAGAAAAGAGCCTCGTCGTTGCTCAGGTCGTGGCCACCGCGGCGGTTAACTGACTTCAGTCTGTGGAGATAGAGCTGCGACCTGGAAATGTATGAGTGTGACGATCTCTCAGCCAGGGCGCGTAGATCGTACTTGGAGTGTTCGCCAGATCCGAAGGTGCGTTCATGGTGGATGCTATTGGCTCGAAGGCGTTGAATTGAAGTGCTCAACTTTCTTCTGTGCATATATTGTCAGAAACTAATTCAAGCCTTCAAGGTACGTCACCAAATCGGTGCACAATGGCTGAGTGCAACTTGTGTGTGCAAGTAGGAGATAGATTGAACTTACTCAAAGCCGAAGGGCTGGGCGTCTGCTGCAGGTGCTGTGCTCGGCATTGTGTAATATTCGAGAATGTCGACGCTATGAGTGGGCTTCGATGGCAATATATGTATTGGCATGGGAAGCAGAAGAAGAAAGAGGATGGAGAGTCGGAGTCTTTGCAGCAGCACCAACGGCTGGGTGGAGAACAGGCCGTTGCAAAGCTCACTTCAAGAAACAGGCACACTATCTGGCAGTGAAGTGAGGATTCCTGCAAGGAGTAATTAAGCTCTAAATGTGTGAAGGATCTTTGCTGTTTGCTGTTGTGTAACACGACGGAAGCGAGCCCTGCTCTGCTCGCACGTGGGTTTCCAGCGATTAAATATAACATGGTCAGTCATCTGTCCGCATGTTCTTTCTAAGGCGAGAAGTACTGCGAAATGACCTGCCTGAGGGCTCTTTCTGACGAGACTGTCAGCTTCAGAAGGCAGTCACGGCCAACGTCAAATCTGTCAAATCTGAGCCAAAGTGAACCTTGACCGTGGCCTCCGACACCCGCGACGGTTGGCCTTGCCCCCTGCTCATCACCTGCCGGACCAAACATCGAATCATTAGGATGCCACATATTCCCCGATAATCTCATGGATCCATGGGCAGGCAACCGTCCGCTGTCAATGCGATGGGCCTGCGAGCCACAGTGTCGGAAGTGCACAGCAGACTCAGCGACCAAGCACATGGGCCATTGGCCCTCAGCTGGAGCGAGCGATAATCTTGCATTGAACGCACGTTGCCAGCCCCTCCTGTTGGTAATCGTGTCGACCGCTTGCGCAGCGCCACGCCTTATTGACCGTTGATACTGTTGTACAACAAGGAGAACTCAGGAGACTGCTCTCCCTCCCCACAGCTTGGGTTTTCGCTGGAAATGGAAGACGTCATGCGACAACAAACAAACAAACAAACACGAAGAAGAAGTATTGAGATCCACCACAATCAACTTATTTCATGCTCTTGGAATATTGCCGGATTGCACGAGAGTTTCAGCACCGATTTTCGCAAACTGCGGCATCAGGCATATTCGAGGTTGGAGGCGGTAAATATATGTACAGGCATGGCAGCTGTTACATTCCTGACGATGCCAGTCTTCACATCTTCACGATAATAACGGTGAACGATAATGCATGATCATTGTTCATTTCCTGGCTATTTTTATGCGACCTTGATGACGACCTTGCCGAAATGGCCGCCCTTGGCAAGATATTGCATAGCGTCCTTTGCCCCATCGAAGCTAAAGACTTTGTCTACAACTGGGTGGATCTGTTTCTCTGCATAGAGCTGCAGCATCGACTCGAAACGATCCTTGGGTCCATTGATGTGTCCCTTCAGAGTGACATTGCGTCTCAATGCCAGGACGTTGATGTTGAGAGCATCGCTTTCGGTGTCCTGCTTGCCAGAGAGGTAACCGATGCTCGAGATGAGGCCACCGAAGGCGATAGAGTCGAAGCTCTGGCGCACGGTTTGGGCACCGCCGCACTCGAGGATGATATCGACACCCTTGCCCTTGGTGAACTCCATCGCTTTCTCGGACCAATTGGGGAACTTCTTGTAGTTGATAGTGTAGTCGGCTCCAAGCTGACGGGCTCTCTCAAGCTTCTCATCCGAAGATGAAGTGATGATGGCNNTTCTCGGATTTTAGTTTGTTGTTCTAAAGGCCGGGCAACAAATGTACTTACTCTTCAGGCCACATGCCTTGGCGATTTGCAAGCCACTGATCGAGACTCCTCCGGTACCCTNGAGAGACTGTCAGCATGACTTGTCCGCAAGCAACGGGATCTCTTCTAGTAGACAACAAAAAGTGTGCCGTGTGACTGCAAACACTTCTGCAATCTAGTGGGAAATGAGAATGTCGACTATATGAGCACGTACCTGGAACAAGACCGTTGTCTCGGGGTTGCTGACAGGCTTTCCCATTGGCTGATTCCAGTTCATGGCCATAAAGGCAGTCACACCAGCGATTGGCAGGGTCGCAGCTTCTTCGTTACTCAGATAGTCGGGAACGGTGACCAGAGCAGTGTCGGNGAAGACACGGTACTCTTGGAGAACGCCCTCCAAGGGCAGACCCATGCCGGATGCCATGTCACTCTCCTGAACCTGGCCTGTCTGGTGGGTCTGGAGGAAGATAGACGCGACTCTCTGGCCTTCCTTCAGGGATGCTCCAGGACCGGCTTTGACAATGGTTCCACACATGTCTGATGCCACAACGACGGCTTTGGTTTCCTCAGTCAAACTCTTGTGATGGTTGTAAAGTCCATCCGCCACCTCGGTATCGCGGTAGTTCAAGGACACAGCCTGAATCTTGACCAGGACCTCCTTCTCACCGGGCTGGGGGACAGAAGTCTCGCCTCGGTAGAGTTTCGAAGAACCATCCTGGTTGGTGAGCCATTGCTTGTTCTGAGTAGGTTGAGCCATTTTGGTGATGTGTACTCTTATGTCAAGGAAGAGATTATCAAGGTCGAAAGATTTTCTTATCGTACATATAACCTGATTGATCATGAAGCACAGATTGAAGTTGGATTCTTCTGGAAGGCTGGGCATCTGGAGAAGCTATTCCAAAATCACGCAGGCCCGATGTCATATCAGTTTCAGGGCATTCGCCTCTGCTCTCTTCTGGAACCGGACGTCTTGGAGGAGGCCAGAAAGAATGTGAAAAAACGGCCGGTAGGCCAATCGTAGCAGTGGATAATACGAGTGTCTCAATGCACATATTAAAAACCAAAAGGATGATTAGTATAGTCATGAAGTTTTAATGCATGCAAATTGAATATTTCTTTTTTTCCTTTATGTTTCACGGCGGATGGACAGAAGTTTCAGAATGGTCTGTGCGTCTGGTTGCTCCGAGGCGGACGTCATTGTTGTTGTTTTTCGACGCGAGCGTTGGAAATCGGGGAGCTTCGAGAGCGTTTGTTTGTCCTCGGTCGTGCTATCCACCAACGCTGCAGATTGTACCAGTCGACTCCAGCCAGCTAGCAGGACCATTCTGTTTGCGTCTTCTGTTCCAGAACATCCAACTCACATAGCAATAATGGCACGACGCTCGTCAGCCAGGATCCGTGCGAAGCAGTCGACCACGCCACAGGTACCCTCGACTTCGACCCTGATATGACCGAGAGTTGTGCTGATAGTCGAACAGGCGCAGAGAGTGTCTGACATGGGTGTTGACAGCGATGCCATCAAGACACAGCGCACCGCTCCCAAACTATCCGTCGTCGACGAACACGATGAGCCGCAACCTACACCAACCAGAAGCGCCCAGACACCACGCGACGGCACCCCTATACAACCCAGCGCGCAGGAAATGCATCCCCAGAAATACCAGATGAGCACAGCCAAGCCGCTCGACGAAGCACGATGGCTGGGTTTCAGCAGCAACAAGACCAGCCAGCAGACGCCCACCAAGACTCCCAAAGCCCCACAGAACATCATGGACAACGCTCCCGACTTCAGCTTCACCTTCCAGCGCCCTACCTTGAGCCTGAGCCCACAGGCCCGCGCATTGATGGACGAGACAAGAGGGGAGGCGGCAAAGATCCGGATCGAGATGCAGGCCACACAGAAGGGCCAGCCGTCAGCCAGCGACGTACTGGGCCGTAAGATTGCTACACCCTCGGGCAAGGTCAGCCGCTTCAGCGACGTGCACATGAAGGCTTTCAAGAAGATGGACTCGATCGCCGACCATCCTTCGGCCTTCCGCGCCAGAGACAACAGGCCATTGGCCACCGACAAGCCATCTGCACTCAAGCGCTCGCCATCCAAAGCCGAGCTTGAGCGTCCATCCTCGTCCTCTTCATCTACCTCGCTGCCTCGTCCTGCATCGCGCGACAATCTCGACGCAGGTCCGGCCAAGCGTATCAAGCGTGCTGCCGACGAAGATGCTACGGCTTCGCGCCCCAATGCAACNCCCAAGCCTACTCTCAAGAGTGCCATGAAGACGAATATGACACCTCGCTCCATCAAGCCTCCTCAGTCGATACTCAAGTCGGCCAAATCCGTCCGTCGTACCACTATGATCCCATCTTTCCAACGCAGTCCTGTCAGGCCCAACATGGCCAGTGCAAGCATCCAGCATGAGCAGGCTCAAGACAAGCAGAAGGATCAACGTGCACAGCTTCTGTCAAAGTCTCCGATCAAGTCTCCAGTCAAGTCGACCATGGCTGATCGTATCGCCCGCTTTGAGCCTGAGGCTCCCGAAAGCCCTCTGCTTAGCCGCAGTCCGGCCAAACACGCATCCCCGAACAAGGTCCGCGTCGCTCAAGAGTCCCCTGATGATTCCTTCAAGATGCCATTCCTTGCTCGATCTCCTGCAAAGAAGATGGCTGGGGCCCAAGACATTGAAGACAAGGATGCACCCAAAGAGAAGCACAACAAACAACCATTGCTTGCTCGTTCTCCTGCGAAGATTCCAGTGTCTGGAAGCTCCCTCGACACTGCACAGCAACAAACACCGGGAAAGCCTAGTCTGTTCGCCCGCTTCAACCTGCTACGTCAGTCTCCTGTGAAATCCATTTTGCGCACCCCACAGCGCCTGTACTCGGACGATCCCTTCAAGGTCGCTAATGGCACTCACTTGTCAACTCCACCCAACGCCATCTCGAATGCTGAGAAGGCCGGCCCTCCACCNCCTCCCAAGACATGCCCTGTCATCAAGCATGTCGACTTTTCTGCTTCGACCAAGACGTTAGACCAAGCCGAAGAGACCCCTGACACTCCTACAAAGGCCTCTTCTCCTCCATCAAAGCCCAATGAGCAGACTTCTATTGCCTACCCTACTCTACCTACCACTTCTGACGGAGCCGAGCGACCCAAGAAGGCCTATCGCCGCATGACCATGGCTGGCACTCCTAACGACTTCACGTTCCGCGCTGGTGAGCAAGCTATTACCTTCGCACCATCGCCTCGTCGCACCACTTCTCAAGAAATCAAGCCCTCTATCCGCTCCGTCGAACATTCACCCGAGCTTCCCGCAGCCACCGGCACCAAGCGCAAGGCCGACCATGAGGACTTGAGAAAGGAAGCCACCACAACTACAGCCAGCGACAAGGAAAACGACGATTCTGAACAGCGTCCTGCAAAGAAGGCCAGATCCGACAAGCCTGAGCCCACACGCCCATCCATTGTCGCCGCTACTGCCAAGACTCCTGTGAAGAAGATCCCTACAGTGGGCGTCAGACCAAAGTCCTTCACCCAGAAGCCCAAGGAGAAGCGTCCGGGTATGTTGAGTGCAGCCCGCCTGGCCGCTCTCGCAACCCCCAAGAGACACTGATGAGACGCTTCATCATCCATCAAAAGACTTGTGAACAGTCTTGCACATTTTCGTATCCTCTCTATTGCGTTTTCTTTTTTTTATTCTCTTTCGGATATACTTATTCCCCAGACACACCATGACACGAGGTTCTTTTTTTTTTTTGGTAGAAGGTGTTGTTCCAGACATTACTGCAATTCAAATGGTACGCAGAGGTGTTTTGTTTCTTGTCTGTGATTGGACAATTCATCAGGAGTACAGGCTCCGATGATGGAGAAGGCGTTGTTTCAGCATTGGGAAGGGGTTTATTGGGTGGAATTATCTTGCATTCGTTCTATTGGCAGCATGGAAAGCGGAGTGTGGCCTTGCTTTTTCCTGCCTGTTTCTATACAACTCAAACAATGCAAATTGATTGTGTCATATCATTCTAACAACTCCGCCTTGAATGCTATATCCTCATCTACATGATAATGCCATCGCAATGCAGTCCGGCCACATCATCACGAATGTTGGTCCTGTCCTTGGGATACGAGATCTTGTCAATAAGTTGATCCACATGTTGCTGTTTAATGAGTTGATGCTCGTACACTAAGATGATTATTGTCATATATTTCATTCACCCTACTCTTTATTCCTACACTCGTACCAACACTGCCAACTGCTAAACCCAACAACAGCTTTTTGCTTTCATTCCGCTCCTGATTCCTACAGCCCTTACTTCTCAACGATTTGACCGACCGAGCCTTTCGCCGAGCCAGGTCTTCAGTCCAACCGCACTGCTCTTCTTGCCAACAGCTTTGAACTCGAACCTACTTTTGTCGGGTAATCCCATATGATCATCACGTTGCTCTCTGAGTTCCTGATCAAACGAACTCCTGATTGGCCTTGGTGGTGGTTGGTTTGTTGAACCCAGCATAAATGGCACCGACGAATGCTGTTGCTTTGTCCTCGGCTTTCTGTCTGTGAGTGGACCTAATGGCGGAGCAGGGGGAGCTCGACTTGGAGGCCCATCTTTCTCCTTGCCGAGATGATCTCGCCATCGGTCCGTTGCAGATTTGTGACTGCGGAAGCTATCGATGCTGCGGACGTATTTGAGAGCCGAGCCTACACCCATACCTTCGATCTTGACTGGTGACGAAAAGAACTTTTCCTTACGCTTCGACGGAGGTGTGATGTACTCCATCATGCCATTGCCGTTGCCAGAACTAGCACTGTTGCTGTCATAGTTGTTGTGGCTGTATATGGTGTAGCTTCCTACACTGATACCGCCCATGGCCAGGTTACTTGGTTGTTTGTGAACCTCTCGTGCTGGTCGAGACACGATCCTCGTGTTACCTATCCTTGCGATTTCTTTCCCAACAGATTTGGTCCGCAGAGGTTGCTTGACTTCGGCGGGTTGCTTGTAAACTTGATATCTCCGTGGCGAAAGTTCTAGGGCTTCTTCGAGCTGTCGAAGGTCTGCCGCCGAGGCACGCATGCGCTCGAGAGATTGTTGCCTCGGTGCTGCGAAGGCCCGACCTTGCAATCGTGATGGCCGTGTCAGAGCAGTGTCGGTCGCTCGCCCTAGGGACGCTGAAGTCTGAGCAATCTGCACAGAGGCCTGAGATGTGGTACGCTTGTGGCTGCGGTGGTGTGAACGCTTCTCTTCAATCGCCGCAGCAACTTGAGCTACAGAGTTTGGGAGGACATCCAATGAATTCTGCTTCTATATTAGACCTTGTGCAGTCGACCATGATGATCTACTTACCATGTGGATGACGATGATGGGCAGCTGAACAGATAGCATCTTTCTGTGGAAGCTGCTATTTAGTTTCAGAGAAGACCAACGCAATTAGGCGCGTGTGACTTACGTGCGAGATCCTCCAACAGTGACATTTAGGAAATACCGTACCTCAAAGTAGTTGCCNNTAGAGGAAGTTAGCAAGAGCTTGTCAACCATAGAGAGGTTGATTGGCATACCGCATTTCACAGTGGCGTGTCCGCGTGGAATTTCAAGGTCGCATGTCCTGGTGATAGATCCATATGCTTCAATTCCAGTCCACCCATTGGCACCTTGCTTCATGCTATGCTTGCTTAATATCGATCGCTCGTTACTCTCGAATATCCTTGCTTGGCTGGCAGACTGCTCNNCAAAGTAGCTGCTGCCGCCTTTGTGGTGGTCAGCACGAGTAGTAAAATGGTGGTGACTTGCGAGACTTACATGTCTGTAGCACAATATGTCTCTTTCCAAACTTAAATCAAGCTTTTTGATAGTCTTACGAGTGCCATTGGCGATGTGTATGTCAACAANAATGCTGCTACCGCTCACCCATACTTGTCGATGTAGACCTGCAGTCATCTTGGCTGTCTCGAGGAGTCCGGATCGTGAAAAGGATTGCTCATCCGACGCGGTCAGCGGACTTGGCAGCGATCTTAAAGCCTTCTCTGCTGTAACTGGGCCATTAGCGACTGCTCTGCAAGTCTCGCTCCGGAGAGCAAACCTACGGTCATATGTGGGCAATACAGATATATCTTCAGAGCATCGAACCAAGTACTGCCGGCCTCCATCTTTAATTAAGATGGTAGCACAAAGTACAAACCGGATACAGGCATGCTTGGAGTGAAAAGGAGGTGGCCCTGTATCCAAAGGCAGGCTGACGACGAATGGCAGACTAGTGAAAGAAGGTATCAAAGACCAGAAACAATCGGCGTCCGGAAAGTCTTGTGGTTCCACCATGTTGCGAGGTGGTGGATGATTCGAGTCGATCAGTTCTGTGCCCAATGACAGAAAGATTGCCTTGCGATTACTCGATGTCTCCTCGGTGCCAATGAGATCTACTGCTATTCTGCCGAGGGTAAGGCTTTTCTTATTGCGTGACTTGTCTGCTTCGTCGACGATTACTCTGACGAAACCCTCGACAGTTCCTCCGCCAACGAACAGAGGAGCCGCTATCTGTAGATCAACGCCGATACGAGGATGTCGATGAGTAGGAAACTCGAGGATATCTCGAGGAACAGGGTTTCGAATGAAGGTGCCGGAAGGTGCTCGTCTTGACGCATCTGACCCGACGGCATCCAAGCGGGCTCTAACCTGCTTGACGGGAGAACGCGTTTGTCCACGATACGGAATCGTTCGACTCATGCTTCGTTGACGGGGCGTGGGAGATGATCTAGATGTTGTACTCCGGTGATGTCTAGGATGATTGCGAGTGTTCGAAGACTGTCGGGCGGGAATGCTCGAAATGGGTATGCTGTATAAACTTGAGCCGTCGCGCAGGCTTTCTGGTGTGTCGATCGTCGACTCGGTTGCAACCAAATCATCTTTATAACTAGAGCTGGAGCTTCCGACGGGCTCGAGGATCCTGACTGAGCCAGCACGCTTTAGTGACGGGCCTCTTCTGAGCGAATTTTGCCGACTGATGCTGGGTTGACGGTGGATGCTTGCTGTTGGCCTCTTTTCCAGAGCATCGACCAGACTTGGCTCAGTAAGTTCTCGAATATCCGAAAGTGGTCGCATGCCTGGGGGCCATCCCTGGTGGCCAGGTGCGTGTCCTCGCTCTATTGTGAAGACTGGCTTCTTCCCTTTGTCACGTTGGCCTCCATCCATCACACGTCTCAAGTGTGGTGGAGGAAGATAGATGAGACTGGTAGGTCTCGTTGCTCGGATGGTGTTGGCAAGGGAAAAGAGTACGGAAAGGGAACTGCAGTGTTTTGAAGATGCTCAAACGAAAGGCCTGCAGCGAGATGCTGGGAATGGTTGCTGCCACGAAATATGCATTCAGAGAAGGTGAAAGTTGTTGAATGCCCATGGCAAGAACCCAGGCTTGGCTTCATCACTTACATTCGTCTCACGGTGGAAGGTGCGATCCCATCGCGGTTGCTTCTGCCATGATCTTGAAGGTTGTTCGACACTTACGAATTGTGACGCTTTGTATGCTCGTCCTCAATTCTCCTTTGCTAGAAGGCAACAACGAATGCTCGTTCATACAGCCAACAGCTACGGTCAACCAAAATCGGACCTCGCGATCCTCATGGCGTCTTCGAACTACCAGAATGAACATTCATCGATGTTCACTCTCGACAGATTGCTAATTCCACAAGGTCATGTGGTTGGAATCCAATAACCTCAGTCGAAAAGCTTCAGTCGAAAAGCTTCAGTCGAAAAGCTTCAGACTCACGCTTGTACGTTAGATCAGATACTCTGTCTGGTTACTGTATGTGGTTTGCTGTCGACGATGTTGCCCATTCGGCTTCGAATTCCTCATTAATGTCCTTGAGACAGGGGACAACTGGAAGCACCGGTGTGTGAGATGGTGTCTCAGGTCCGCGGAGATTTAAAGTTGTTGCCAAGCTACTCCAGAAGGATGTGTCGGATAGACTAGGCTCGAACGAGTAGCTTTTCCCGATGTCCTGCATGTCGATGCAACATCAGATCGCTTCTTCGCTGGAAAAGGCGCGCGCGAGAGGGGAAACTGGCGGCTTTTGAAGCAGCTCCCAATCGCGAGCCTTTTGCTTGCCCATATGGCCGGTGAAGCGGCTGCTCGCTCACCCCCAGAAGGGCCTCGTGTCCGGCCAGCGCCGACAAGACACCGGGCCCCTCCTCTCATCACCTGTCGGTGGTGACAGGGCGCAGAGAGGACTCGGAGCCGGGCGACCGTTCACTCCTCAGCGCATGACGCGTGCCAGACGAGCAAGTGCGGAGACGAAAGGCCTGACAGAATTTTCTTATTCTATGGGCTTGCTTAATTCCCTCCTACCACCTGCCGTTTCCATTACCCAACTACTTACCTCACCAATTGTCGCTCACTTTTGCACATGCCTTGCAAGCTTATCGCCCACGATTAGCAATCCTTGACACGTAGTTTTACGTCTCCCCGCCTTTCGACCTATTGCACTGCTATCTCCGCATCTAGCCTGCGCTATCTGAGGGGTATCTCGAGCTCGGTCAGAGGGGTACCTGCAGATGGGAGATAACAACCACAGCACCACACAAATGGCTGCTACCGACGTAGCCAACGCTATCAGAGACCATGGCGATGCCGGGCAAGAGGCCACGCCGAGCTCGCTCGAGTCGACTCCCGAGCCTTCCACCACCGATATAGTACAAGACCAGGCCCAGCCGCAGAAGCGCAAAGGAGGCCGTAAACCCGTACGTCGTGACACATTCCCATATCTCATCTCCCTCGTTGGAGATAGACTCGTAGCAAACTGTAACCGTCGCACGTCATGGCCTTGCTAACCCAGCCGAAGNATCTATGCCACGTCCGAGGAGCGCAAGCAGAGGAATAGACAAGCCCAAGCTGCGTTCCGAGAGAGGCGCACCGAGTACATCAAGCAACTCGAAACCACCATCAAGCACCATGAAGAGACACTGCAGACGTTGCAGCAAAGTCACCGCAGCGCGGCTGACGAATGTCTCATGCTCCGTTACAAGAATTCGCTTCTCGAGAGAATCTTGTTGGAGAAGGGTTCGTTGCCTGCTCACTGGGCCATCTATGGTCTCTCCATCTTGTCGCCATTCCAGCTGACCGTTATCACAGGAATTGATGTGCAGGCCGAGTTGCAGATGAAGACGGGCAGCCCTGCTCTCGGACACTCCTACATCCCCCACCATGCACCGTCGTCAATGGCAGCTGCTCATCTGCAACGC